AGAAGAGGGAGAACAGTCATGGATGCACGTGGCGTCATACTCCGAGCATCTGCATACAGATGTAAGCGTTGAAGTACTACATAGGCACACGATATTCATTCTTATATCATTGATTTGTTCTTAGTCTGCAGCAAAGAGTTTGCGAGAATGGCCAAATATCAATTCAGGCCTGTGGAGTTTTGGCTGTTCGAGATGCATCACTCAAACTGTGGTTCCCAATTGAAGACTGTTAGCCACAAAGCCGATAGAAGACTTAGCAAAAAGTTGAGTGCCACTTCTAAAGGGAGTATTTGGGTCCTTTGCCCCTACTTGGTTGGTTTCCAGCATGCTGAGAGAGGGAGAGTTCAAGTGCGCATTCCCTGCGGCCATGAGCAGTCATGTACTCACAGCTGGTAGCACTTTCAGAATAGCACACAACATTTGCTCTTGTCTAATCAACCTAGCCCTCTTATGCAGCCAAACTAGGCGATCAATATTTCACTAGTTCTCGATGAAGTGTAGCTTCTGTAATCAAGTGTCATGGGGTAGCTGGGACCGGTGCTCTAAGTATTTTGTTAGGAACTGAAGAAGTATACGTTAAACCCCTTATAATCTTTCATCCAACCATGAGTTCTTTTCCTCATAGTCGAAATACCTAACTAGTAATAAAATAGCAGTGCATAACTGTGCTTCATTAGGAGTTCGGTCAAACCGTGTGGGCCATAGGGAGCAAGCAAAGGCCATGCAAGAATAAATGGCACACTTTAAAACTCCGCAGTTGTGGGCCAGGTACTTGCTTTGCCATTTTAAGTGCCTCTTTCGCCAGACCCCATGCCTTGACGACAATCCACTATCGGAATGGCGCGTACTTATGAGTTGCGGTGTTGTGTCGAGCCTCCTCAGCATAATAGGGTAGGAAGGCTTCCTATGTGGGCCAAGTGCGCACGAATGGGAATTTCGACCCCGATGCCTACTCTCACAAGTGTCTGAGCAGCCCTTGCGAAATCCTTTTACAAGAGAATCAATCATTTTCTTCGGTTTTTCAAAGTGAATGTGATTGTCCCACAAAGATTACGCTGGGACTAATCATTGACAACACTGACTCTAGCAGGCCTGCATGTCAGGCCTCGGCACGTCTACGGAGCGCCTCCATTACCAGAACAAATTAGCTGCTTCATGGAAGCACTCAGTGCTATGCAAAATTATCTCCTAAAAGCAGTTCGAACGCTATAGATCGCGATTTTATGCTCCACGTAATGTGTAGGAGTCCATTGAAGGTCTCCATAGGCAGATACTTCATTGCAGACTCACAACAAGCTTAACTGTTGTTCTACAGTGAAACTCTTACCTTTTACTGCCAGCGCACAGAATTCCTGACATAATGGGAGAGGGACAGCAAGGGCGTGCGTGGCTGCACGCTTTACACACTCCCAGCATTCACGGCTGCTTACACGCAGCATCTGACGCACGCGCAGCCTTACGGCTTTGTGTGTCAACATAAGTGCTGCGCAGGAAATAAGTCATGTGAACAAACTGGCCAATATTCAGCTCGTTGCTAGTCCCTAGGTGTATAGCTAGGGCTGTAAGAAGTGCTTAGGTGAACCTTAGACCGCTATATCTCCCCTTCCCACTTTAAACCATATGCTTACATGTTCCGTAGCTTAAAATCAAGACCAAAAGCATGCAGAAGAATGCAAGAGTTTCAACCCTACCGCAATTTCCTGGGCAAGCAGAAAAAGAATACAAGGCAAGCGAACACAGCAAGGTGGGTATGAGCTCGTGGTGAAAAATTGGTGGAAAGAAAAAAACACACTGGCTAACAACAGAGAGAAGGCCTTAAAGCATCGCGACGGAGGTGGCGAGACGCCTTGCTTCTGCTGGAGCGCTCAAAGGTGTAAGCCTCCTGCTGCCAAAAAGCAGAGAAAGTAAAATGTGTGGAGGGAATTGACATGCACCTGTTCACTAGTGCCTGTGGGCCTCATCGAGCAGTGTCTGCATGGAAGTACAGCAGCTTTAAGCAGCTCGTCTATTTCGAAGCTAAATTGGAGGCATAGGGAACGAATGTAGAGACAACATACCAAAGAGTACCTGCGCATAAATCTGAGTGTCGATCACACCTCCAAAATACTGGCGGGCAGCTTTCGAGCAATACCCCCAAGATGAAGGCAGCGACTTCAAACAAAGCATGCACTTGGGAAAACAGTTATCAAGGAGCGAGAGGAGCATGTGCATGGCGACAAGCGTTGCTAACTAAACCGAGCCTCAGATTTTTAGCAGGCAGCGAAACCAGCAACTGTGTCCTCGATCGTTCAGAAGTTCTAAAATCCAGCACTTCTACGACTCCCGGTGGAACCTTCGCCTCCACAGGGGCTACTTGCCTCCGTGACAAAGTCCGCGAGTATTTTCAAAGGCTATGAAACTTCTTCAGGAAGACCACAGACATAGCTCTGCGGTACCTCCAACTGTTAGGGAAATCGATATTGTGACATGCACTATTTCGTGAAGGGTTAGCAAACATTCATAGTCACCTGCCCGCACACGTATTCGTTTGGCCACTTTCTGGTCCGCCTCGTATAGCCTGCCGATCCACCGGGACCAATTATCCAAGCTCGTTACTCACAGCCGACAGCCGCTTATTCTAGTTCCGTGCTTGTCTCTCTTGGGCTTGGCAAACACATTCGATTGCACGAGCTAGCTGTTTTCAGGAATCCTTTAGCTATTGTGATGGCTGCTGACTCAGGACCATTAGGTTCAGGCCCGGATCGACGAGGGATTCCTTCATGTTGGCCATGCACACGGTAGGCCTACGGTATACGAGTGAACTGCTCTATTTTACACCCACTAAATAACAGGAAGAGTCAAGCTAGGTGATTAGATTTTTGTGAGCACGGAGTTGCAAACGCTGCAGAGGCGAGTGGTTGGTGCGCTGTGTCTCGCCATATGCCTCAGGATGCAGTGATCATCTTATGGAAAACGTGTAGGCGGGTCACAAGCGCACGAGGAAACGCACTAACAAACTTAAAAAGACTATGTGTAATCATGCTCCTGTGGATTACGCTAAGCTCCCAGAGATTAGTTAAGAATAGATGAGCCCGTTTCTGAGCCGTGATAGCTGGAGCAAGGGGTGGAATGGGCATACTTAGTCTGTGTGTCGAAAAACGAGGTATGTGCGTCTTGACCCTTAATCTCGGGCACTACAAGAAATGCCATGCTTATATCAGTATAAATTTTTTTAAGAACTAAAGGGATCTGCAAAAATCAGGGTTCAGGAGAATTGCGCGGCTCCAGCTGCTGAAACTGTGGGCATGGCAGAGCGCACTCTAAAACCCAAGCAATCAGAAGGATCAAAGAGTTCTTAATTGTAGTGTGAATCCCTTTAGGCCCTAATGAACACATTCATGGGCTTTACGTAAGACCGCAATGGGCAGCAAAGTATGAATGCGCAAGTGATGGAGTCCCCGCCTTGTTTTGAACCACAGCACGCCACCGTCCACGTGATAGTGCTTCGCCTATTTGCCAATCGTCATTTTGGCAACTAAAGCCGACGTACGGGCGTGAAGAGCACAAAAATTGCGCAATTTCGATGAAACCGTGAATTATTAACTACAAGAGCGGTTTCCCCGCGCCTTACTGAATTGCAAGGGTGTCGCAGCGGCGACGACCATGGCGATGATGGCCACAATATACTTCATTGTAAAGTTGTACAGCAGGATGCGCTCAAGCCATTGAGCAAGCATAGGGGTGTAACGGTCCTGAGAACTTTGCGGAAATTTCTTTGAAGACGAATGGTAGGTCTTGAGAGTAAGAAGAGGCCCACCTAAGTTGTGCCGGCATTTTCGACGCCCCGCCACTCTTTATGTTCGTATTCCCACATTGGACACCATTGCTCGGTTTCGGTAATTGATGAAAGTGATAAGCAAAAATTAGACTTTGGGAAGTCCTAAATCTGTTGAGAGAGAATAAACACTTACCGCTGCAACGCTAGCATCGCTTGTTGGAAAGAAATGGTGCTTATACTGGGGCCGTTCAAGCACTTGAGAAAGTTGTAAGTTGGCCGAAAACGTCCTGAATAGGGTATCAACCTCCTCTATTCTGGTCATAGACTTCGTGTCTTTCTAAATGGATCAACCAAGGGAACAGCTATCCGGGAAGATCTGGGAATGAAGAGTTGGCATTAAGATGCAAGCCCATAGTGCTTCGCAAAGTCCTTGCGGGTGCCGTTTTGGCTTGTACAAAGCTGTGATTTTTGTAAACAGCCGTCCACGCCTCTTTGATGTAGTCTAAAAGTCCCAAATAACTTGACGTTGCAGTTCAGCTGAAGCACCAATAGGGCCAAATGGTGCACAGTCCTACTTGAGTTCGTGAGTGAGTTGTGCATTTTTGCGCCGGTCCTCAGGGTATGTGATTTGTCAGAAAGTGTCCGTGAAGTAAAATACAATGTAGACTGATGATCCTTGTAATCTGGCAAGTGATTCACCGATAAGAGGCGTCGGGAATTTCTGCTTCATAGCATGTATGTTTATAGCCCTACAGTTAACACATATGCACCACCTTCCGCCCTTGTTCAGGACTCCAGCCCTATACCGTTTGATACTAAATTATTTGCCTGCCACTTATTGGCCTCTTCGTGCTGTGAGGACCTCAGAATCAGTGGAACATAGTTAGCGTCGTGCACCGATATGGGTTAGTGCCTGTAGTTTCAGTTCATAGAATCTGAATGCAACGATGGGGCTACATATGTAGCCTTCCGTTCCGTTATTATTGTAGGGTCAAAATTAGTTATGCGTAGGACGGCTTTAGTGAACGGAAGCTCATGGGACCAATCGAAGCCGAGAAGCACTCCTTTTTCTGTACTAGCTGCACGATGCAGTGCAGTTTCGAAGCTGCTTTCCTCTGTGAGGAGATACATGCGCTTCTAGAAGGTCTTGCATTTATTGAAAAGACGGAAGGGATCCACCAATTGGACATCGCGCACTCGGAAAAGCGCTGTTGCGTAGCTCTTGCAGCGCAATGGCCTTCGGCTAAAACGCAGCTGCCTCCGTTGGGCCAGTCCAGCTCTCTTTTGTCAGGCTTTTTGCCTGTCTCCCTGAGCTTGTATCCTTCATATCGCTGCGGATCTTCTCATACGTCAACAGATGATCATGATTTTTGGGAAGGGAAGCGCGCGAAGAGAAGGCCGCAACAACATCGATTGTTTTTGGCACTGTTGCCTGTTTTAGTCGTGAGAACAGCCTCTCACGCACTTTACTCCTCTGAACGGGTCCAAATTCTAGGAGGCAACATCTTACAAAAAGAAAAACAAATCAAAAATCCAAGATTTCGAGACCGTTAGGCAACTCGACAAACTTAAGCGCCGAGCGCGTCGAATGTTGCGGAGTCCCGCATGGGTAGCCCAGGGCGTCCAAAAAGCTGCATTAGAGGTATAGGTGATCCGAAGATTACATAAAAGTGGAAAGATGATTCACAAACTGCCACTAGGCAGCCAAGCATCAAGGGCCCCTACAGCATCAAGTGCCCTTCTACTTTGCTGATACGTAATCGTCTGGCAACAGGAGCTTCTCGATCTTGTGGCGCCACGAATCGTAACGAAAAAATTTCTTGCTTGCTCGAAAGGAAGCGTCTGAGAGCCACAGCAGACAGCCAGCAGACACATCTTGCTGTCATTGCATTTGTGTGCAAGAGATTCCTGCATAGACAGCTGATGGTGCGTGCGGTGTGGGTGTTACACGCCTGCAAGCGCGAAGGCCAATGTGGCCGTGGGGTCAAGGTGCTTGTAATATACGTGGTGCGCTTGCTCGTGCATACGGTTACTTGTATGCACCGATGCAGTGTAAGTGCACGCTACTATTGCTGCCAACCTGCGTTGCAGACGATGAGGTCCTCAGGATGATCCGTGTCGGTGTGTGTGAAGGGGGGAGAACTGGTGTCACAAAGGAATAGCTGCAGCAAATGCATGCATACACAGTACGTGTTGCGCGCATAGAGCCCCTTTGGAAACGCATCCTTCCACAGATATATGCAAAAGGCGCTGGTCGAATGCGGGCGCACAATGCACGTAACCATACAAAGCATTCGCGCATGTAGGGTCGAGGCACAAGGTGTCTTTCATCCTCTTTCCCCTCCCTCCCTCTCCCCCATAATTATACTTCATATGTAACAAACAAAGCCTCCTTGTTGCGTCGTCAGCAAGCACGCATGCACCAACAGTTTACGCCTGTTAGCTGCATGCGTACGCTCTCGTGCTGCGTGCAAAATTTCATGGGTGTCTATGAGAGTGGCAGTTGCATATCGCTGCCAGTTGCGCGCACAATTGAACAACCCCTCTGAATAAAAGAGAGCGCGACGCAAACATGGGAGCAGGCAATATCTCATGCTTCAAAAGGACTTGCCAGGTTAGGTGTTGGCATCAGCGAGAGACTGGCATCTCGCGGCTTTGCAAGGCGATGATCAGCCCGGCAGGGGCATAGGTGAGCCTGTCCCATGATCGTGTTGAGAACCTGCACCAAGCGGCAGAAACGAGGAAAAGGAGAGCACTTGTCAGCATTGCTGGGATCGGAAAAGAAGACTGCTGGCTGCGTCACAGACCCTCTTCTGGTAGGGTGCGATCCGTCACCTAAGCGAAAACAGCATGGGGCTAAGAGTGCTGATTATTCAAGGTGTGTAAAAGGTTACGATCTTGTGAAGGTTTTGCTTGATGTCGTTATTCTCGTCAAGGCCCCCCGTAAGTAGACACTCGGAAGACAGGGAGGCGTATATGTCATGTCTAAAAAATGTCATGAGGCAGTTGAGGTGTCGTATTCTGCAGCAATTTCCAGCACGGACAAAACGTCAATCTTGGTGCTGCTCTTGAAGGAGCCGCTGTTGACGCTGCTTGGAGTGTTGTCGACATCTACCGTGGCGTGGGAAAAAATGTCTGAAGGCGGCATGGCCCCCGCCTACCTGCAAGGACTCGTCGAGAAGAATATCCTGTCTTTAGAGCCTTTGAACTGCTGTTGCATTTGCTGCACAAACTGCTGCGTGTACACCGGCGATATGGGCAATCGCGGCAGTGCTTCTGCAGCAACAGCAACCGCAGCAAACTGGAGCCAGCTTTCTGCGTGCTTAGTGGGAAATTTCGTGCAGAGAAGGAGCGCGATCGGCAGCAACAAGGTGCAAACGCGCCAAACACAACAGCCGTAAGCCAAGGTGCGGTAACCGGTGGGGTGTATAGACACCTCGCGCGAAGCAGGGGTCGTTGGGCCCTGGAACAAAGACGAAGTAGCAATCTGCATGCAAAACACACGCAAACAGAAAAATTCGTGCAGCCAACATAAAACGTCGCATACAAGAGGCTCTGCCACGCGTCCTCCTCCCGACGTCCTCCTAGGCCTAGTGTAACAACCATATAGGTGTCAGTTTCCTGAGCGTCCACGTGTTTCCTCAGTTTCTGCCTCTCCCTTCGCCATGGAATACGTGCGTGTCTACATGCTTCTTAGGCACTGTTTTCATGTTCTGTCTTGCATGTAGATCTCCGTCGTATGTGGCTCAGACTGTGCCGCTACGTGTTTCGGTGTTTGCTGCCTCTGTTTCCATAAATGACTCGACGGCCGATCGCTTTGCGTCTCGGCCGTTACTAGGTCGCCCTCTGTACGCGCCTCACGTGTTGCGAGCTGCCTGAATTTGGTACTCAGGAGTAAAAACAAGCGACTGAGGCCCTCCTTTATGGTGCCGCCTTCTTTGTCGTCCTTTAAATCTGTTCCCTCGAAGTCTCCCAGGAAGATGAACCCCGCGGGAAGAGGCTCTCCTGTCTCTTCGGCCTCAGCTACAGCCACTAAAGACACACACCGCAGACACACATACACGTATATATATATATATATACATACATATATATATATACATACGTACCCGTATACATACAGTACACACACACATACGATACATACGTACACGTATACATACAATACACACACACATACGATACATACGCACACACGTACAATACACATGCGGGCGAGGGAAAGCGCGTAAACGCAGCCGGCTGGTATCGAGAGACTCTTGGGAAGGGGACCCTACGAGTTGAGCGGGCTTCAGACGAACAGCGCAGAGGCAGAAAAAAACGAAAAATCACACACAGGGCGATTGCACCGGAAAATCGTCGCATGCAGTGCTGCCTCTGGCCAATGCACACTCGACATGTTGCGGCTTGGGAGTAGAAGAGTTTTCTTTGCAGCACCTGTGAAAAGGGTCTCGATCATCTTGGTGTCTCGAGAGTCTGCGAGGTTGACTTGGCTAAGAATGCACCACTGCGTGCTGCTGGGTGTAGCGACAGTAGCAAGAGCTTTTCCTGCAATCCCTGCAGCTGCAGGGGTGTGGGCAGTTGATTTTTGGATCTCGATGAAGTCTGTCAAGCGTCTCACAAGGTCGCTGTCTGCCCCGCAGGCGAGCAGCGCTTGGCGTTCTGCTCGAGCATCTGCTTCTAATTCTTCTCTGAGACTCAAGGAGGCTGTCTCCTCGGCCGACATGGAGGGGCCGAAGAAGGCGCTGAGGCTTTCTGTCGGGTTGACACTGAGGCCTTTTGGCAGCAAGCAGCTGCTGCCGTTGCTGCTGCTGCTGCACGTAGCAGCGCTGCTCCTGTTGCTGTTGCTAGTGTCTCCCAGGTAGCCTCGCGCTGCTGCTTTCTCCAGGCGACGAAGCCTCTGGCGCGTGTTGGTGTAGAAGGGATCTTCGCCAGAAACTCGAGGCAGATGAGCTACTCCCGATACCAGAAAGGGTGCTCGATCTGAGGGGAAGTGGCCTTCCACCAAAACAACGTGCCCTTCGCAAAAGAGGCCTAATCCCACGGCGCACTGAAGCCGCACACGCAGCATCACACACCCCACCACTGCGAGGAAGCTACATATGGGCTGCAGGAGCTCAAGGCTGTGCTTCTGCGTGTCGTCGTTCCCTTATTTGACACACACCTAACACGTGGACCGTGGTTAAAACAGCGCAGTAGACTACGGACGGAAATATTTCTATGCAGGTAGGAATGGAAGCGGGTAGGCTCGCTCGCGAGAGAGAGCAGAGAAAAGAAAGACGGATCAAAGCCAGGCCTTATCAGCCATGCCTTCTGTCTGTCTGCGCATGTGAAGAGAGCGGCCTGCAAATGACTGGTGGGAAGCTGCGAACTGCGAGACTTCACGCAAATGCTTGAACCCCCCCTTCCCCTCTTGCTGACTTGGGGATCGATACGCAGCTTCACGCTGGTGCAAACGCCCTCAAGGAATAAATCTCGGTTGCTGTCAGCGCCAAGGCATCCAAGGAGTGTTTGGGGGAGTTGGGTAGCTCGACTCGCACTGTCCACAAGCGTCACCTGCACGGCACTCGATGATCGCAGAGGCAATGCAGATATATGGAGAGACCCCTCAGAACAAACAGCAATTCGATTGCAGAGACAGAGAGAGAGATAGAGATAGATAGAAAGACAGACAAAGATAGATAGAAAGACAGAGATAGATATAGATAGATAGATAGACAGAGAGAGATAGATAGATAGAGAGATAGACAGAGAGAGATAGAGATAGATAGATAGACAGACAGACAGAGAGAGGTAGAGATAGATAGAGAGGTTCGTATCGATCAGGCAGCGCTGAGTGCCGCCGCTTCAGCGCAAGAAAAGAAAGCTCGCTGCATGAAGGCACCAGTGACCCTCTCCCTCTTCGTTCCCCCGCAAGTGCCAAAGCTTGCAAATCGTTAGACTGACACCACGGAAGGTATGCATGCAGCGCTTCTCCCCGCTGCACTGTCAAGACACCCATGGCATACAGTAGGAAATTTTTCGAGGACACACCTTCCAGAGCCTCAACCGCAATCGCCCAGCTAGAGACAGTCGTATCGTCTCCCGAGTCGCCACGCTCGTTCTCACCCTAAGAAGGCAGCAGCAATGCAGCAACAGCAATGCAGTAGCAGCGGAATTTGCTCGTCTTCCTCACCAGTGTGCGATCGGTGGGATGCCCCAAGTCCAAGGATGCGTGTCGCTTGTTAAATGTGAAAAGGCGAGTCTCTCTGCAGCGCTGCAAGATCACACTGAACCGCCGCACGAAGACATGACTGCTGCCTTCAGGTTTGCACAACAGCCGGCCTAGCGAGGAGACGCTCTTGATTTTCGGAACGGGCAGCAGTTGGAAGCGCTGACAAATGACAGACAGACAGACAGACAGATAGATACTCACACAAAGACTCATACACAAAGGCACATAAAAACAAACACACAAAGGCTCATACACAACGACACACAAAAACAACCGAACACACACACAAAGACTCCTACACAAAGACACAAAAACAAACAAACACATAAACACAAACACACACAAAGACTCCTACACAAAGACACATAAACACAAACACACACAAAGGCTCATACACAAAGACACATAAAACCAAACCTACAAAGACACATACAAATGCACATATGTTACATACGCGAATACCCCTACAATCACTTCAACGGCACCTTAAGCACCGTCTCTATTTATCAAGGCGTCTTGGTGCCTCCTATCTGCCGCATTGTTCGCTTGCTTCCCTCCTCTCCTTCCCCATGACTGAGCACTCATAGTGGTGTTGCTCTTTTCCTTCCGCAACAGAAAGCCTCTCCCGCTGCCCCTGCTGACTCGCGCTTGTGCTGCGCCTCCCTAGGCGCCTCTGCTTTTATCTCCGGCTGCTGCTTCTTTCTCAGCCTCTGTGTTTCTCTAGCTCCTCCTATTTTAGCAAGTTGCATCCCTGAACCTCTCCCTCCGGCACGCTACTGCCCCTTGTGGATAGGAGCAGTCACCGACAGAGTGCCTTGCAGGGTGCTCTGTCGGTGGCTGCTGCTGGTGCCTCTTTGTCCCCTTCCGCCTTCTCCCCCCTCCCCCCCCAAAACCCTCCACAAAGGCTTCTTTGCCTCTGTGTGCTGCACGTTACCTGCCGCGGTTCATCGAATTGGTATTCGGGAATGTCTCTGAATGCATCCAGAACAAACACCTGCCCGCTGCCCGCTGTCTGCATCTTTCGCTGTCTGCGCAGCCGGCAGAAGGCGAGGAAAGAGGACAGGAAGGCTACTTGGCCGCTGCATCCAACGCCTGCCTCCATGATGCTCTGTGCGCATACCACCCACCATCACACAGACTTCTCTGTGGCACCTATGTACCGGCAATACGGATGCATGCCTTCACGAGACGCAAACCTGCGGTCTAAGGTTCCCCCCTTCCCTTCCTTTCCCTTCTCCGAAATTGCAGCTGCGCGCCTTTAGAGGAAGGGGAAGGACGGGTAGTGAGGTGAGGATGTATGGGGAGAGGTGAGGTGAGGATGTATGGGGTGAGGTGAGGTGAGGATGTATGGGATGAGGTGAGGTGAGGATGTATGGGGAGAGGTGAGGTGATGATGTATGGGGTGAGGTGAGGTGATGATATATGGGATGAGGTGAGGTGATGATGTATGGGATGAGGTGAGGTGAGGATGTATGGGATAATGATGTGTGAGGTGGGGGAAATAGCTTGCGTGGTTCGGCCTGCTTGCAAGGGTCTGGTGAAGTAAGGGTTACCTGCATGCAATCGAAGGCGAAGCGGAGCATGGAGAGATTCATCTTCACTTCTTGAGGCTCTTCGAGGCCCCAAGTGTACTTCATAGGCTGTAGCAACTCGCTGTGTTGCTGCGACTGCTGCAGCAGTCCGTGGTGCAGCGCGTCTGGCTGTTGGTGCTGCTGCTGCCACGCAGGAGAGGGCTTCGTGGCTGCAAGGACGATGAGGTGCAGCAAATCGAAGCTGGGGAGTAGGTTCCTTGCTTCTAATTCTTCAAAAACGAGCAGGTGGCACGGGCATCCCCCGCATTGCATCAGGACTGCGCTTCGGTTGACGGTTTCCTCCGCTTCGTGTTGCATCTCCTCTGGTTGCTCTTGCGGGAGTTCAGACGGCCTTGCTGCTGCTTCGGCGAAAGGGAGGGAGTCGGAAGGCTCCCCAGTTGCTGCTGACACCGAGTTGTTAGATATGTATGAGAACGGCTGGGAAGAGGTGGCCGTGCTTTCCGAAGGGGGGTGTCGTCGCTGCTGTGGGAGCCGTTGTTGCAACTCACCGCCTTCTTGCTGCATGGAGTTGCCCTCCTCTTCATCTTCGTCCGCAAAGAGCTCTGGAGGCTCGTAAGAATCGACAAGAATATCTTCTCCTGTCATGGCTATAGCTGCTGTTCCTGTTGCTGTTGCTGCTGTTGCTGTTGCTGCTGTTGCTGCCCAGCACTCCAACGATCTTCGTTGCAATAGAGATGCTCGACTGGCGTGTACTTCGGCTTTACGCCTCCCTAAGCTGCAGCAACAGCGGCAGAGAGGGGTGGGTGTATGCGAAGTTCTTCTGCGCCTTTTCCCCCCCTCCTGTGCGAGGAGCCGCACAGCGAGCGGAGGTGCTCCCTGAGAAGTACAGATTGGCTCTGATGCAAGAAATCGCGATTTCTCATGACTAATATTGCCCGTGCGGCTGTTTTAAGGGAGAAGACACTCGAAGACTGAGGATCAGAGGGCTCAGCGGAACGAAGGGCTGTGGGTTCAAGAATTTAGCAGCAACTTGGTCGGTGGTGGGAGGGAGGGAGGTGCCTCTTCACCACCACCACCGCACACGCTTGGTATGCAGGGGTTATTGTACTCTCTGCAAGCATCTATTTTCAAGCGGCCGCGTCCAGCCCTTTTAATCCCTTTCGCGTTATGTCTCTCCGTTTCAAAAAAGAAAAAGGACACTTGAGACATAATTAAAGGAGAATCGCCGCCACGAGCAGAACGCAGGAGGCCCCTGCTGCCTGCTGCCTGCTGCCTGCTGCTTGCGCTGCTGTCGCCTCAGCAGCAGCAGCCGCAGCTGCTGCTGCTGGAAGCCTCCGAGATGTGGCGGTGTCGATAAGCCTTGCCTTCCTCTGCTAAGGGGGGTTTGCAACGTTTTGAAGCCTATTATTTAGGGTTACAGTTTGGACGTGAAGCGTGAGGCGCCAACCACCTGCATGCAAGCTTCCCGCATATACCCCGAAGAGTTTAGCAGCAGCCACCGAGAAGGCGGCGGCCATATCCGGCGGCTCTTCCAGTGCATGCATTTTGTACGCCTGCTCTTTTTGCGGCTGTGGCAGCACCAGCAACTTATATCGCCGCACATATGCGGCACGTACGATGATTTGTGGAAGCACAGCGTCTCCGGAGGACTACGATATCGCTGCGCGCTCTCGGTGACAGCAACGAAAACAGCCGCAGCAGCGTCAAACGGAAGAACGGCGCAGGCAACGGCAGCGCTACAGCGGTGGTGGCGCTGCTGCCTACGGCCTGTAGGCCTCCCCTCGACGCGCCGCTGCTGCTTATGCCTGCGTGTGGTGAACTCTACTGCAACTGGGCAGCTCGCCAGTGTCGGAGGAGGGGAGCACCCTGAAGAGCAGCAGCAACGGCGGCAGCAGCAACGGCGGCAGCAGCAACGGCGGCAGCAGCAACGGCGGCAGCAGCAACGGCGGCAGCAGCAACGGGATGGAAGCGCCGATCGAGACGGCTGCGACAGCTGCCTCTGCAGGAGGCACAGAGGCGGCGAGAGAGGAGCCTACTCTGCCGTTCTCACACCAAGAACTCCCCTTCACCTGGGGTGAGATGTCTGTAGCCTTACCTTCGGCTGCCCGTGCAGATCCAGCCGGCATGCCAGCAGCGGGCAGTGCCGCCGATCCCCTCTCCAAGGCGTGTCTAGAAGCCTCTCAGGAGGAGATGCGATTCAAGGCTTCGCAGCAGGGGGAGTCGTCATCGCTGCACCCTGTCACGCAGCAAAACAGCCAACAGCCCGTGCCACCCCCTCATGAGGCACAGTTCTCGCAAGGGCAGCCGAATTTGCAGCAAGAAGAATCGCAGCAGGCTGAAGCTGCATCAACTGGCGCTACCACTGCTCCTGCTCCTGCTACTGCTACTGCTGCAGCAACAGCAACAACAGGCAGCGCGGCTCCTGCTACTGCTGCTCCTGCTACTGCTGCTACTGCAACAACAGCAACAACAGCAGGTCGCACTAATAAACCTGCAGCACGTCTTGCAGCAGCCTTGCGCAAGCTGGGAGTTGTCTCGACGGATGGAACGGATGCTGTGGGTGGTCTTCAGCAGTTGACGGCTGCAGGGCGAAGCCTGCGGAGAGCAGCTCCTCGCGAAGGATTTTTTCGGAGGATTCAGGGAGGCATCCTGCTCTCCCCTCCAGCGGCTTCTTCTGCAGGCAGGGGAGGAGCAGCTGCAGCGGGAGAAGGCAAAGCTGGCGGCAGTGCCGCTCAGGAGCTCCTGAAAGCCAGCGCTGCAGCAGGATCTGCCTCGGTGTCTGCAGCAGCAGCTGCTGCTGCAGCTCAGGCAAAGAGGAAGCCTCCAGGAGCGAGCAGCAGCAGTCAGCGGAGGAGGATAATGAAGGCTCGTGCCGCTGCTGCAGCTGCTGAGGGGCCAGCAGAGTCGGGTGTATGGGTAGAGGAACTGACGGCTGCTGCGGCTGCAGCGGCGGGATACCCCTCGCCGCCTCTTCCGCCTTCTGCTCTGCAGCAGCAGCAGCAGCACGACAGCAGCGGCGTCTTTAGAGTATGCTGGATTGAGGGGGCAGGCACCACCCCAAAGACTGCTTTGTTTTCGCCTTCTGCTGGCTTGAGGCCGATAGCCGCACTTGCCGCATGTCTAGAGTTTGCAAAGCAGCAGCAGCAGCAGTATCAGCAGCACCAACAGCAGCAGTACCAACAGCAGCAGTACCAACAGCAGCAGCTGCAGCAGCAGCAGCAAGGACAGGGCGGGAGCAGCGGCAGTGCTGCTAACGCGCAGCAGCAGCTGCAGCTCCAGCAGCAGCAGCAGCAGCAGCAGCAGCAGCAGCAGCTGCAGCTGCAGCTGCTGCTGCAGCAGCCGCGGGAGGATGTGTATCGCCTGTGGCGTGTATCTGAGCTCGCTGCCTTGCTACAGCAGGAGCAGCAGCAGCAGCAGCCCCTTGCAGGAGCGGCTGGGCTGCAGTTTTCGCCTGCCAGTCCGACGGAGACCTCCTTGATGCAACAGCAGCAGCGAAAGGCTGTCAAGTCTGTTGCATTAGGAGGCATGCCATGTTTGCTGCCTCCTACAGCATCACCGCTATCCGCAGCTGCACCTGCTCCAAGTCACAAAGGGCCCGTAAGGAATGCCTTGGGAAGGTGGGAATCACGCACGAAACTCGGGGCCTCCACGCTTTGTGCGGGTGCTAGTGCGGCCAGTGGTGTTATGAGTGGTGGGGTCGGTGGTGGGGTCGGTGGTGGGGTCGGTGGTGGTGGTGCCGCTGATGGCAATCAGCGGGGGCCGCTAAGTGCGGCGGCGGCGGCGGCAGCAGCAGCAGCAGCAGCAGCTCTGCTGCTGCCGCCAACGAATCCAGGAGGAAGGCCTCCTGGCATGAGTGCCAGCTCTCGGAGAAGGCGGCTGGCTAAGGCAAGAGCAGCAGCAGAAGCAGCCGCTGCTGCAGCTGCAGAATCGGCAGGCTTAGAGCGAGAGGGGGCGATGGCGGGGCACGTGGCGTGGCAACAGCAGCAGCAGCAGCCAATGCAGCAGCAGCAGCCAATGCAGCCAATGCAGCAGCAGCAGCCAATGCAGCAGTCGCTGCTCGCCGATCCCAGTCAAGCGCCAGCCTGCTCGTGGGGGGATGGAGAGGACAGCGCCGCTGCCTTGATGCTGCTGCTGCCGCAACAACCGTCTGCTGCGGATGCCTTAGCAGCCTCTCGCGCTGTTTCTCTTGCGGAAGCCTGCCAGCAGCAGTCCGCTGCGTGGGTAGCTGCGGAGGCAGCAGCGGCAGCGAAGCTGCAACAGCGGCTCGAGAGAGAGCGGCGAGTCATGGCTGCAGCGTGCGCTGCTTCCTCTCGCTCCGTCGGCGCTGCTGCAACAGCTGCTGCTGCAACAGCTGCTGCCGCTGCTTCTGCTGCCTCCGCTTGTTCGGCTGTGAAGCAGGAAGGCGGGGGAGTCGACGGCGCTGCAGATGCGGGTACAGCCGCGGAGATCAGCCGCAGCAATAGCAGCAGCAGCCAGTGCGACGACCTGCTGGGGGCCCCCGAGGGGGGCCCCGAGGCGGGGGTTGCCTCTTGGGGCCCCTTCGGGAAGCAGGCACACTTTGTGGTCGTTGGAGGATGTGATGCAGAGGCTTTGACTGTGTTGCCAAGCGGGCAGATAAGGAGTTCTTATGGTGGCGCTACTGTTACTGGCCAGGGAGCAGCAGCAGCAGCAGAATCAGCAGCAGCAGCAGAATCAGCAGCAGCAGCAGCAGAATCAGCAGCAGCAGCAGAATCAGCAGCAGCAGCAGAATCAGCAGCGGCAGCAGAATCAGCAGCACAGGGGACTGTGCCTGCGGGGGCCCCAGGGGCCCCCAGAGATCCTTTAGAAGGGTCTCTTGAGCCGTATTTGGCGTATTGTAGGCGTCGAAAGGAGCGAGCTGAGTCTGATCCTTATGGGAGCATCACACGAGTTCTCGAGACACTTGAACAGCAGCGGGGTGACAGCGCTGCAGTTGCAGAGGCTGCAGCAGCGGCTGCTGCGCACGCATCCTGGCTAAGCAGCAGCGGGAACGAGTTGACACAAGATGCGCTGGCAGCAAGCCTTTCGTGGCTAACAAAGAATGCGGGGAAGGCGCTGGCTGCCGCTGCGTCTACTGGTAAAAAGCAGCAGCAGAATCAGAATCAGGAGCAGCAGAATCAGCAGAATCAGAATCAGGAGCAGCAGAATCAGCAGAATCAGGAGCAGCAGAATCAGAATCAGGAGCAGCAGAATCAGCAGCAGCCTTTGCTTCAGGAGGATGATGGCCGTTCCGCTCACAGAGGCAGTGTTTTGGCTGCATGCCTCGATGCTTCAAGTGCGGCGGCGTTGGATGCCACTTCCAGTGGGGGCAGCAGCGGCGTTGCGAGAAGCTTGAGCTGTGTGACAGACTGGAACGAGGCACTCAATAAGCAGAAGCAGAAGCTCCAGCGGCTCTCCAAAGCAGGCGAAGAAGTTGCAGCCAGATTCGCCCTTCTGCAGCAGCAGTTTCCATGGGCGTCTGCACTCAACAGTTGCTTCTTCTCGGGATCTCCGGAGGCAGCGGAGGGGGGTGTTGCTCGTATTTTGCAGCGGCGACTGCTGCGGCTGGGAGTTCTTGGAGGAGCAGATCCTGTTGCGACAGCAGCAGCAGCTGCTGCCGCTGCTGCTGCTGCGCACGCTGCTGCTGCGCATGCTGCTGCTGCTGCCTCGACGGCAGCAGCAGCGTGTGCAGCAGGAGGCTGCATCAACGGAGGGGCCCCCGGCAGCGTTCAAGTGCAGCCGGTAGACTTCACCGGAGTAGTTATGCCTGCTGCTAATGCAGCAACAAGTAAGCTCTGCAGCAGTTTGGGGAGTCGGAAGGCTGCTGGCGTCCAAGCAGCAGCATCTGCAGCTTCGTCGAAAAGCTCGCGGAGGCTGGCTCCCAGCAGCCGCGGCAAGAGCGGTGCAGCGGCTGCTGCTGCAGTGGCAGCCGCTGCGGAGGCGTCACCTGCTGCTTCCTTTGCATCTGGCAGTACAGATATCAGACAGATTTCGCAGCTTCCTGCCATGTATGAGGAGGACGCTCAGATTCGGCATCTCCATCAGCAGCCGCAGCGCAGCCTGACACAGCAGGGGGAATGCTCTTCAAGACGCGTGGGCTATGGCGGCAGTGTGGCGGCTGCTGCTGCTGCGCCGTCGCTACAGCAGCAGCAGCAGGATGCGCAGCCACGCCACGGTATGAGTGGCACACCCCAGCAGCAGCTGCAGGAACATATGTTGCCGCAGCAGCAGCAGACACTACAGCAGCAGCAGACAATGCAGCAGCAGCAGACAATGCAGCAGCAGCAGACAATGCAGCAGTTACAGCTGATGCCAAAACAGCAGCCTCTCCCAGTGCATGCGCAAAAGCAGCAGCATCCGCAGCAGCAGCAGCGTGCGCAGCAGGCAATGCAGCAGACAATGCAGCAGCAGCTCTTACACGCAGAAGATGGAGCAGCAACAGGTGGCGTTGCACCGGGGAGTGCAGGAGATATGTTCTCTGGGCAGCAGCAGCAGCAGCAGCAGCAGCAGCAGCCGTACTTGTATAATTCCCATCAGCAGCTGTTGCAGCAGCAGTTGTTGCAACAGCAGTTGCAGCAATCAGCGGCGGATCCATCGGTGTTTGGACGTTTGCCTGCCGTCCCTCTGTTTGCGGTCGATGAGCAGCAGCAGCAAGCGATGCAGGCGCAGCAGCAGCAGCCGATACAGCAGCAGCAGCAAATGCAGCAGCAGCAGCAGCAAATGCAGCAGCAGCAGCAGCAAATGCAACGCCAGCAGGGGTCATTGCAACGGCCGCTTATGATGCAGCACCCGACGCAGCAGCAGCAAATGCAGCAGCAGCAGCAGTTGTCACATATGCATCCGCAGTTGCTGCCCATGCAGAATCCGCAGCAGCTTGGCGTCCTCCCCCCCCAGCATCAGCTGCAGCAGGATCCTCGGTTTAGGATGGCGATAGGGCAGCAGCAGCAGCATCACACATCTGGTTTGCTGCAGCTGCAGCCAGTGATGATGCAGCAGCCCGTGTATGGACAGCCGCTGCAGCAGCCGTATGTGATGCTCGGAGGAGCCATGCCATATATGTTGCACAAGCAGCCGCATCGGCAGCCTCAGCTGCTTGCGGGAGCGCAGCAAGATGCAGCAACAGTGGCACCTTCGCCACCACACGCAGACCTCAAGAATTCTCTCGATCAAGCGAGGTTGGTTGTGTCGGGTTCGGCAATGCACAGCATGACTGACGGTGGAGGCGGCAGTGCAGCAGCTAATACTGCTGCTGCTGCAGTAGCTGCAGCTAATACTGCTGCTGCAGCACCAGGCAGCAGCAGCAGTAGCTGCATCAGCGAGCAGCGGAAGCGGGCAAGGAGCAGCGCCAAGCCCTCCAAGAGCCGCAGCGCGAGGTTCCAGCAGCCGCAGCAGCACCAGCAGCTGCCTGTTGCTGCATCACCTTCGGCCCCTTGGGAGGTGAGTAGTAGTGACGCAGCCAAGAGGCAAAGAGGGAAGGGCATGAGCGAACTCGGAGATAGCAGCAGCGTTAGCAGCAGTCTCAGCGTTGGCGGCTCTGCAGCTGCTCAGCTGGCTAAAGCAGCAGCCACGGCAGCGGCAGAAGGGGTCGTTTGCACCGCTTCTACGGCTGCTCAGCAGCAACATCTGCTGCGGCAGCAAGCTGCTGGAGCGTTCGAGTCGGCTTCTGCTGGACCTGGCGGCAGCAGAGATACCACAGAAGATAGTCTTAGTGATTTATCGCGCGATGAGGCGAGTGAGCGTCTCTGGATAACCCCGTTTGGTGCCTGAGGTATTTGCGCTTGCACCAGGAGCAGCAGGGGGGTGAGCTGCGCGGCGAGTCTTAGGTTGCTAGAAGAAAATTCAATTACAAAGGCCGTCCCGTGAAAACAACGGACTCAACTCTCGGGGCCCCATGTTGGTTGCAAGTGCAAGTGCATGCAAGTGCATGCACTTGCGTGTTGCCAGTTTTTGCGCGGGAGCTGGCTGTACCGCCAGGGGGGGTGGCGAGGAAGGGGGGGAATGAAAAGGAGGGGTAGCAACAGATTGTAAGATACTGGAGCTAGCGCAAGAGCTTTCGAGTTGTCACCCCTCGCGTGCGTAGAACACGAGGCATGCATGCGTGGGGGCTGCTGTTGCTGTTGCTAATTTCCGTCCTGAAGGCGCTTTCGAAACCGCCCGATCTCTGATTTTTGGTTTCCCTGAGAAGATAGCAGCAGCCCGAAACTGCCCGAAACGAAAATGTGGCGTGCGAGGGATCCGAGGCAAGATGCACGAAAAGCGCACGAGAGCGACAGCGCCGCTGGTATTGCGTCTACGGGGGGAGGGGCCGCATGCAGTAGTACAGAGGGAGGCAGGAAGTTCCCCCCCCGGCAGAAGAGCTGTTGCGCAGCAGAGGGAAGTATACAGACGTTAGGGGAGGCGGGTGACGTGTTTAGCGCTCTCAGAAAGCTAGCTACGGAATTTTAGAGGCCAAGCCGAACTTGCACATGAAAGCCCCCCTCCCGGCAAGAAAAGGCGAGGTATACGGTCGTGAGACTCAGGAGACGCTTCTTACAGACAGACAAACAGAGAGAGAAACAATGCACCGACCGCCACGTTGCCGTATACAACGGAATTCGCCAGTTGCGAGGCAGAGCCAGCCGCCGCATTCCTCTGCAGTGGTGTGCGGGCAGCCGGGCAGTAGCCTCTCGAGAGCAGAGCAGATTTATTTGTGTAAGCGGTTCAACTTAGGAGGGCACTGCTGGTTGGTGGTGTCTGTCGAGTAACCTCCCCGCCGCATGCACGGAGCAGCCTTGCGGGGCAGGGAGTCAGTTTCCAGCAGCTAGGGTTCCCCTCTAGCGTGTTTCGCTGATTGTCTCATAAAGATCCTTTCGATCACTCGCCACGGCTCCCCATCGCTCTGGCTATAAACAGCTGCACGGCTGCATGCCTGCTAGGCGGCTATGAACGTCAAAAGCTACTGCCCCTGGCTGCTTGCTTGCAAGCATTTTCGCAAGCTCCCACTCAGCGTACAAGGTCCTGCAGAACTAACTCGTTCGCGTCTCAACATCTCTAACTCTCGCCACTTCTAGCTAGCGCTGAAAACAAGCAACGGTCCTTGCCGCCAGCCTGCGCTGACAGCTGCTACCCACTGGCTACGCCTGCGAGCCGGCAGCTCCAACTCGCGCTTTGAATCAGCAGCGGCTCCTCCTATCGGTACACCAGCGAGACCACACCCGATGCGACTAGCTGTTGCTTGCCACAGTGCCTGCTCTGCCGACAAAATGGGAAGAACCTCCTGAGGGAGTGTGTATGTAAGGGATTTGGAGGGTGTGCGTGCGCGCGTGCATGCGTATACACCCCGCCAGGACAGTGCTAAAGCCTCAAGAGCTAAAACTGCTATTGCTGCAGCCAGTTACAACCCCGCCTTTTTACTTCCTGCGGCGCACACGGGTGAAGCCATCTTCCTCGGATTGGGGTATCTCTGCTTGCTGCTGCTGCTGCTCTGGTCGTGGCTGCCGCACGGGGAAGCTCTGTGGAGGCTGCTGTTGCTTTTGTGTATCGCGATTCATGTTGCGCCAATTGAGAGCTTCGTTTCCGCCGGCTGTCGTAGCTGCCATTGGGGCTTTTTCGCCTCGACGGATAAACGGCTCATCTCGGATCTTGAAGGAACTCTCTCGTTCTCGCTCTGTAGTAGGCAGCGGAGTGCTGCGCCTCCACTCAAACGGCTGCTGTTGTTGCTGCTGCTCACGGAGCCGGGGTGGCGTATCCCTCTGCGGAGTGCTCAGCGAAGGCGACTGCGTATGCGATTGCTGCTGCTGTTGCTGCTGTTGCTGCTGTTGCTGCTGTGGCTGCTGTTGTTGCTGCTGTGGCTGCTGTTGTTGCTGCTGTTGTTGCTGCTGTGGCTGCTGCTGTTGCTGCTGTGGCTGCCCTGCGTCTCTGCACGGCGACGGAGGCGTCGACTGTGCGCTCAGACCGCTCACTGGGGAGTCAGACTTCCTGCTGACAGTTTGTGCATCATTCCTCCTGCCGGTGCTCTCGCGATTGGCAAGGCCATGCTTCGCCTGTACAGAAGGGGGAAATGAATGCACAGGAGTGGCAGCCTTATCGGAGCAATCACCAGCACCATCAACAAAGGCAGAAGCGCAACAGCGGCAGTTCCCCATGCGAAAGCGAGGCTCTCTCTCCCTCCAGTCCCCCTCCTCATCCCAACTCCTACGCTCCTCACCTCGATCTCTAGATCTCGCTGTCTCTGCCTCTCTGCAATCTCGAGAAGCCTCTTCTCTTTAGCCTCCTCTTCAGCCCGCTGCCTCTCCCTTTCCTCCAGGAAACGCTGCAGCATCAAACCACCGCACGCGTCGACATGGCCTCCTCAAGCTTTCTTGCGCCGCCCTCACGGGCAGGAGCGCGCATGCACAATTGAGAGAGGCGGTGCAGATGCACATGCACATGCAGACACACATACATACACATACAGAGCTAGGTCTCTCCTAGGAGCACTGCATATCGCTTCGCTGGAAGAGAGAGAGAGAAAGCGAGCAAAACATGGCGAGACAGACTACAACGCCAAGTGGCAAAAGCGGTCCGAGACGCATTGCGCAGACACACAAAACAACAGTCGACGGCAAATGCAACAAACAGCACACATGAGGGATGATGACTGGCAGTTGAAGTGCCACAAAGAACACCAAAATGAGGTGGAATCAGCAGCAGCAGCAGTAGCCAGCCTGCTAGCAGATAAAAACACCAAACACGGGCAAAGACACAAGAGACAAACAGACGATTCCTGTGCATCTCTGCAGGCGCCGCCATACTCTCTGCTCTTCTTCAATCCGCCGCTGCTCCTCCAGCTGCCTCTGCTTGCGGATAGCCTCTTCTCGTCTTTCCCTCGCCCGCTGTATCTTTTGAATCTGCAGCATGCGAATGAGTCTCTGACGCTGCTCTGCAGCGGCTGCAGCAAACCCCTCCCGCCGCTGCTGCAGCTGCCGAGCTACCCATAGCCGCTTGTCCTCTTGAATCCCTTCAAATGCAGTCTTTTCCTCCAATGCAGCCGCAAAGGCTGCGCGATGCTCTGCAACAGACGTGAGAGTCGCAAGCACGCAGCAGATGCGGCACGGTAGCGACAACACACAAAGCAGCTCCTCGCAGGAGGGAACTGTGGCATTCTTCTGCTGCAAAGAAGAACCCCCCTACCCCCCTTTATTCCTTCTCCTTCCAGCGCACTAATACGGCACATATATTCACATATATACATATGTGCATACACATAGATATATATATATATATATATACGCATCAACAGACAGTATATATATTTATACACATATATGGATATGCATATATATGTATATACATAAACAGAGACGTTGGGGTAGCTAGAGCGGGTGAAACCGCCTGCCGTATCGGTAGTGCCCCCCTTTGTTGTGTGGCTGCCGTTAAGCACCTTCTTCGTGTTTGTACTGCAATTGCGTTAGGATCTGTTTATCGGTTTCGAGCTGTTTCTTTGCCCATTCATCGAGGAGAGGCAGTTCCTCCTCCCTGCAAGCCCTAATGAAGTGGCAGACTCTCTTGAAATTCAAGCGGCGCTGGCGAACACGCAGCAGACGTTCCTGAGAAGGCAGCACAGAGAGAGCAGCCAGAGGCACACGCAAGAAAGGTGGAGGCAGTAGGAAGCGATTTGGAGCCGAGTGGTTGAAGGGTGAACATTATATATATATATGTATATGTTACCGCCCCCCCCCGAGACAAGGATGAAGTAGCGAAACTTCCAGAAACACAGACAAGAAGAGGCAACGGCTAGGCGTAACAGAAAGCGGAGAGCAAGTACAGACGGCGTTGCAAAAGGATAGTGCAACTTTTCCCCACGAGCATGAGTAAACGAGGCTGTGAAGCTAGGAGGAAAGTGTGTGTGCAGTTGGGCATACCTTATCCAGCTGCAGCCTCTGCGCTCTCTCGAGATCATCATAGTCGACGTATCCCTCCAGCACGTCTTCGATGTTGATATCCGTCAAGTGTTTTCCCTTGATAAGAATCTTACTGTCCTTGCCTCCAATCTTTCGGATCTCGCTCAACATAAGAGCCGCCGTCTCGCTGCGTGCCTTGATCCTCTCCTCGTGCTGACGCCTCTCAACGCGCCGCTTGCACGCCTCTTCTCGGCGATCTCTTTCTGCGCAAAAGCAACACGTTCAAAAAAGCAACACCACTCCCAGGAAGCCAGTTGATGGACCAGGCGACATCCCCTTTTTCGACGTGCAACGGACAAGAAAAAGCCGTAAAAACTGTATGCAAGAGAGGCATATATATAATAAATATATATATATAGTGAAATATAATAAATATATATATATAGTGAAAATAGACAGCAGAAGAACATGCCCTTCTGGACCCCCTATCCTCCCGCTGAATTCGACGCACCCTGCTTCTCTTCCACGCGTCTCTGCTCCGCTTCCCTCCTTCTCCTCTCTTCCTCCAGCTTCTGCTGCTCCTCCTGCTTCTCAAGACGGCGCAGATTGGTCCGTCGCAGCCGCTCGTCTAGAGAACAGAGACACAACAAGAACAAGAATACCACCACAGAGTGCAGGGCAGCTGCTAAGGGAGGCGCGAGGAGGAAGCCTCCTCCCTGCTCGAAAAGAAACGAAAACCACCGCACATTTTTAGAAGCCGCTAACTGCTAATAGCCGTGCTGCTGCGACGCTGAACACCAGGCCAGAAGATATGCAGGTAGGCTTGTGTTGCATCGAGCTTACTCATTCGAGTTGCTTCTGCCTGCAGCCGTCTGCCCATAGCCTCCTGGTACGCTAGGCGTTCTTGTTGATGCTCTACTGTCTCGTCGGGCTGAAGCCTCTGAACAGCGCTGCACCAAAACGACCACTCCAAAACGAAGGAAAAGCCTTCCCTGAAGCCACGCTTTGTCTATATATCCTCCTCCTCCTCCCTCCTTAAACCCTCACCTCCCACACACAGAGGGCTCAGCGGATAAGCCACATGAGGATCGTCCAGGCACGCTGGAAACTAGTGCAGAGCAACAGACAAATCTAAGCAACACAAGAGAGTGAAGGGTAGACACATCTAAGCCACACAAGAGAGTGCAACGCAGACACATCTAAGCAACACAAGAGAGTGCAACGCAGACACATCTAAGCAACACAAGAGAATGAAGGGTAGACACATCTAAGCAACACAAGAGAGTGCAGAGCAACGCAGACAAATCTAAGCAACACAAGAGAGTGCAAGACAACAGACGTAAGTAGGAGACTATGTTGTGTAGCGAAAGATGCATTTTGCTGCTTGAAAATCCCGCAAAAGCAGCCTGCAATAAACCTTTTAAAGACTTACGCGTCAAGACACTTCGAGAGCGAAACCAGACTGTTCTGAACGTGCCTCTCCGGGCATACATCAGTGCCACCGAAAATTAGAGCCTTAGCAGCGTAATCGATCCTCACGGAGAAGCCTCCGCTTTCGACAGCTGCAGCAGCAGCTGCTGCAGCGCTGCCGCTGCCTTCGCCAGCGGCTACTGCTCGTCGGCTGCTGTGGACGAGAGCCACGAGGAGCTTCTCTGCCTCTGCCCATGACAAGAAGCCCTCCGTGCAAATGTGCGAGGTGAAGTAATCGATCGAAAGGGAGACATACACCTTTGAAAGCTGCTGCGTAAGCTGCGAGAATACCACACGCTTCAGAGGAGCCACGTATGGCTGCAGCAGCGGCTGCTCCTCCAGGCGCCGAAGCAGCGGCTCGCATAAAGAGCTGCAAAAAAGGAGAAGCAGCATACACATCATGCAAAAAAGGAGATGCAGCATGCACATCATGCAAAAAAGGAGATGCAGCATGCACATCATGCAAAAAAGGAGATGCAGCATGCACATCATGCAAAAAAGGAGATGCAGCATGCACATCATGCAAAAAAGGAGATGCAGCATACACATCATGCAAAAAAGGAGATGCAGCATGCACATCATGCAAAAAAGGAGATGCAGCATGCACATCATGCAAAAAAGGAGAGGCAGCATGCACATCATGCAAAAAAGGAGATGCAGCATACACAACATGCAGAAAACAAAAGTGCACGAGGCAATGCCAACGCCATAAAAGGCCCCCTCTTTCAGCACCATTCACACCCCTGCTACCAACCCCAAGTCTCTCCCACCCCTCAAATCAACTCGCTTCCAAGTGTAGAGACAACCAAACAAACAGACAGCCAGCGGCACACCATGGGTGTATCTTATCATGCAGCCACGCACGGCTTACTGCCTCTTCTTATGTCCATATCTATGTGGATCCGTCTCTGTTTGTGTCTATGTGTATGCATGTATGTGTGCCTCTGTTTATGTCTCTACAACTATGTATGTATATTTGCCTCTGTTTATGTCTATGTACATCTGTCTCGCCAGAGTGTTGCTTGCTCAAGATGCTGATCAATTGGCCCTTCTACAGCTCCGGATGTAATCACGTACCATAGTTTGAGGGGAGTAAACTCAGCCTCCAGGAGGGAAAAAAGCTCTTGGCAGGTGCTGCTTGCATGCGCCATGATATCCTTCGACTGCAAAGCCGCAATTAAACTCTCTCGCGTCGGAACTGAGCTGTGCCCCAAGAGAAGAGCCAGCCGCTTCTTCTGCTCGTAATTTGGAAGGCTTATCAAAGAGGCATCTCCCGCCAAATCTTGTTGTTTCTTATCTCTGAAGGCAACACAAGTTCGCAAACTACACATGCATATACACATAGATACACATACACATATACATACACATACATACATGTACACATAGATACACATACATACACACATACATTCATATACACACACATATACATACAAGACCACCTAAGAATGCACGACCCTTGTTTCCCCCATCCCCATCCCCGCCTTCCCCGGCTCTCCACTCAGTTTGACTTTGGTCTGTTACGAATAGCTGAAAAAAAGGGAAAAAAAGGTTTCCCTCCAAATTCGCGCAGCATGCGATTATAATTACAGGCGCACATTTCCCAGCCCGCCTCTGCTTTTCCTTCCCTTTCCATCCATTTTTTGGAAGGCTACTACGCTTACGTGTGTTCAGTGGGTATGGCAAGAACGGCGAGCACAGCCACGTCTGCCATAGCCTGTTGATCTTCGAGGGAAGTGTTTTTCTTGAAGCCTTTGACGTGGAGGAAGAAGCGGATCCACGCAAGTGCATGGAAGAGGAAGTTCTCTCCAACCCAGAAGACTTTGCTGAGTTTTTCGTAGAAGAGAGCCATCCAGCGCAGAAGCTTCTCTCTGGACTTGTGGAAGAGATCCACAGGCGATCTGAGGGAGCGATGAAAAAGCTCGTGCAAGCCCAAGTTGTAGACGTCCTCCGCAGTCGAGGAGCACTCACGCCACAGCTCGAGATCCGCAGCCACCGCTAGCTGATGCATGCGCGTCTCCAAGTGCAGCTCAGGCCGGAGGAGCAGCTCATGGTCTTCTTTGTTTCTGTTTTTCAGCATCAGCGCGAAGTGAGAGCGCAACATGTCACACAGACGCCGAAACTCCTGCTGCCGCTTGTTCTCCTTGCAAAACTGGAAGGCGCGACGTGCCGTGTCGTGATAAACCTTTTCCAGCTTCGGTGTAGTCCTCAACAAATCCAAGATTATCTTGTAAACATCCCACTCGGCGCGAAGAGCTTGGTGAACATCGCGCGCCTCTGCGGAACGGATTTCTACCTACCACGAAAAAACCGCCGCAAAAAACAGACGCCCACTAAGAAGCACATTTATACACGTATGGAGAAAGAGAAATAGACGCACAAACAAACATCCGAACGGGCGAGGGAGGCCTAGGTGTGTGTCACAGCAAACAAAAATACACGAAGATCGAGTACAATTCCGTCCGCCCCGAGAAAAAAAACTGCCACCTACCTGCAGTGTGGAGAGCAACAGATTCTCTGGAGTTTCTGCCTCGATATCCAGATCCTCAGGTACATTCGGCTCCTGCGACAGCCGTTGCATCGCAGCATGCACAAACACACACACACGCACACAAAGGAATGCAGAAAAAAGGAGGAACGCACAGCCAAAACATAACGCAAGTCTACGTAGAGAAGGGGGGCACTGACCAAGAGAGGTCTACAGACAAGCACACATACGTCCCACAAAGCCCTCTCGCCGCATAGACTCGCAACAGCTTTTGTGTTAGACAACGAAGATATATATACGTTTGCAGAGGGACAGACATATGAACATACACATACACACGATATGCTATACAGCGTGAGCGCGTCTGGAGAGAAACTGCTATCAACAAGTTCCGATAGAGCGACTGAGCGGCATCCCCTGATCCACCGAAACAAAGACACTAATAGGAGGTGAGACTACAGACAGAGAAACAGAGAGAGAGAGAGAGAGACAGACAGAGAGAGAGAGAGAGACAGACAGAGAGAGAGAGAGAGAGAGAGAGAGAGAGAGAGAGAGACACTCCCCTGTGCCTGTATACCGATGGCAAGAGACAAGAGGCGGCCACAGTCACCTCTAGAGACGACCTTCTCCAAGCACAAAGCGGTGTGTGACGGGTGCTACAGGGTGTATATGTCTCCCTAAATTCGATCTGCGTGCGAAGGCGGCCTTAAAAAGCTGTGGATAGGAGGGGGAAGAAGGGGGGAGGTAGTTCTCACCTCTTCATCGCCAGCTTTGGCCTTCGCTGCGGCAAGTCGCGCCTCTGCTCGTGCACGCAGCTCCCCGACTACTTTTCCGAGAGACTGCGTGTTGGCGTGCTGGGAGACGATGCGGTACTGGTGAAGGCTGTGATGCAGCAAACAAGATAGAAGGCGCGGCACAGGAAAAGCAATCGACAAGAAAGCGCCGTTAGAGGGGGCAACATGCATGGAGGACGGTTGGGGTGTACAGACAGCCGCCAAGTCCCTGCATTGCAAGAAAGGGGAAGCAGCAAAAAGCGAAGCTAGCCGCGCGGTATTCATGGAGCTTTTTTCGGAATCGCATATATATATATATACATAATGTACCCATCGCGAGCCAGTCGAAGTTTCCCCTCGTCCACACATAGCTGTACGTGACGCAGCATTATCGCCTCCTGAACGGCGTCCCAGCCTTGAGATCTGCACGCAGGGTATGCAACAGCGCACAGACTTTCCAAAGGGGTGTGCCAGGGGAATGCGTCATCCGCCAGCAGGGGGCATGCGCCACTCTAAAGAAAGCCCCGACTGTGCGTGCTTCTCTCCACGCGCATGCGACACGCCACCAACAGGCGCCCCTTTGCTGCCGCGCAAACCGACATCTGCATGCCGAAAAGAATCGCATGGAGAAGACGCGAGGGAGCAGGCGGGCACAGCCTGGGCAGCCCCAAGATCACGCGGCTGCTGAGCCTCCCCCGCATGAAGGCTCCCGTTAGGAAGGCATTGCTTGGTGTAGCCTGTGTTTGAGGGTTTAGCGTTAAGGTTTGTGCTGCATGCACTGGACCTGAATCTCCGGTGGCCGATCGCAGTGTGGAGGATGCGGAGTGCAGCATCTTGCTGGCCGATGGAGAGGAGCTCATTCGCCCTCTTGAGAGCATTTTCAGGCTTTTGAAAAGTCTGCATTGTCTCAGGCAGACTGGCAGGAGAGTCTCACAACCCGAATAATACATACAGCTGGAATGGCAGCTGTGGGGTGCGCGGGGTTGCCGCAACGAGTGCAGCAACAGCAGCGGCGCGAACACGGCAGAACGGCTGCCGCTTGAGAGGAAGTCTGTGACAATTGCTGCGGCAACAGACAAAAGGGCAGCAAGACAGGCAGCCGCAGCAGCAGGACTAAGGGGGCAGCAGCAGCAGCTGCTGCTGTGGCTGCTGTGGCTGCAGAAAAGCGCTGCTGCAGTGGCTGCTGCTCTTGCCGCGCCTGCTCGCTGGGCTGTATTCGCCCTTAAATTAAGCCTACACTACTTCCATGCACAAAAGACCATATCCCCTGGATTCTGTACTCGTAAAAGGGCGAGACAGAGCAAGAAAAATTGAAACGCACACCCGTCGCGCATGCCCAAGGCAACCACACCCAACCCCTACTAGGCGTCGCCGATTCATCCAACTCCCACTGCTGCCGCATGCAGCAACGGACTTCTAGACCATAAACGGCAATCCTAAGCCTAAAATTCTTGAGCTGCTAAGCGATATTACTCTGGCCTGATAGTACAAATGTGTAGAAATCCCCGTCAGGAGGCACAGCCCATGGCCTCCATCTTCCTTTTCTCATACAATGCGGGTCCACTGACGGGGGAGTGTATGTGTGTGTGTGTGTGTGTGTGTGTGTGTGTGTGTGTGTGTCAAAAACACCCACCTCCAGTAGCCGACCGACACCCCCAGTGACTATATGAACACTTCAAACGGAACTTCTTTCCTTACAACGAAGGAGCTTCTTCCACTGCTCTGCGAGAAAGGCCAGACGATCCTGGATTATTGGGAACAGGCTCCGAGTTTGTGTTACCCTCCAACTTAAGTCTCCGTAGGGCGACATTTAAGTAGACACTCAGCACAAACTCAAAATCTGGTGGAGTGTTCCTCTCGAGTAATCCCACCCTCCCTTGCGCACTGCCCCCAGAAGTTCCGACATGAGGTGAGAGGGGCAGCTAGGGTGAAAGGAGGTGCATCCTTTAGGCACTCCAAACAATCAGGAGCTATTGTACATAATATCTAGCGCGCACGCATGCATTGCTGCGTATTCGCATATACAGCAAAGATTACGCTGCAAGAGACAAGGTGTACTACCAGGCAAACCAAAACAGCCAACTCTATAACTCTTGCATGAATACAACTACGGTACAAGAAATCTTTCAAGTCTAACTAAGCCTACTGCATCCCCCACCGCCATTAATTCAAAGCATGCACCCTCGCATTCTGTACTTGTACCTTGTAACCCGCTGCATGCAGGACAGCGAAAGAGTTCTTACCGTATTGCCACTCCACAGGCAAGCAGGAACGCTGAAAACCGTGCAGATAAAAGTCTATATCGACCGGGAAAAATCGAAGAAAACAAAGGCATACACACCAGCCAACAGAGGACGGAGAAATACCCTCATGATCGCGGCGGCGCGATGACTCGAAATGTGTAGGCCCCATGCGAAAAGGAAGTAGAAAAAAGCAAAATGTGTAAAGAAAAAATAAAAGAACGCACCAGTGCGGCAGTGCTTCCACGCTTCATATAGCCATTTGTGCCCGCGGTCACAACAAGTAAATGCAGCGTAGTCCATCTCAAAGCGCCGAAAGAGGCACAGGAAAAAAGGAGGGACTGTAAAGGTGAGAGGGCTTGCACATAAATCTGTGTGGGTAACATCAATAGAAATCGGCACTTTTTAAAGCCACTTCCTCTGAGAAAGGTGTCTATTTGGCAGAGCACGCGCTGAAAAGTGCAATTACCAAGGAACTCGAGGAGTCTTGTATATGGCTTTCAGCGCGTTTAACCAAACGTAGCCGCAAATTCCCCCGCAGGCAATGAAATTCCCAAACGCTATACCGTCAATCACTAGGGGTGGCGTTTCTCAGCCCATTACGCTAGAATCTATTGTTTAGTGTGCTAGCTGCACTCAAAAGTCCTAAAATCCAGCACTTCTAGATTTCCCTGTGGCCCCTCCAATTCCACGAGTCGCTTGCATGCGCGGCGAAGTCAGCGGATAATGCTTGGACTTCTAAAATATCTTTGGAAGCCAAAATTGGTAAGTCTGTGGTACCTTCATCTCAGCAACTATTAGTGAGCGGATTGCTCGTAGCGTCTTCGCCTTGTCACCTTTCATGCTCCTCGAAGAGACTGCCGATCCACAGAACCAAATCTCAAGACTTGAACCACACAGCTGACATTCGGCTATCATGATTCAGTACGTGTCTCTCTTAATCTTTGCGTGTACACTCAAGCGCACTAGCCACCTGTTCTCTGAATCCCTCCTGGTCAGAGCTCCTCCGTGGTGACCAGGGATGCGAGAACGCAACGGGAAGAAGAATGTGCTGATCAATTTTTCACCCACTATGCATAAGGAAAAGCTTTAAGCCAAGTGACTAATTTTCAGTGGGCATAGAGTCTCAAAATGGTGCAGATGTGTGCGATTGGTGGGCTGTGTATCCCCATCCGCCTCAACGATTCGCAGGAGTCACTACTGAGCAGGTATATAAAAAGGCATTCCAGAACTCACTGACGTACTTCCGATCCATGTTCATAGTAATACTCCTACAGCTTCTGTTAGCCTTCTACAAATGGATTAAGATAATGGGGCAACTTCCTGCGCCGTGACAGAACTGGAGCAAGGGATGGGATGGGCGCCGTTAGCGATTCTGTAGACAACGACGTAGACGCCTTGCTCACCGCTGCCCTCCGGAAATCCTGCAATAAATTCCAGTCAGATCAATCCAAGATCCCTCCGAAACTGTGAGGTTTCTCAAAAGGCAGGGTTGAGAAGAATCTTGCTGCTTTAGCTGCTGGCAATCTGGGCATGACAGTGCATACTGATCTGCCGCGGAACGCATCCCAAGGGACCAGTAGCACCGCGTGACCTGTTGCACTTTAGTGTGGAGCTCACCGTGCAAACTGGAACTGCAAAACAAAGTTGGATGTACACAGAACAAAGTCCCTATTCTATTTCGAACCACAGCAGGCCATTCCCAACAGTAGTAATTCACCCTTTAGGCGCTGCAAACTTGGCACTAGTAACGGATGCATGAGAACCAACAGCGAACGACATACTGGAATATTAGCAAAATGTCTAGAACTCCATTATGACTTGACATCGGATGTTTGTTGGTCCGCTCGGCCGTGACTCTACGACGAGCCTAACAATTGAATATCATGTGAACACTGCGAACCATTCTAAGGTGGATGGGCACGCAGAGCACACCAATCCACCGCATTGCACTACTTGCAACTCTATGCCCATCAACGCCAATTGCTCGACCTGAAGCTCTTCCTTATGCATAGTGGGTACATAAGAATAAGGCACATTTGTCTACCCGTTGCTCTCTCACATCCGTGGTCAACAATTAAGAGCTTCTGTCCGATCTGGAAGCATTCAGAGAACAGGTGGCTAGTGCACGTGGAAATATGCGCATAGCTCAAAAGAGGCATGCATTGAGTTATGAAACCGGCTGTAGAGCATTTGTTTGGGGACTTGAGATTTGGTTCTAGTGAATCGGCAATCTCTACAAGATGCGCAAAGTAATTAAACGAAGACAATCCCCCCCAAATAGCAGGATCACTTGCCATCCCCTATCTACGCGATGCTCATTTTTACTCTGTCTAATTTTCTACAAATGGAAGGTGTAACAGAGAATCAATGGTGGCTTCCTACGAAGGTTTTAAAGTGTTGAAATAGAAGCCAACTTTGCCGCACAAGGGGGTGACTATTCTTGCAGTAAGAAGTCCACAAAAAGGCGTAGAAAGTATGGTTTGCAGGACTGCTTTTGAGTGCAGATGGCAATAAATGAGAGCTTGCAGTGATGTCCCTAATTGTAGCCTAACCAGCCACACGAGACGAAAGTTTCTAATGAAAGAAAGTGCATAAGGTTAGCCCTAGTTGTTGGCTATTGAGCAACTATACTTTTACTCTCTGACGGGGAATGTGCGGCTCTGTTTGGTGCACCGAGTAACTCGCCCTGGCGGGTACTCCTCGTGTTCATTGGTTATTGTCCTTCCCTTGAGCACCTGCTCTGCTTTTTATGCAACAATGGATATTGCTTTTAACGTTGCCGGTCTTTGTGGCTACAGTGTTGTCCACACTACTTAAATTTACGCCCAGATTCGGTAAGATATCCCGTCCCTCTTATCATCCTTGTGCCGCTTGTGGGGCTGTAAATCGAGTGTGCTGCATAAAAACTCGTGTGTATTGTAATTCGCTTTAGACAATTAAGCTAATTTCCTTTTTGTAGGAGGCCTAAATATTTCAGTGCTTGGGCGAATGCGAGCCATCGCTCCACAGCAGCCTTTTTGGTTTGTATGTGTGCCCCCCTTTCGTTGTTGGGTAGCGCATGTGTATTTTTTCTCTCAAGTTTTGCTGTACTTAGTGCTCCAGGCATTTACTTCCCTCAAACTCACAGCGGTTTGCATTTTCCTTGTCTGGGGAGTGGTGATGGGGATGCAGCTCCTCCACGTTCTGCACACAGCTTATCTCGATGTATGAATGTGAAGCCCTGGGGCGCAGCCTGTGGAATAAAGGGGGAAGAGGTTGTGCCGGCGAGAATTTTACTTAAATACATTCTAGCTGACAATTTATATGTTGGAATTCGCGAAGTATCGAATGATTGATCAGTAGTCGGTATGATCCCAAGTGATGTTAGCTCAATGCAATAGGAATCGATGTCGTGTAAGTACGCGCAAGATGCTGTGTGAAACTAGCTGTGAATACTCGGGGTGATTAGAGAAGGCAGCAACCTGCACCCTATGTCCTTCCCCCCCGATGTCGGAACCCTGAGAGAAAAGGGCAGACAGGATGTAGAGCACGTTTGAGAAACATCAAATAACTTTCTACAAAGCTTTTATTTGAGTCTGAAGAAATATGGTTCTCACACCTTAGACAAAATGTTCCATCCACCCACGTTGCTTGCAGCTACGCAAACAAAACGCCGGGAAAGAGAGACGTTAATATCCGCAGAGGAGCGTTAACAACCTGACGGCTTGCTGCACAGATCGATTGTCGATGGAATTTGCTGCTCAGCTGCATTGTGTAGGTCTGTTCACGCAAGGCAACGTAAGAAATGACGCATGGGAGGCATCAGTGCGGAAATATGCGTGCTGCAGTTTGTCAAATTTAGTAAACTCAGCTTTTCGCTTCGTGTTTAATAAACCGACTCTTTGCTCCCCTAAAGCTATCTGATGCATCCAGGATTCACATGTTCTCCTCGTGCTCGCTTTCCAGCCAAAACAGAGCCAATCCTATGAAGAAGGAAGAGCACCACAAAACTCACTCCCCAAGTGCGACAAAACTTGAACACAAGGGGGCATGCGCATCCATCGAGAAACCAACACCAAAGCCTAAGCAGCAGCAGCATCACGAGCAGCCCCAAATTCTAGAATACAGGTTAGTTGATGACTGGAAAGAAAAATGCGGCCATACAGAGAAACATACACAACTAAAGCGGGAAACAGTATGCTGCTTGCGAGCTCCCCTTCTATCTATGGGGCCCCTCTGTAGGCATGACCCTCTGCGCGCCCCTTTCAGGGGCCCTCCAGAAACAATAAAGAGGGTCTAAATACTGCATGGAGCAGCTAGTAGATATCCGCATTCCGCAGACTCAAGCCGCAGCAAACTCCAATCCCTCAAACCCTAGACAGCGGATATCGTTTATGAACGTGAAGTCCATGTTTTGGCACTTTGGCAGGTCTGGCCTACATTATGACGCCATTAGTGAACGACTTTTTTAGCTCTACACGCCTGTTCAGTTATCCATTTTCACTTTTGTGGTGGCCGCAAGATCTCTACCGGTAAGCGAATTTTCACCTTCGACCGCGGGCTGAGCGAGGCAATGTCGATTCCACCCGGGGGTTCTGGTACTGCTCGCTTTGCTGGAGGGCCTCCAAGCGGAACTCCTTCCCTGTGTTTTTGCTGAATCTCAGCCATGAACGTGTCTAATGCTGTGCTGAAGAGAGTGATATTTCGCAGCTCGAGAGGCAAGGAAGGGAGCAGACTTCGGGCTTGGTGGGAAGCCTCCTGATATGCCGCTACACTTAGATTGCTGAAGGCAACATCTGGCGCATCGCTGGTATATTTCTCGTCAAAGGCCTCGTGCCGATCCAATATACCCTCAACAAACGAAACGAGGTATTTTTGTGCGGCATGGGCCCGGTCCAAGTAGTGCAGCATGTCTCTGCTAATGGCGTCTCCTGACGGAACTTTCAACAGGGGCCCCCCCAAGTTCAGAGTGTCATCACACAGCCTCTTTATACTGCCAAGCTTTTTGGTTGCTTTCTTCATATTGTCTAGTGCCCTTTTTAGCTGTCCCACAACTTGGTAGTTTCCCTCCCTCGTCTCCAACACCGCATCCTTGTGGATCCTCCATTTGGGATCCCTTGGGCCCCAAGGCAGATATCCTAATATAGAGTACACTGAGTCGCACGCAACTCGCCATTCTGCTGAGTCAGACTCTAGGTGTGCCACCAGGAAATTGTACAGAAGCTCAGGGTCCTTGGAATTCGAATGCCTCTGCTGCTGCTCTATCAGCTGCTCGGCTTGCTGCACCTGGTGGTCTAGCTCCACAAAAGGCTTCTTGGAATGGGAAGGTCTTTTGAAAATTGTAAAGTCGGGGAGCAGAGAGGACAGCAGCAGGTGCATCATGAAGCCTACAACAAACGCCTGCAGAAGGTATCTGCCAGACTTGTAGGGTTTCGCCGCTGGCAGTGAATCAGCTGCAAGTGGGGCCACCCTAGAACCATGGACTCTTGGAAGTAACAAAACATACTCCAAAGGATCGTGTTTGGGAATCTGTGCGAGTTCTTCCCCTGACAGAGTGAGGGAAATGATATCATCGGAGTAGCTGCTGCTGCTGCTGCTGCTGCTGCTCTCATCTAGTTCCCAACCATCATGCACAGTCTCAGTCACCGTGGACTCCATGTCCTTTGCCATATTCGTCGCAACCATGCATTCTAAGCACCCGAAGATGCCTCGCACCCAGGGAATCAAGGGATTCTCGCCTTCCTGGCTGCAATAGGATGAACAAATCCAATAAATAAATAAAATACACACTTGTGGGTTATGATGTAGACTATGGATCGTGAATTACGATAAATCCGACCGGTCAGGAGGCAAGAAAGAAGACCGTTCATGGAATGGTGCAGCATCGAATGTCCCTTCTGCTCGCAATAACTCCCAGATACAAAGCCAAAATCCCATTCTCAAGCCCAGAGGCGAAAAAACAAGTATGGCATGCATAAAAGTCTGTGCAAAGGAAAATCAACGTTACTTAGAAGGGAGGTCAGGCAGGGGAACCGCAATGCTCCGCAGTTCCCTGTGCGCTGTATCCAAACCCCACAAGCGAACCGCTTAACCTTAAGTGCAAAAGCTTTGGCCTTTATACATTTATTCTTCAGCCTTACGCTTTGCTGTGTACCGCTAAACGTTTAACCCGAAGCCTTGAGACACATAGTCCCAATCCCAAAGTCTCGAAACTTTGCCAAAAAAACGCTCAGCTACGCACTTCGCGTAAGTTAAATAATCACCACACCATATATCCCCAAACCTTAAAGCTTCAATATATTTCTACTCTTTCTACACTTTTTCTGCCTTCGATCGAAGTAGTTACTTTTGTGCATATGCCATTGAAATTCGTCTAAAGCTTAACTGGAATGTGCTCCAGGCTGCCACCCACGTGTACAGCATTCATACCGCAGGTCTTTGAATTAGTATGCCCAATTTTATATGACACAGGAGTGGCAGAGTGGCTTCACTTCTTTGCCTCATGTTTCCCACCCCCAGAAGTCGGCATTCTGATGCGTGGGCAGGAGAGCACTCCGCACATTCCACACAGGGCCCACTGCTTTCTGCCGAGATCCTTGCAACGCGCCTGTTGTAGTGCTGCTACTACGGTCACCAAAAGGCCCTAAAATGGTATCAAGACATTTTTAAAAACTATTAAGTGTCTATTCAATGGCGGTTCATCCCTCATCTATGTGCCTTTATGGCGGACTACGCTACACTGACAATTATTGTAGTAAGCTTGGCTGCACATTGAATACCTCCAACGAAACTAGCAATATTTAATCAAGAAATAGAAAGAATAGGGTAAGTGGCTTGTATGCTCTTAAAGATTTTTAAAACTGAAGACTTTTAATCACAATCTTGAAAAAAATTATGTATGGTGTGTTTGAGCGCTAGATGCAATGTGCTACTAGCTGTGAATACTCTGACTGTTCAGATGGTGCAGATACGCCCGCCAATCCTACCTGTCCTCCTCCTCACGTCCCGAAATTTGAGGGGCAGGGCATGGAGGAAACTCGATTGCGAAACACTCAGCACATTGTTTTTAGGAGTGAAGTGTCTCCGTGCGGGGAGAGTACATGGAGCACTACATTCGCGTCGTGTCTCTCCTGAGGTTTGCGCAAACATTCATATGCATTGACCACCACATTACTAACTTCCTCAGCGGCTAGCGGTGGCTGCTGACCAGGTGTAGGCCCCGATCCAAGGAAGCCTCCTCAGTGCCAACCAGGGATGCGGAGTGCAGCAGGTAGGCGAGGGTACTGCTGCACTACATATCCCCTAAGCTCAAGGAGGAGTTTCAAGTCAGGTGGAATTCCAGTAAGTTAAGAGTCGCAAATAGTGCAGGAGAGGGGGTGTGCCATAGTGCGATTGCCTATCAGCCCCAGGTGGTTCTCAATAGTCATTATTATGATCAATGATTAGGGGAGTCATAAAGACACTTTAGAAGTCACTGTTCAACTTCCGAGCTCAATACTAATGATAAACTTGGGGATTTTGCGAGGTGTCCAGATATGAGTCAAGAATGATTCATAAACTTCCTCAGCCGCAATAGAGTTGGAGCAAGGAATTAAATGGGTACGTTTGATGAGTTTGTGGACAATGATACAGAAGGTGTCCTGGTCGCTCACCTACGGCACTGCAGCGATACAGTCCATAGTCATATTGTCTCATTCCTTTGATTAACCAGAAGGGTTTGCGAAAAGCGGTGTTTAAGAGGATCGCGCTGCTTCAGCTGCTGGAAGCCTCGGCATAATAGCGCATACTTCTCTATAGCGGGACGTATCTGTGGTGAGCGTTTCTCGTCTAAAAATCTCGTCCTGGCAGGATATAGTGCCCGACGGATCATGGAAAGACGAGGCCCGGCTGTTCCCCGAACAAGCGCCACTGCTCTACGCCAGGTAGCTCCTTTGCAAACCTGGCGCCTCCCTCCACGGATACGAACCCACAGCGATACACCGTTCATGCAATAGCGCATACGGATACGTTGGGATGCCGAGTGGAGGCTCCTAAAAAATATGGAATAGCAGAAGTATCCGATGACGGCTGAATGCGCGTGTGTTGAGATCCCAAACTCCATGGCCACTTTACTCAAGCTTCCCAAGAGTTCTTTTCGGTTGTTTCTTAAAATGAGTCACTCTGTTTCTTTTTCTGAGATTCAATACATGTATTCTGTTTAGATGCATTTGAAATGAACCTGGGTTTCCACGTTTACATGCCCACGGGGCCCACTGTAGCACGCCTGTAAGCCAAATGGTAACATCGAATTCAAGCGTTGTCGTTACTTGATACGTATAAGCGCCTTGAAAGAAAAGCCAACTCTATCTGGATCCGTCAATTAAAGATTGAACGATCCTTCAAGATAATCTTTGTGTGCACTGCTATCTGCACGCGAAGTCGGAGTCTCTGGGGTTAGCAGGCCACTCTGGATAATAGCTTCCCGATAGGCATATTGAGGACCAGTGCGGCTGCATGCTAAAGAGTACGTTTTTTGCTATGCTTACGTTTCAAACCTACCTAGAGCTATACTAAAATTCGTTGTTAAGCTCAGCGACGGGGGACAGCACGCAATCATACACAAATCCTTGAATAAAATTCTTCCCCACCACTATTCTAGGCATGCACTATCCGTCTAAGCTAGTGGAATAGGCAATCAAACAACTCAGCAACTAGGAATGCTTCAACTTCTCGAAGGCCGTTAGTGCAGATGTAACAGTGCTTAAAGCGCGCTGCAACTATGAAGAAAGCAGCTGGAGGCGCCAGTGTAGTGTTGGAGCACCACAATAGCGCCCGCTAGGTGTTTCCATACAGGGACACTTTAGTGCAGTCTCAATACAAAGTTGATCAGCTGTAATGTATGCTTGAAAAGAGCTGCTTTCTTTGCATGATCTCGCCCCTCAGGGCCCCAGCAGGTGCACATAACGACGGCTAGGATGCGCGTTGCTGCACCGTCCAAACACTCCGAGCATTTACAACTCATTGCAGAAAATAGCTGCCGCACAGGTACACCTCATATATTCTTATCGCATCGGAATAGCTCCACACTGCAACCAACAAGATATACAATCTGTCAAGTCAAACTTTCAATTCTTTACGAATGCTTCGTCATAGATGACTAGCGTAGTAGGCAGCGCATAAATGTAGCCTAGCTAGGTGCACCACAGAACTCCGGACAAATGAGACTTCACTATTGGGCTTCACATTGCTCCACCCTCTAAGCTACCCAGGACTTCACCCGCAGCTGCGCACAGCAGCTTCGCTCACAACCACACAGTATCCATTCCCCATGTACCAACCCCGCTAACTCCAGTCGGCAACAAAATAGATTATACGGGCAGCTAAGCCAGCTAGTCAATACTTAACCATGCTTTGAAAATTGCATATCTGGGCGCGTACACGCGTAACTTGACCCGTTATTCTGGCCATCTCGAGCTCGCGACTATCCCAGCCCGTAGCACAAAAGGCAGGACCACATGATGGTATGCATTCATGGCTAGTGCAAGAGAGGCATTCGTGGAGCTTAAGGAAATCACACCACCCATCATGTCTACAGGGAGGGTCGCTTAGAGGCCATCTTTGGCCCTAGAACATCGTGGATAGCTAGTGGCTGCAGTTCGTGACTCGCAGCTGCTACGCAGCGGCTGTGCGAGGCCTCAGTTCGAGGGTCACCCTTAACGCAAGCACCGCCGTGCAGCACACATGATATGAATATGAAAAACACAGGTAGTAGGGGCAAAGGAAGTGACCAGTGAAGAAGATGCCAGGACGTAAGATGCAGACCTACACACACAGAGTGGGCCAGGAACTCGAGAGGCGCAGACAGAGAGGGAACCAAAAGGGAGAGGGAAAAGTGAGGACGCTGAGAAGCACGGAGAGACGACTAAAAAGAGGGGGAAGGAGATACACAGGCGTAAGTACGAGGATAGACGGGACATAGAAGGAAAAGGGGAGCCATCAATCATGCATATCAGCCAATTGTATGGGCTAGAGCAAGAAAATGAGATGGACGTTAGCCTCTTGGGAAAAGCTTAGCGACGCACCACCCTTAACTTGCAGGCAGGCGCCTAAAATTCACAAAGAGAGTGCTTTTTCAGCCTTAGCGTGTTTCGCGCTCGCCAGTCATTTAGTCAGGTAAGGGGGCTCCGTGCATAGCCACAAAAAGCTAGCCCATGCTACATGGATTGCACGTGTCTCACCACTCATTTATTACTTTAGCTACTGCTTGTGGTATAACGGGGCACTGCTGCTGCTGCAGGCGTCATCGCGATCGGCCATGGTTCCTTTTTGTATATACATTCGTGACTCTCTGTATCGTTCTTACTCCGTATTTGCTTCTCTGCCTAGTATACATATAAATGTATTCATATATGTATATACATATCTCATCACCTCAGTGCTGTTCTGATCCTCTTAAATGCCTGGTGGTGCATGGCCGTGTGCCTCTTTTGCTCCCGCCTTTCGTATCGCATTCCCCTTCCCCTTTGCAACCCTCCGCACTTTCCTTCCTTATAATCTTTTGTCTGCCAGTATTTGCCCTATCGCCTTTAATGTCTCCTTTCGCTTATATACGTCGATCGAGTGCTGCAGCCCAGTGCCTGTTCTGTACTGACACCCCTGAGCGGGCAGTCTCTTAACCCATCTCAAGGGCCATCAAGAATATGCAGCAGAAGCCGCCTCTACTCCCGTTATCCCTACGGTGTATCAGTAGAAGAGTGTACAAGAGGGCAGCGGGTGCTCCTCCAGCTCTCGTTTGTGCTGTGGGCGCACCGACGTCAGTGAGAAAAGCCCTGCTGCTGTTGCTGCATCTCCCACACAAGTGTGCCCCCATGCTGCGATTCGTGCTGCGGCGGCTGTTGCCAGTCTTGCTGCTGGTGCCACATAGCTCTGTGTGATTCTTGCTGTAGGTGTCTAGACTGCTGCTTGGCGCCTCCCTGATGACCAGGATTCGTTCCCTGCCCTGCGGGTTCGTCCTCAAGCTCCCCCCTCGCCTTTAGCTGCCTGAAAAACGTCTGGTGATCGATAGGTGCTCCATGACCCTCAACGACGGTACCTGAGCAAAGAGACACCACCGCACAGAGCACTGCTCATGTTGCTGCTCCTTGATTCGCAGGAAAAGAAGAGGGGTTTTTACACGATTTATGAGCTCCTTCCCTCCCCCTCCGCTTCCCCGCAGAGCCGTGACTTAGCACGCTTGAATTATGGATCTGATCAAGTTTTCCGGACCGTCAAGGAGAGTCTCAGTTGGCTTTGCATGCATCTTTGCGCACAAGAGCGCTCCCAGTGCAGGAGGTAGTTCCTGCAACAACACCCGTAAAGCAGCAGTACACGCATCACCAGAAGCCTATATGGTCGCCCCTTCCCCCCCTCCCCCTGTCCTGCTCTATTGTTTGGCTCTGCTTTTGCCGTCTGGCATTTGCTTAGCTGTACCACCTGTTTTCTGCACTCGAAGTAGTTCCTTTTCGTTCCCCCCGCCTCTCGCCTTTTCGCTATACCCACCTACGCCTTCCTCCCCTTACCCCCCCGTTGCTCCCCGACAAAACACCCTTGCGTTCAGCCTCTGTCTTTCACGCTGCCGCCGTTCGTGGCACTCTGCAATTGCCTCCACCTCCACATCTCTCCAATCGTGCATGCTACAGCCTTTAAGACGCTAGCCCTTCCATCCGCGGCACCTCCGTTTCTTAGAGGCCGCCCTCTCTGCGTCATCCTATCATCTCTCCCGTGTTGCCGCTATCTGTCTAGCAGTGCCTCAGTGTGCCTTGTCCGGGTTCCCCTTCCACGGGTGTATATGTATTTATGTATATGTATGTATGTGCGTGTGTGTATGTATGTATATGTATATATCTATGTATATATATATGTATATATGTATATATATATGTATATGTATGTGTGTGTGTGTGCGCAAGCGAGGCATATGCGGGCTGACAGTTCCGTCTCGGCTCTTCTTTAGGGGGAGATCGTCATTCCACGGATTCGACATTCGTCCCAGTTCTTCAAAGTCCAGTTTACACTGCTTTAGCCAGCAGACTCTAAAGTTGGCTCCCAGTTTTAGCTGGACAGGGCCCCACAGTCCTACGCGGGATAGCACAGCGGCAGAGGCAGAGCGGCAACAGCAGCGTGACCATCCACGGGCAGGCGAGCAGGAATGGAGAGACGCCATGGCGCATGACAGAAGCGACGGGGAGAGCCATGGAGACAAAGACGGGGTGAGAGCGCGAGGGAGGCGAGAGGGCTGCTCGCGAGAGGAGGCGAGGAAGAAACATGCGCGGAGAGATGGGGATGCGGAGGAGGGAAAGGAGGCAACGCAAAGACGAGAGAAAAAGACAGTCCGTTCAGACACAGCTTAGACGTGCGGAACAGACAGGAAAGCGCCGAACTTGGCAGCCCCCGCCATAGGAAATCAGACGAACAGACAGCCGCAAAAAGAGGAGCAGCAGAAAGAGAGAAGCCGCTGGTCATACGTCTTGAGAGGACGCAGACAGAGTCCAACGTGCACCCGGATGAGCGTCTTTATAGAGGAGTAGAGGAGGATACACACACAGAGCGAGACAAGGTAAAAGCGATGCCCATAGATCGGAAAAGCAACGCAACGGAGAGGCACCTGCAAGGGAGAAAAAATGGAGGCAGGCGGAGGTGATTCGAGTTGCCGCTTGCAAGGGGAATGCCGGCCTACTGGCTCGCGCAAGCCATTACTTCTAACCTGGAAAAAGGTGAGGCAGAGGCGGCGTCATCATGCGAGCGTAGCCTTGAAATCCGCCGCTTTCATTCGCCGAAAAAAGCAGCAGCACATGATTCGTTGCGGCAAAAGCCTCCGACAGCTTGCGCGTATTGCACCGGCTTGTTGCCCAGCAGCCCTTGTGAATGGATAAGTAAATATTCGCCATTCTGCTGCACTTGATCACAAAGAAGCGCTTGCTGCTGGAGAGAGGCGCAGGAACACCCCACGCATCTACCAACAACGGCACGTATAGCCCCTCGCCAGAGGAGCTCCCGCTCCCGCCTCCCCCGCTGCTGCCAGCAGCTGCGGAAGTGCTGCTGCCAGCAATGCCAGCAGCTGCGCTGCCGCTCATACGGCTGCCGCTGCTCTCCGAATAGTCGCCGTTACGGGGGGAGTTCTGCTGCTGCTGCTGCTGCCCCCGCTGCTGCAGCTGCCGGATTTGCACAGCCACGCGATCCAACGCAGCCTGCGTCGCAGAGTCAATCGTCTCCGGAAAAACCTCCTGCAGCACACGAAAACACACACACCGACACTCATAGGTACACATGTACACACATGTATGTTCACATACACATACAGACACGTACATACGCCTACATACATGTAGACACGTACATCCGTACACGTAGGTACACATATATACGTACACATACATACATGCACCTACATACATACATACATACCTACGTACACCCATACACATAATAGATACACATACATACATACATATACATAGACGAACATACACACGTACACATACATACACACACATACGTACACGCATGTCCATACACATGCATACATACATACACAGTCATGCACACACATTCACACATATGTATACACATACACACATAATTATGGCGACCGCCTCCCTACGTGTGAGAAAGCAGTATGGCTGCGAAACCTCATCGCCTGTACACTTGGCCTTACGCCGTCGGTGATTAGCAGTACCTTGAAGTTCGCAACGACAGCCTCTAAGTACCAATTGGGTGCAACTGGCGGCATTTGCGCTCTGCTCAGTTGCGTGTGCTTCTTCCTACAGCGAGGACCTTGCTTGCAAAAGCCGAAGAAGTAGTGAAGGCACTCCTGCTGCTGCTGCTGCTGCTGTTGCTGAGCGTAATTGCTGCTGCCGCTGCTGCACACCCCCCGGCAGATGTCTGAGCCGATGAGATCTTCCACCGTCTCATTCTGCTGCTCATGCCGATACACACAACAGCCCCTGCAGCAGCAGCAGCGGCACAGCAAGAAGAGCACCCCACACTGCAGAAGGCTTGCCAGACTCTACCGAAAACCCAAGAAAAGGCTGCAGGTGCACCAACAAAGACACCCCAGACAGCGCTTTCCGACTTCATCGCCTTTCGCACAGTTTCCTGCCACGAAAGCACGCGAAAAGACGCACAGAAAGAGGAACACAGCCTCTTTCACGCGCAGCAGCAGCAAAACAACAAGGATAGCAGCAAAACAACAAGAATAGCAGCAGCAGCAAAACAACAACAATAGCAGCAGCAGCAAAACAATAGCAGCAGCAGCAAAACAACAAGAATAGTAGCAGCAGCAAAACAACAAGAATAGCAGCAAAACAACAAGAATAGCAGCAAAACAACAAGAATAGCAGCAGCAGCAAAACAACAAGAATAGCAGCAAAACAACAACAAGAATAGCAGCAGCAGCAAAACAATAGCAGCAGCAGCAAAACAACAATAGCAGCAGCAGCAAAACAACAACAGTAGCAGCAAAACAACAAGAATAGCAGCAGCAGCAAAACAATAGCAGCAGCAGCAAAACAACAAGAGTAGCAGCAAAACAACAACAGTAGCAGCAAAACAACAAGAATAGCAGCAGCAGCAAAACAACAAGAATAGCAGCAGCAGCAAAACAATAGCAGCAGCAGCAAAACAACAAGAGTAGCAGCAAAACAACAACAAGAATAGCTGCAAAACAAGAACAAGAATAGCGGCAGCAGCAAAACGACAGCAGCAATAGCAGCGACTGGACCTGGCAGAGTCCAAGCACACGCCATCCACGCGGCACTTGGGCATGCGGAAGTACACGACACGATGCAAGAAGTCGCATGCAGCTCCACGCATGCAAGCGCCTCGCCACCAATGGCGGCAGACAACGCTGTGGCGTCCGCGAGCTGCAGCAGCCACTGAGTCGGATCCCAAGACGCCCTGCTGCAGCAGCAGCTGCTGCTGCTGCTCCTGCTGTTGCTGCAGCTGATACTCGAAGGCGAAAGGCGTTCGCAAGTAGCGGGGAACAGCCGCTGCTGCTCGCGCTGCCGCTGAGGCAGACGGGTTGGTCTTGCTGCAACTGCTGCCACTGCTCGCATCTGCAGCTAGCACTGCTGCGGCGACTGCTGCCGCAGGCCCATGAGGCAGCGAGAAAGAAGAGCGCGGAAATGCATCTCTGGAGGATACAGTTCCCGCATGCATTGTGGCGGCAAGTTGTAAAGCAGCGGATTGCAGCAGCAGCAGCTGGTGCTGCCGCCGCTGTTGCTGCTGTTGCTACAGGGGGCTGAGAAGGGACTCAGTTGCGTTTGGTACGGAGCGGAGCTGCTCGCCGCGTTTCGCCGCAGTTAGCTCCTTTCGAGGCAAATTACGATGCCTCTAGACCCCTGCGTGCTAGCGCCAGGGTGCTTCAGTTTCCGCAGCAGCTCCTGCGGTGTCTGCTAGGCACAGCTAGCCACAGGGAAGCCAGAGAAAGCGATTTAACGGCTGAAAAAAATACTGTTGTTGCTGCCGCTGGGATGATGGGGCAGAGAGTTGCAAAGGTTGGGGTCGCCAAGAAGACTGTTGGTCTTGTGGTTATTTCGCTGCGGTGGTTGCTGGAGTTCATGTCGCTGTGGTGTAGTCTAGGCTTTTCTGCCTCGCAGCTCCCTCTTAAATTGCTGCTACTGCTGCTGCCTTCGATGCTGCGGCTGCGGTGCAGGTTGGCGTTGCAGCTGCCTGTACGTTTGGGCAGCCGCATGCATGGGGTGGCTGCACTGCAAGCGGCGCGTTTCCTGCCGTTGCCACTGCTCAGTTGAATGCCACTGATGAATTTGTGGAGGCAAAATAGAGGGTGGACTACGCAAAGCTTGAGTACTCGCCGCCGTCGTGGTGTGTGTGGGACTGTGGCTGTTGCTGCATGCATGCATGCAGGCGCGCCTGCATGCATGCATGCAGCAACAGCCACAGGCTCGAAGCTGAGACCCCTCCTGAGAGCTCTCTGTGCGCCGAGGATTCTTTCTGTTCCGACTGCCTCCTCGGCGAATCGATATGAGCGCCCTTTTTGCTGCGGCTGCTCGCGGCAGCACCTCAGCCGGCGTCTTCCCAGTTGTTGCTGCTATCGCGCGCTGGACTAGACCTCCTCCTGCGTGGACTAACAGCTGCAGGGCCTCCTACGGCACAACAACCCCACCTTCTACCGCGGGAGCTGGGGCGGCTTTGGCTGCCGCTTCCCCCACGAAGGGTGCAGTCGCCATCAAGCCTGTGTCTGCAGCGCATTGCAGCAGCAGAGCAGGGGCCGTTGCTGCTTCTGCCGCAGCTTTTCTAGGAAACAGCGTTTCGAAGAATCCTCAGAGCACCGGTATATATGTAGTCGAGGTGGGAGACGCTCCCGTTCGAACGGCGGAAGGCCAGGAGCTCCTCCTGCCGTCTCGAGCTGCCGCTGCCGCTGTTGCAGCAGAGGCGCTGCGTGTGCAGCATCAGGTGCAGCAGGCGCAGCAGCAGCAGCAGCGGCATGTGCCGCAGCATCTTCTCCGACGTCCCCTTACAGGCCTTCTGGCATTCGCTCAGGATGTCTCCCTGCAACTGTTGCAACAACAACAGCAACAACAACGGCAACAACAACAGCAACAACAACAGCAACAACAACAGCAACAACAACAGCAACTCTCTTTACGCGAGCGCTTGATTGAGGAACTGCTTCAGTTTGTCGAGTCAGATACTGCCCTTTGCCGCGAAGAACCTCTCGCCCCTGAGGCATTGATGCAGCAGGATGCAGCGGCAGCAGCGGCGGCAGTGGCAGCGGTCAGTGGCGATGGCACTGGCGCCTTTTTGCAGCAGCGATGCGGAAACTGGGAGCTTCGCGCTGCAGTTTTGCTGCAAGAGCAGCTGCTCCTACCGCCTCTGGTTGCTGCGTTCAGCAAGCGGCACGGTGTTTCTTTGGAGATAAGTCAAGGCATTCGGACGGCCACTCAGAGCCTTCAGACTTTAGAGGTACATGCATGCATGCATGCATGCATGCGCTATGTGGGGGAACGCTAGGCGCTCCTGTTGGTGGTGGCTTGAAGGCGTTCCCGCCTTGAGAAACATTGCTCCCTTTATAGGACTGTGCGATCTCCTCCAAAGTCTCAAACGCAGGTTCTAATGCCGCATCCTAGATACACAGTCACAGCCTCTCGCATTCAAGGGGAAGGCAGTGCCCGCGTGCTCGTTGCACGTGACTTTCTGCTCTCAATTCTACTGCTTGTGCTCTGCTACGCTCTGACTCACGCAGCGCCTACGCGAGGCTTTTCATTCGCTTACACCCCTGCAGCTGGTTGCGCTCCAGGCTGCAGCAGGTCAGCTGCGATCCGTTCTCATTGCTGACGAGTTGCTCTACGGCACAGCATTCCAGCAGCCGCAGCAACCCACAAGTGTTGCTGCGTCTTGCTCTGCTTCTGCCAGCAGCCATGCATGTGAAGGTCTCTCTTCCGGAAGACTCGTATCGCGCGACACCGACGCAGCAGAAGCTGCCGGCACCAGCGCTGTAGCTGCAGTGGCAACTGCAGTCAGACAGGCATGGGAGGCCAGCTCCATAGAGGTGCGCGTGCAGCAGCAGCATTTTGGATTTGTGTATGGTGAGCATGACACTGCGGAGGCAGAAGCCTTGCTGTGGCTAACCGCAGCAAGAACTGCTGTCGCGTTGTTTTAAGTCGGCAATCGCTCTTGCAGCAGCTGCTAAGGGAGTACCCTCAAGCCCTAGTAGGGGCTTCTGGGGGGATGCGTTCTGCTGCTGCCACATTCATGGAAGCAGTTCTTGAAATAGTCGACATTCATAAGTCAGTAGTTCGTGGACAGCCACAGCTAGACGCGTCAGAAACGGTGACAGAGGGGGGCGGCTGGAGTGCACAATAAAGCAGCATAACAGACATTCATGTACAAACACACGTATGTATATATGTATATGCACACACACACACACACAGGCACACATACACTTGTACAAACACACATACACTTGTACAAACACACATACACTTGTACAAACACACATACATACACACACAATATGTATGTGCATAAATGCATGTACATGCACACACACGTGAGCCCCCACATATACACGTCTACACACAGGAGCCATTGAATTAAAACAGGAGGCACCTCAGAAGGAATGGCTGAGGCTAAGAAAGGTAATGCTAGGAGTAACTTCCTGATGCTGTTTGCCGGCAGCTGCACGCGACAGGGCTTTCGACGGCTGTACCCAGCAAAGCCAACTTCCTGGCTTTTAATTGCGTATTAAGGCGCAGAATTCGCCATGGTAAACGGGTGTGTTGAAACACATGGGCATTCCAGAAGAGCCGTTGCACTCCGACGGGGGCTGCATGCACGCTGGCTCGTAAGTAAGCTGCCGAACCATTTGTGAAAGTCTCAGCGGCCGTTTCTGAAGTTTCTCTTCAAATCCAAATGCTTTCTTTAAGAAACAACTCAACTCAGGTGTCCGCACACATCGTGCGCAAAGTCACTCACGGAAGCACTCCCGAAGCGGAAGCCGTAGCCACGGCGGTCCTCTGCCGCAGGAGAGCCTGCCGGTGAAGTTGCAACGAAATATACACCTGAATCGACGCTTGGCTCTGCAGACGGCGGCACGTGCTTCGCTGCTGCTTTCGGTGCGTTTTTACAGAGCCGAATTTGAATTTCCGCATCGGCAGCACCCGGGGGTCGGCGAAGTCGTACCAGCAGCCCAATGGCATCTGCAGCGTCGGATGCAGCAGCCTCAACAGAATCGAGAGGCGTGTTGCAGCCTCCTCTGCTGACAGTTCACTATTTTCCGTGCGGGAATCCTCCTCGCTCGCGTCGTCCTCGCGGCAGCCGCAGTGTCTCCTCAAACAAGAAGGAGGAGGAAGAGCAGGAGGTGGTTTTGGACCCCCTCCTGTTGGCATTCCGTGTGTATGCAGCGGTAACTTGCCAGCGCGTGCTGCTGCAGCGCGAGCTCTGGAGCAGCAGCAAGCAGCAGCTACCCGCTGCCGTCTTCGGCCGAGGCATTATTAGCGGCGAGGAGCTTTTGTTGCTGCTCTCGGTGAGGCGTCCTTTGCCTGATTCCATCACTGCCAGCAGCGGCTCGGCTACTACAACCCCCAATGCAGCACAGCGACACCAGCAGCAATGTTTGGACGACCTCCTAGCGGCAGTAACACGAGGTCCTCTCTCTCGGTCCGTCTCTTACTTGCTGTACATGCATCCTTCGGCCTTCTACAAGTATACTCTCCCTTGCTTCCTCCATGGAGGAGCCTCCTACGTGGGTGCTCGCGTGCATGCGCAGCAGCGGCAGCACCTGCTGCAGCAGCAGCTGGGGTCGCTGGAGCTGAAGGAGGTCCTCGTACAGCTCGTCGACGCCTTGCAAGCCATCAGAGCCTTGAGCGGTCTGAACACTCTCCCAGCAGCAAAGTCAGGAGCGCCGGTGGGGAAAGGCGCAGAAAAGGGGCTTTTCTGCTGCTGCCAAAGGGGCAGACACCTCCTGGTTAGCAGCCGTGAAATCTTCTTTGCGGATGTTCTGGTGTACGCGCATCTCTCGGTGCTGCTTCAGCTCCCCAAAGGGGCAGCGCCTTGGTCTCGCAGGAGCAAGCAGCAGCAGCAGCTGCTGCTGCCTAAGCCGCAGAGGCGGCAACACGAGGCAGCGACTGTCTCTGAAGAAGGCACTGCGGAGCCCTCGCAGCCAGACGCGAAGGGAGCGCTAGCTTCTGCACAAGGCGATACCTTGGAGGTCCAGTGTCTGGACAGCGAAAAGCCAAAAGATAAGGCGCTGCTGTTGCAGCTGCAACAGCAGCTGCAGTGGGCACGGCAGTACGTTGACACGTTTGAGGAGCATCTTGCCATTCACATCGCTTCCGCTGCGCCGTTGCGAGCCTCTCTTACCGAGGAGAACGGCGACCAGCAGGAGCATCAGACAGCTGGGCTACCCGTATACGCCATGGCGCACACGTATCGCGTCTGCTGCTGCTCCCGAGGAGCTAGGGGAGGCTCCTGCCAGTGCAGCAGAACGCAGCATCCCCACAATGCATGCGACACGACGGCTGCTGCCCACAGAACTCGCAGCTCCGAAGTACAGGCGCACAGAAAGGACTTAGTGTGGCTGGCAGTGGCTGCTGGTTGTGCTGCAGGTGGGCTGCTGTTGCACCGCCTGGGGGCCTTGCAGGCTCTTTCGCATTGGCTGTAGAGTATTTAGCAACGCTAGGTTTGCTGCTGCACTTGGGCAGCCTGCAGAGTCCACATATATTTAGAGGTGGCGCCGACGTCATGTGGAGGAGCCTGCAATTCGCCAGTGTTCGGGCGCCTAGTATGTCGGGTACTCGCCATGTAGCAGCGCGATGCCTTTGCGAGCCTTCAAAAATCCGCCCATAAGATGCACAGAGAACATTCCAGAAGTCTAAAATTTCATTTTACCTGCTGACGGTGTTAGCACTCGAGCCGTTGGAGGCTGCGCACACCGACACCCGGGGGTCAAATATATCAAGTGGCACATACTTACACTCAGGCAGGTGTACTCATTGCGTGCGTGTCGGGGGAGAGGCTCGTATACACATTCGCTGATAGACGGGCACGTTCAGAAAAGACGTTACCCCGGGTGAATGGATGTTGAGGGGGCGAGAAGGGGGATAAATACGCAAGGTGTTGTGTTGTGGTTCTGCATGTGTTGAAAGCTACGTAGTATTGTAGTTGTCGTTCTGCATGTGTTGAAAGCTACGTAGTATTATCCTTGTCGTTCTACATGTGTTGAAAGCTACGTAGTATTATCCTTGTCGTTCTGCATCTCTTGAAGGCTACGTAGTATTATCCTTGTCGTTCTACATCTGTTGAAGGCTACGTAGTATTATCCTTGTCGTTCTGCATCTCTTGAAGGCTACGTAGTATTGTAGTTGTCGTTCTGCATCTCTTGAAGGCTACGTAGTATTATCCTTGTCGTTCTACATCTGTTGAAGGCTACGTAGTATTGTAGTTGTCGTTCTGCATCTGTTGAAGGCTACGTAGTATTATCCTTGTCGTTCTACATCTGTTGAAGGCTACGTAGTATTGTAGTAGTCGTTCTGCATCTCTTGAAGGCTACGTAGTATTATCCTTGTCGTTCTGCATGTGTTGAAAGCTACGTAGTATTGTAGTTGTCGTTCTGCATCTGTTGAAGGCTACGTAGTATTATCCTTGTTGTTCTGCATCCCTTGAAGGCTACGTAGTATTATCCTTGTCGTTCTGCATGTGTTGAAAGCTACGTAGTATTGTAGTTGTCGTTCTACATGTGTTGAAAGCTACGTAGTATTATCCTTGTCGTTCTACATGTGTTGAAAGCTACGTAGTATTGTAGTTGTCGTTCTGCATGTGTTGAAAGCTACGTAGTATTATCCTTGTCGTTCTGCATCTCTGAAGGCTACGTAGTATTATCCTTGTCGTTCTACATCTGTTGAAGGCTACGTAGTATTATCCTTGTCGTTCTGCATGTGTTGAAAGCTACGTAGTATTGTAGTTGTCGTTCTGCATCTCTTGAAGGCTACGGAGTCTTGTAGTTGTCGAGGCCACAATGCAAGGGACCGCAGGAGAGGGTCGCCGCGCGGCGGCTCCGTTGTCACTCTCGGTACGAATAGCCAACTAATGGACCGCGTTCGTACAGTGTCGGGTGGAATCAGGTGTGCTATGTGTGAGCGTGCTCCCTGCCTGTCTATGCAATGCACCCAACGGCAGCTGTACCTGCAGCAACACGTGAGCGAGCGCTCGGAGGGAGAGCGCAAGAAAACTGGGGGGTTCGATAGGCGTGATACTCTTTCTGTGATAGCACTAAGGGCGTCATGGCCTCGCTACCTGCACTGCTGTGCCCGTTCGCCGCTTACTTTCTTGCGCAGAAAGTAATTAGCGACAGACAACACACATCGTGGCGCTGGCAACGTGACCTCAACGGGAGTCGTCTAAAGGGCCTTCGCGAGTCAGCAGCAGGGGCGGCTCTAAACGAAGCAGCTACCGGCGTAAGGCGTTCAAAGCGTGGTGCACGCGTGAAAGGTACACTGCATACACCTAGCTGGACTACGTAGGATCCGCTTAACTAGATGTGGGGTGGTCGTGGCTCTGGAGAGAGGGGTCAGTACAGGCGGGCGGAGGCTAAAGGTCTCTGCGGGCTGTCCTCCCGACTCCCTGCTGAGGAGAATTTCTACGACTTTAGAGAAGAATTGTTCGTTTGCGGTGGCTAAGGGGGCTTTGGCTGCCTCCGTGGAGGGTGCCGGCTCCAACAGCGGCAGCGGCAGCCGTTGGCGCTGCCGCTGCTGCTGCTGCCGAGCAGCAGCAGCAGCAATAGCAGCAGCAGCTGCAAACGCAGCAGCGGCGGATACAGCAACGGTGGTATACCCGTACCGCCTTATTTCCGCATGTATTTATTTTAGTGGAGGGGCGTTCCTTCGGCATCCTCGTGCCCGTCTTTGCCGCACGTCGCATACGGGTTCCTCAGCAGCCTGCTGCCGCTACTGCTTCTCCTGCAGCAGCGCGTGACTGCGAAGCGTGGAGGCTGTTGCCTCTCACGCGTCTGAATGCCCCGCAAACCTCTCGAGCCATTTGCCTTGGAGCGTGCTCGCCTGCCTAGGCAGACTGCAGCCCACGTGGTAGCGCGAGGAGCTGTCACGGTATCTAGCTCTTGCAGGCTCAGCACCAGCGGCAGCGACCATCGCGCGAAGCGAGGAACGGAAGCGGCAGTTGGCACTGTGTGTGGTCTTAGGATGACCACCGCCTTCCCTATCCCAGATGAGATATGAGGGGGCAGCTCGCGGAGGCGCAGCAGACACACGACTCGAAGTGGTAGGAGGAGGTCCGCCTACACACGAGGAGCAGTAGCAGCAGCAGTACCAACAGCAGCAGCAGCAGCATGGCTCACTCAAATAATGCGTCATCGTCAACTGGACGTGGAGGGGGCGGAGGAGGGGTCAGCAGAGGAGGTGGCCGTTCCTTCGGGCGCTCTGCAGGCAGCAGCACGTCTGCTGCTGCTGCTGCAGCTGCAGCAGGCAGTGGCAGCAGTTCCTCTTCTGGAGTAGGCAGCAGCAGCAGCAGCGGCGGCGGCAGCGGTGGAGGCGAAAACAGCGCTGCTGCTGCCTCCTGTCGCGGCGCTCGGAGTAGCAGCACCAGCAATCCAGCGGCTGGCAACAGCAGCAACACGTCATCCTCTCCCCGTAGCAGCAGCAACATCAGCAGCAGCAACGTCAGTAGCAGCAGGAGGGCGCAGGGTGCTGCTGCAGCCTCCGGAGGGGGGGGAACGGGGGGGAACACACGATCCTCTTCGGTGTCTCCCCTATCCTCAAGAGCGTTGTCTTTGGCAGCATCAGGGATGGCGAACTCGGGCGCGTCTGCTGTATGTGCTGCTGCAGCGGCAGAGGCAGGCGAAATGACGGCGGAGGAGCTGCTCTTCGAAACGACGGCTCGCGCCAAGCAACACAATCGGAATCATTTCGGCTTGCTGGGTATCCTGAAGGTTATCAAGACGACAGACGTAGACTTGAATGTCTTGGCCCTTGGAACGGATCTCACTACACTTGGATACAATCTGAACTCGACTGAGTAAGCCGTTCGTAACTCTTGACGCTGTAGAGGGGAGGCGCTAGACGAAGATCTAGCTGCGGCATGTGGCCGTCCGATGCAGCTGCGGAGAGCTGTTTGCGGCAGGATGCGACAACACCTCCTACAGATATACCGCTGAGCCTCCCTCTTGCTTGTGGCATGCCATCGCCGTCGCTGCAGGGAGCGTCGCACAGAATTTCCAACGAAGGGGCCCCCTGTGTTTCGGCAGCAACACACGCAGCACCCTGCGGGGGCCCCATCAGGCCTAGTTTATACATGCATGCATACATATACACACATTTGTATACATGTACATACATTTGTATACATGTACATACATTTATATACATGTACGTACATTTATTTACATGTACACACATTTATATATATACCTATAGAAAGAGATACCGAGACAGAACGAGAGAGAAAGAGACGAAGACAGACGCAGAGCAGGAGAACCAGCAGCATAAATGGCAAAAATTAATTCATACATGACGTCGTTTTCATGCGTGGACAAGTATACATATGTATACATATGCATTCGTATGCATATTGAACGATCTAGCGATCTGTCTTTTGTAGGGCTGTAGGACGTGTTGTAGACTGGTGGAACCACCTGCTGTGTCTTGGTGTGTGTTTTCTTAACAGGTGCCTCTATGGTGCTTTTACATCTCCCATTTCCGAGACCCCGGTGACCAAGACAGTCGAGTGAGGAAGAGCTGCTTCCCTATGTGTATTTTGTTGCTGCTGCGTCTGCCTCTGGGGGTGATGGTGTTAAAAGCACTGCAGTGATATCGTTGGATCTGCTGCGGCTTCGGGCGCTGTTGCTCTTGCCGATCTGTTGCTGGTGAGAGTGTGTGCATGTGTCTGTCTGTCTGTTTGTCTGTTTGTCTGTCTGTTTGTCTCTCTGTCTGTCTGTGTTGCTGTAGTTGTAGTTGTGCGTCGTGCGTTGCCGAGGCATCTCTGCTGTCTCTGCTGCTGCAGGGATATGTTGCCGCAGTGTTATGTGACTGCCGCCCCCGTGCCTTTTCGTGCCAGCAATTTGGAGCGCCTCGAGCTGAAAACTCTCTTGTACATATTTTACTCTAGTCCAAGGCTCCTTCTTCAGGTACTGCCCAATACGTTAGCCTTGCGATTCCCGCACGGTCCTTAAAGCAGCTCTCACGCCGCATGCGCTTTTTTCGCACTGCTGCAAGTTAGCCTTGCTGGAGCGAGGGCTCTCTCTGATGCTGCTGCCGTTGCTGCTGCTGCTGCAGGGATATGCAGCAGCCGAGCTAACCAGAAGACAGTGGAAATACCACCGCGAGTGGCGCAAATGGTTCAGATCCGCGGGGGCCCCTGGAGAGGGCCCCCCAATCCAAAAGCGGCTCCCGGATGGGGAGGATCCCCTGCAGCAACAGCAGCAGGGAAACAGCGGTAGCGAGGGAGTGGATGCTGGCAGCAACGCGGCTACTAAAGCAGCAGGTGAGGGAGAAACACGTGTTAGCAGGGCATCGATACGACAATCGATCCACCTCTCACTCTTGTGCCTTCGTGCTTGCTGCTGGTGCTGGTGCAGGCGGTGAAGAAGCGGAAACAACGCACTGGATCTGGTTCGACCCAGTCTCATGGACAGAAATGTACGATGCAATAGCCGCTGTAGCCGCTTTCGGCATGCACGGCAGCTGTAACGTGCTTTGTTGGCGCGTTCACGTCTCGGCTGCACTCCACTATCCTGTTTTCCCCCGCGTTTACTGCTGCTAGGGTGTCTCCCACTGTTTGTGCGGCTTTTGACGAGTGTGCAGACGGGTTGCCGCATCTGCGGTATATTTTGCTGCTGCTGTATCTGTTTATGCTCATGCAGTCCGTTTGTGGGGTTTTTGCCCGCTTCGTGTTTTCTCCCCGAGTCGGAGATCCGCAGTTCACTGCAACAGGGATACAAGGAGGCAGAGGTCAGTCAGGAAGTGCAGCAGCAGCAAATGCAGCAGCTCTACCTAGAGCATCAGCAGCACCTCTCGCAGCAACAGCAGCAACAGCATCAACAGCACCTCTCGCAGCAACAGCACCTCTCGCAGCAGCAGCAGCAACACCTTGTACAGCAGCAGCAACAGCAACCAAAGGGAAACCAGGTTGCAGCCGTGGGAGAACCTCAGGGCTCCGCAGCAGTGGCGGCGCAAGCCGTTGCGTCGCATGCACAGCAGCAGCAGCAGCAGCAAGGGGCGGGGCCTCCGGGGGGAGCCTCCGGTGGTGTTATCAATGGTTCGGAGCTGCAGTCTGTGTGGAGTGGTTGGGGAAACCGCCTGACGTAAAGTTGTGGGTAGAGGACTGCATGTGTTTCTGCTCCGAGAGGAGCGGCTGCTGGTGTCGCAGCAGCTTTGCCAATGCCCCCGATAGGCTCATCTGTAATGACGAAACCCCAGCCCCTAAGACAGAGTCGCGCGTCGAACTTGTTGCCATTTTCTGTGCGACAATGGTAGTTGCAGGGAAGGGGGGCGGCGGGAGGCGTACCAAATGTGAGAGTAGTGACACTGGCAAACAATAGGATCACCAGCCCAAGGAACGCTGCAGCAGCTCTTTAGGTGCCGGCTTCGCAGCGGCGTTCAACTAGTGTATTCACAAAGGGATTGCAGTGCAGGATCTGGGAGTGTAGCGGAGGGTTTCTACATGTATGGTCGGGGGGGGCTGCATCTTTCGGCGGCCGTGTACGCTCTACGGAGTGGAGTTCCCATGCCATCCTGCATTTAGCATTTGGGGAGCTTCGCGTTAGTGGTGCAAGGTGGTGTTTTGGCTGAGGCTATAGGCATACGCATGCAACATGTAGAGCACAGGGCCCCGTTTGGCCAGACTTGAGGAGGCGGGGGGCCAGAGGAGTCCTGCGCGGAATTCCCCGTTACGACCTTTTCTTGGCTTATGCTCTTGGAATGGTGCTCCTACGGCTTTACACGTACTCCGAAAGATGCGCATTAGGGAACATGGCTTAGGGGGCGATCTCCTTAAGGGTCGCCACGATGTCTACGGGGTGCAACACCAGATGCTGGGGCCTGACGCTGCCCGCTGGTTCAGATGGGGGCTTATGCTCTAGCGTTCCAGGATTTCGAGTGTGCAGCTTGTTACGAGCGTCATTAAGGGGTGCAGTAGAAAGTTCGAGGCTTCAGGGCAGAGGTAGGGCCTTTCGTTTAGGGAAGCGGGAAGGGAAGGTGACCTCGTCGCGGGGCCCTGCTGCTGCCGCTGCTGTCTCGATGCATGCAAAAAATATTGGTTTGCACACGCTTTCAGCATTCACATAGACTAGAGCTCCGAACGGAGGGTTTGGGATCTACGGTTTAGGATCCAGGGAGTGGGATTGGGAGCTTCAGCCATGAGCCTTCGGATCTGGTGACCCCGAGAGTGATGCTGCTGCCGCTACCTCCATTTCCCGCTTCCCCTATGGCGTGCAAATGTATTCAGCTCTGAAATCCTTGCTACATTCAAGGGGGCTGTCTCCTCAGAAGCCGGTGTACCGGTGTGCATCTCCAAATATCCTTACGGCTCGGGGGGTTAAAGGCTCACTGACCTTATCTTCCGTGGTTTACCAACGCAAGCTCCCGTCTTTTCTCCGGCCCTTCTAAGCAGGGAGCATAGGCCTTAGAGTAGAATCTAGTCTCTAGAGAGAAAGGCTAACGTCGTCTCTGGCTCTATCACGGTTTGTGTAGGACCTGTGCGGGCTTCCTGCCTCATGACTTCCAGAAAAAGGCTTGCTGCTAGTGGTTCCTGGCAATGGACAATCTCACTCTTTTTATGCTTATTGGTTGGGGGGTAGCTCTCCTGGCTTTGCTCTCGCTGGTCGTCCTGTGCGTCGTCAGTTTGCTGAGAAAGCGGAAAGCCGACCGTGACGTCAAGAGGGGCCTAAGAGAAGTGGAGATTGTGCGCACAGAATACCAGCGGGCACAACAGTCCTTGGAGGACTACGAAGAAGAGAAGCAGTTGCTTCTCAGTAGATTGAAGGGTGGCGGTTTAGAGTGCCAAGGGACTTTGCGTGATTGCCTAAAAGAGCTTCAGATGCATCTCACTGCAACAGAAGCCACATCCACCGCTTTGCAGCAAGCTCTAAAGCACAAACCAAAAGTGACAACAAATCCACCAGCCCTCCTTGCGGAACTCTGGCTCGTGCATGGCGACCTATACCCAGATAGAACTCAAGACACCTACCCAGACCTAGGTACCGTTAACAGACAACTCCTCACGAACCATGACATAGGCATTCCTTCCTTCATGTAGGCTTTTAGAAAGGTTCTAGCTTCATAGGATAGGAATAAGATCATCATTCACTCCGCTTCAGCCGTAGGCTGGCGGAACTCAGTTACGTTTTTCCCTACGCATGGGAGCCTTCGAAGTCTCTCTCCCCAGTTGCAGCAGTCTGCTTGAGAGAAAGCTCACGATCTCTGTCCCCTACTGCCTCCCTACAGACACGCTTGTCTCATTTGCCGCTACTGCAATCGTGTTTTCCAATGCCCCCCTTCGTATTTCTGTGCGACTAGCTATTTCCCTGCTGCCTGTAGAGCCTACTTGTGCTGCCTTCTCGCTTCCTCCTTCCTTATTCTTTCCCGCACTCGCATTGCTGTTCCTCTACCGCTTGTTACAGATGTGGTCCTCCCCTTTTCTACAGCCCCCCGCGCGCGTGGGGGCTTTCCTGGTTTTGCCGGGTGTCGTCGCTACAAATCTCTTCAGGAGGAAGACGTCTTTATCGGTGCCCCCCCCTTTACCTACCACCCTCCTCCCCACTCCCGCATGTTTCTACAAACTCCACATCACGGGGCCCCCGCTCCCAGTTCTCCCTCAGCCCAGAGGCAACCCCACCGGATACTGCAGGAGGCTGCTCAAGATGCTCCGCAGGGGGACAGCCTTTCGTCAAGCTCTCCTCTTGGCTCAGCAGGAGAGAGACGGATCCAAAGACCCTACGGTGGTGCGAGAACAGAGCGCGCCTCTGCATGCGGCCCCATGGTCTCTGAAAAGCTCCCCCCCATGCAGCTTCCTAAGGTAAAAGATGCCGCCTTTTCTGCTCAAGCCGGGAGTCTTCCTTTGTTCCAAAAGACCCCATGTCATTTTTGGGGTCCTCCGTCACCAGCATATCCTTCCAAGGGGGCTTGCATGAGTAGGACAGATCGGAAGGTATACAGAGAGGAGAAGAAGAGGCAGAAGCGACTGATGCGGCAGGCAAAGAAGGATGAAAAGAAGGTGAGGAAGGCCCAGAAGAAACTCCGGCGGAAAATTGACAAAGAGGACAGAACTGCTGAAAAAAACAGGCACAAGGAAGAGCGAAAGCGGCAGAAATTATTGAAAAAACAGCATTTGCACCTTCCTCCAGGACCTCCTCGCGAGCTGAGTCACCATTCCGTCGTTCTTGTTGATGAAGAGATACATCCCAGCACACAGGTAGCCTCCTATTTGGCCACTGCCGCTGCAGGGCCCCAATGCACTGCTCCTTAGGCCGCCCCCTGGGATTGCCCTTTAGATGCTTCTATGCCTCCTTTCCTGGCTTCTACCCCACTTATTGCTAGAACTGTATTCCACTGTTCATCGTGGGTGCTGCTACTAATGCTGGTGCTGCCGCAGCACGTGGTCACGGAGGCCATTCGCGCCAAACCTTTAGTACAGGAGCAACACATGCTGCTGCAGCCTCCTTTAACAGCAGCAGCAGCACCGAGCACAGTAGGCGTAGCGACGACAATAGCAGTGGAGCCTCAGGGAGCGGCGTTTCCCCCGGTCATCTTAGAGCATGAGGCAGTACCTCACCGAGCACCTGGGCCTGATCCTGCACCTCCCGTTGTGGAAGTGCCTGAAGGGCCCCTAAAGATTACCGAGCGCACTGTGGTGCGTCAACCCAACATGCTGCTGCCTCCGCCTGCCCTACAAGCGGAAGGGGAAGGACGTGCTCCGTGTTGTTCCCGACGTAACAGTCCACACCGTGAGGGCCCCTATGGTTCCTCATGCTCCCCGTGTGGTGCGGGAGGGCCTCCTGGCCCTCCCACAATGGTTATAGAGGAGGAGCAGATCGTCGAGCCGCAGCCAATAATAAAGCTTGATAGGCACACAGTCGTCATTCCTGCGCATTCATTTGCGCCCAAGTTTATCTTCTTAGGAGAGCAGTGGTTGCCCGCCCCTACCGAGAGCCATGCAAACGGGCAGCACCGGGTGTGCTTGGTGGAGAGAGCACGTTTCGGTAGGAGAGACAGCAGAAAAGGAGAGGCCTATAGGGCCCAGGTGTATAGGCAGGTGGCTGCCCACACACCCCAGTTCGAGAAGGTGCTGATCAGCAGCAGAGATACTGAAACCCTTTGCTGCACCAGCAGAGACACACATCATGTGCGCCTGCAGGCACGCGCCTTAGCAGAGATGCTGCCTTGCCTCTCCTTGAGGACCAGTGCAACAGAAGTGCAGCATCTGAGGTACAGTCTAGTGGATTACACTTTACAAAGCCTGGAGAACATCAACACGGAAAGGCTCAAGGAAATCATAGCGGACACTTGCAACCAGCCAATGTATCTCCTCCTCCGCATCTATGAATGCACCCGCGTCCCAGATCTTTCTCGCCCCTCAACGCCGACGGCGGCAGATGCCTCTTTGGGGGCCCCTGGAAGCCCATTCGCGGCACATGAAGAGACTGAGGGGTGGACTGTGGTTTATGAGGCACCCCCCATCGAGTTAGGAGACAGGAGCAAAGTAGCGCCGGAGACCATTAGGATGCACGAGGGAGCACGCTTCTACTACAAGCATCCAGTCACCCCTGTGCAGCCCAAACTGTTCGAGGAGAAGAAAGAGCTTAATGCCGTGCTGCCGCCGCAAGGGAGAGCAGTGAGGCACTAGGCAGGGTCAGGGGGGGCGGAGTCGGGATGCAAAGCTTTAGGTACTAGCTGAGAGAGACACTTGCAGAGTTGAAAGACAAGTGGCTCCGTATAATGCAAGGATGCAGGCCTTGGAGGCTGCGTGAGGTCTGTATGCAGGTTTTAGTAGAGACCCAATGCAATAACTCGGAACCCCAACTAGCAAGAGCCTGCTTCGATGACGCAGCCGCCAAAGCCCTCAGAGCGGTGTCTGGGGGACCCCCTTTTGTCTCTTCTGTGGTGGACATTGCGGCCAACACAGACCCACCAAAAGGTAAGGTGATCTTTAGATCTCAAATTCTGAATTCTAGTGGCAAGCAGTGGCTCTTCAGTTTTTGCGCTGCGTACCTTCCCCTCCCGGTGCTTTTTTAACCTCCATGTTACACTCTGAGCGCCAGCTATTGTGCGCTACATGTCAGGGGTCTCCCGTCAGCCTCCTTGCTTCCCCTATGATCCACGGAGGCCCCCGATCTTGGCAGGGTGTCCCTTGGAGACAGCTGAAGGCACTGCTGTTGCCTTAAGGCCTCCAGTCAAGACAGAGACCCTACCACCACGCCCAAGAGGCCTCAGCAGCCCCTGGAGTTCTCGAGAAGGAGCTCCTCAGCGTTCCCGTTCTGCAGATGCGCCGTACAGCAAGGGCTCTCTTGGGGCCCCCACGGGAGGGTTCCTCATGGGGGAGACGTTCCTGCCGTGCGGAGTTGGTTCTCCCACGGAGAGGGTGCGTGACGTCTATCCGTGTCCTGCAGACTCGGCATCAGGGCGTTTCAGGGTGCTGTGTTTGCGGCAGCAAGGACTGCTCTTCGAAAATGATGTTCTCTCTGTCTCCTGTGTCATCGGGACAGCCAGCGTACCGATCAACAGGACCTTGCACGCCTCAGTTGAACTGAGCATCATCTGTAAGATGGCCCCTCTGGGTGACACCCGGGGGGGCTGTGAGGGGCTTCCGCAGAGTCCAGTAAGCGTGGGAGCCACCACTGGATTCCACTGCGTGAGAAGCAGCATCCGAAATCTCGAGAATGAGGCCCTGCAGTGCTCCGTGTCCCCCATTGTGAGGGCCCCAGGGGGCGGCCCCAGGGGGCCCCCCAGAGTGATCCAGACTGTTGTGGTGACAGTCTTGAAGCCATTTTTGGTCGTTCCCGAGGTGGTGCTGGAGGTGGGGTTGCCGGACGGACGAGAGGACAGGAGTGTGTTCGCTCTTCCTGTTGTTCTGTCTCAGTTCGTCAAACCCTTGTCTTTGTCGCCTGCTGCAGCCCTGCAGCTGTGGTACGACACTTCGTTGCATACCAGGTTGACATCAGTCCGGCTGTCGCCATCGGTCTCTTCCTGTGGACCCTCCTTCCTGGAGGAGATTGTCTCCCTGGGCGGGAAATTATGTCTCATTAAAGGCATAAAACACCGCCTGGCAGACAGTGCTCTGATTGCTGCAGGAGAGCTCGCAGCAATAGGCGACATGGAATCAGACTGTAACTGCATCGTCAGGTTCTGGAAGGGCCCCTCAGTCTCTGGAGCAACTGCAAAACTAGAAGTTAAAGCACAAGACCCAAGGGTGGTCGCAAGCCTTTATGAGCTTCTTCTTTACCTCCTCGAAGACGCCGAATAAGGATGCTGTTTCACTACAGCGGTTGCACTAAAAGCAGTCACATGCTATCTTCGGAGACCTCAAAGGCCCAAAAGAGGTGGGGCTCATGCAGGTAAATGGTAGCGGATGCGTTCAGACCTAAGAGACAGCATCTGCAGCAGCAGTACCGTAAGCACTCCCCGACAGAACAAAAGAGTACCTGCCACAAGATCACCAAATGCAGCAAAACATTGCCACAAGCAGAAAATAAGCTTTTGGAATTGATTTTTCTTAAACAATTCCTTCACTTCTTATTTTACTTCGTTTAACGTAGAAAGCTGTATTCAATCGAGACTCCGAGCCCGAAGTCGTATTGCCCTAACCATTCACTCGACATCCTTGATCAGAAGCAATCTGCCATAGGAAGTCTGCAAGAAAGGCCACCCAACGCAATAGTAAAGTGGCATATGCTACAAAGTACAGCGAATAGTAACCTTGCAATGCCCACTGAATATATACTGCTTAGGTATTTAAAGATGGAATATTTAATGAACTTCCTGAAAGCTGATCAGAGAGTAGGCAAGAATGAGAGGACTCTTTTATTGGGCAATGGTCGATAAGAGGGAAGATGCACTCGCAAACGAAAACGGATAGACTAGGTAGCCAAGGCATGCACTTCCGAACCTTTCTTTCTAAATCTCACGCACAGGACATGGAAATTCCGTGCAAAGAAGACCCAAAGCTTTTTTGAACACAAAGAGAGATGAAGGTATCATAGTGAAGAACAATTACGGCGAGGGTACTGCGTTCGTGCACTCATAGAGCTTCGATCAAGCTCACTCATTAGAATGCCACACAGATACAACGTACATGGATACATGCATATGCACGCATAGAGACACCCGCCCATAAGAATACCTAGCATTTCGTACCCAGACAAGCAAATGAATCAAGCAAGACATATTGTTTATCTAAGTGAATAAGTGGCTGGCACAAAGCGAGACAGCCTGGGAGGGAAGTATCTTAGTTTCTAAATCGATAAACACGTTAGAGGTGTTCCTCGCAGTCAGACGGTGCTCAGGCTCGATGCAGTCCGCCATTTACAAATAAGAGCACAATCACTGGCCGTTCCTCGTGAATTTTTCCACACAAGTGTAGAGTTAGCAAAGACAGAGAAAGAAGAGCCACGAGAATTGAGAAATGCGAGTTATTTTTGCCTTTCAATCTAGTTAAACAAGAAGCCAAGTACCCTGTCTGGCCAAGTCCCTGAGTTTCGACGTTTTGCACTTTATACTTATGCCTATATATATACATAGGTACGCAGACAGGTCTAGATGCAACATACAACCGGATAAGCTACACCAAAAAATCTTCTGCCGCAGTATTCACATATTACATAAGAAATAGTAAGGGAATGCATAAGTGTTCTGTCTGTTCGTATCTCGTATTCACAGCAGCGTACTAGTAGCTGTAACCCTCCATCTAAGATCTCCGAAGGGAGACGCTTAACTCAAGGCACAATACAAGCGTTGTAGGAAGTTGCTGAGAGTTTCTCAAAAGATCTCCCGCCTTCTTATGCTGTCGCCCGTAGGAGTTCGCACAAGAGAGGAAATCGACAGGTAGGGTGTGCGTGCCTGCACCCTTTAAGCGCTCCAAGCATTCGCCACTGGTTACACATAGCTTCTACAGCACAGGCACAAGGCATATGTAGTATCTTGGTGTACGCTACTAGAGGAATGGCATATTAATAGAGAAAACAAACAAGGAATTCCTCACCAATTCTTAGTTATTTATGACTAGTGTGGTAAACAAACGTCCATGTGCAGGTGGGTCCCCTACAGTAGCTCGACATAACGTAACGAAATGCCTTGTGCGTGTGCTCTTGAAGCTATGTGTAGCCACCGATAAATGCTTAGAGTGCTTTGAGGATGCAGCTACGCATACCCTACCTGCCCCTCTCCCCCTTGCGGGAACTTCGAGGGGCGTAGCAGAAAGAGACGCGTGCTTTTTACAATGACCCCCAATAATTTTGCACCAAGTCTGCATTGAATCCGTATTCAGGTGTCTCGTTACGCAGAACATAGATGGAGCGCTACAACTATGCCCCATTGGGTCCTGACGAAGTCGAAAAGACTTCCCTTGTGCGCATTACGCATGGGTGGTCCAAAAGGCATAAGATAGTGCGCCGCGGAAAATAGATCTTCGTTGATTAACGATTTACAGTGCAAAACCTGAGTGGTGTTCCCGTATTACTGGTACATTAACACTACGCCTGATGTAAATACAGTATCACAATAGTCCTCAGCATCTTGGAACAGACAAAAAGGGAGCTAAAACAGGGTAGGGCACTCTCATCAAATATTCAGGGACCGGCTCAAGTGCGCGTGGCTGTTACGCGGTTGCAGTTCATGGCCACATGCAGAGCTGAAGGAGAGCGTCAAGCTGTGAGGAAGGAAGGAAGCCCTCCTTCGGCGGTCGTGTTGCTGGAATTCATAGTTTAAGTGTACTGGTCGTGCTTTGTTTTGGAATTAGCCTCCCTCCCAGGCCACCGGGATTTCCCCCCATTCTGAAGGATATCTGCCTCGCAGAGACAAAATGAATCACCGTGTGCTTAGCTCAGTAGCAAGGCAAAGATTGTACCATTCACGTCGTCCACTGAATCCCTAAATGCCCCTACAGAGCAAGGAGCTAGACACACAGAAGATTGAGGGCTAAACAGTCCCAGCGAGTACCAAAGCGGGATTACACTGCTATATGGGGTGTAAATGGACTAAAAGGATTTGAGCTAGCCATTAAGTGCGCACAAGGGAGAGAGCACTCAGGCGGACTACTGCAGCAGCAGCCGCTACACTAGCAACAGCCCTCCTTTGCAGTGGCAAATTCGGATTTTTTTCTTCTCTCGGCTCATCCTTTTGCCTTCGATTTTTCTGGCCTTGCTTACTCTTCTTTTCTGATATCTTTTGGGCATCCGTGTGTCATGGTGGTTCTTCAGACAGAAGAAGAGGCCTCCCAGGGCCTCTGTAGGGCTTGCCCCCCGGGGTCCCCTTGTAACTCGTTACGCTGCAGTGCCTCTAACTCCACAGAGCAAGGACCCTCTCATCGCTTATTAAAATTGGCTTCCAGCGCTACGCGTGCAGGAGGATCAGCAGCGTTGGGAGGGTCATCGGCAGCACGGGAGGCATCAGCGGAAGGGGAAATGGGGTATCACTTTGAGACCGACGATTTTCATTGGACAGCTCAGGGTATTTCACACCCGCGGCGCCGCCGGCAGATATTGGCGAAATATCCGGAGATAGAGGCCCTCAACGGGTACGATCTGTATGCGGGCGCGTATGCGATCGCCGTCACTTTGTTGAATATATTCTTCTGCTACAAGATTTCTCAGTGGCAATTGTCATGGCCTTGGGTCATCTTCTTGACGTATTGCATCAGTGGAACCCTGAATCATGTGCTGTTCCTCTCGATGCACGAAGCGTCACACTGTGCCCTCTTTCCCGGGAGGATGCTTCACGAGCTCTACGTCGTCTTCTCGAACCTTTCTATGGGGGTTCCCGCAGGTATGGGGTTCCTACGTTACCATTTAGACCACCATGTCTATATGGGAACCGACAAACTTGACCCAGATATCCCGTCTAGGCTGGAAGCAAAGTTGTTCCGGTCTTGGCTGGGAAAGCTGGTGTTTGTGTTGCTCCTGCCATTCACGTATTCCCTTCGCCCCATGATTCGGAATCCCAAGCCCATAGTGCCAATGGAGGCCTTCAACTGGGCCGCCATACTGCTGTGGGATATGTACGTCTACCTTTACTGGGGTCCTAAGGCGCTCCTCTATTTGGTCCTCGGCACCTTCTTCTCCATGTCTATTCATCCCTTGAACGGCCATCTCATCGCGGAGCACTACCAGTTTCCTAGAGGGCAAGGTCTTCAAGAGACATGGAGCTCATACGGGCCCGAGAATCTTATTACCTTTTGTGCTGGGTATCACATAGAGCACCACGACTTCCCGAGAGTCCCTGGCTACCGATTGCCAACGATAAGGAAAATCGCTTCGGAGTTTTATGATCTTCCTCATCACAAATCCTGGCTTGGCTGCGTCATAGAGTTCATCTGCAACCCCAAAGTCTCCCCGTACAGCAGGGTGAAGCGCATTTGTCCGAGGGGCGGCAGAGTTCAACCGCCACACAAGCCCATGTTAAAGGAACCGGAGGAGCTGGGAAGCTACTGGCTAGGTCCTACGAAGGATCAGGCAGTCGAGAAGGAGCAAACTGACGCGAGCCAGGCCGAGAAGAAGCATGCGTAGGATGGCATGCGGCAAAGAAACATTAGCGAGGCAACCGAAGGGTGGTACCCGCGGGAGGGAAACAGAGGGGCAGGCACGGAGACGGAGACAGAGAGAGGCACGGTGGAGGGGGGAGGGGCGCTGCAGCATGCAACGAGATAGCTTCAATCCCGAAAGAAGGCCATTCATAGAGTCAAGGTAGCAGTTTAAATCAGGCCTTCTCTGCAGCGCACGTACCACCAGAACGCCGAGCAGCTGAGGCCTCTGAAGCACCAGCAGCGCGAGTTTCAACTTGCTCGGAGATCGCGGTGAAGTGCGATTCTTAGAGGGAACTGGGGAGGCGGAAAGGAAGGCGTCGGCGGTATGGACAAAAGCAGGAAGGAGACAAGACATCTAGAGGGCAGAAGGGGGAGACGAGAGGCGACGTCAGAACCTCTTCTTTCGTTCTGACGTTTAACCAGCGCGTGCAGATCACTTATTCTCGCGCTCTCTGAATCTTGCTGGCTTTTCTTTGTAGGCGTTGCATCGGCGTTGCTTCCTGTATGCTTTTCTCTTTGTAGATTGCTGTTATGCTGGATGTATCATTGAGGACTTTTCCGACAGCGCTTTTTTTGTTTACTACTTTCAGCTCCATTCTCGCTGGATCGCCTACGTCTGCATTGGGGTCGAGTTTTTCTTGTTTTGCCTCCTCGTCTTTTTCGCACCATGTGTATATGCCTCTGCTCGTTTTACCCCTGTGCCTGTGTCATCGAAGCCAGCTGTGTTTATGCAACTTAGGCAGCGCGTGTTTGATCTTCTAGAGCCATTAAAAATGCACCTATCGTGCGCTCGTTTCTACCCAAAGAAACCCTGTGTGCGGGTTTATCCGAAGGGAGTGACGCGACCTTGAAGAAAGCGCCCCGTCAGACGAGCTTGCCCCATCAGAGGACTCCCTAGTCGGTCTTAATGAGGGTTTCTTTTATTATTGAAAGCTTTTTATCAAGGGAAGCGGGGGGTGGCCGCAGGAATCCATTACTCACTAGGGTGTCCAAGCTGTAAGGGGCCTCAGGCGTTCTTTGATGGCCACAGGACACTCCTTGGGTTTCCAGCCCGTTTCGCTTGCACCCCTTCGCCTTCTTACACATGGGTCTCGCCCCTGCCCTTCTGGTCTCTGTCAACTACTGAGAGGCAGCAAATGCATTGGGTGTGCACACGTAGCGTTTGCTTCACCGGCTTGTGTAGCAAGCAGGCTGCAGCAGCGGCCGAAGCAGTAGCAACTGCAGAAAGAACCAGCGTGAACAGTAAAATTTGTTGCAGCAGCACACATTGCTACAGCGGCAGCAGAGACAGCCCCGATGGCAGTAGCAGTTGCCGTAGGATTCGCTGCGGGAGTGGTGCAGCACTAGCATATGAAGCAGTGGACGGGCAAGGGTACAAAAATTAGGAGCCACCGCTGTTTATTGTTCGGTTATTTGCATTTTAAAGATACAATTATCTTGAAGCAAAGAAGTGAGAGCGCCTCGCACTTGGTCGCCCACATGGGTTTAGGAAAAGGGCGGGCATTGGCTTAAACGGGACGAACCACTGACTGTACAGACCCTCGGTTTTTAAGACCATCGTAGCGCCTCCAATGCGAGTGTGCGAAAAAATCGATATCATGGGAATAGAGTAGGCACTTGTAATGCTCTCCTAGGGTGTCCGTAGGAATACACTTCTGGACCCAACCCCTTTTCAAAGATACTGAGCGCCTTCCCAAAGGAGCTCTCTGTCACTGCTCTTACCCCTCAGCGTTTTGGCGTAAGGGGAGAACGGAAGACAGACAGCTGGGGCGTATGGACATCTTCAAACTTCATGCGCTGCAAGCATTTTTCAGAGTTGGTTGCATAGGGTGGCACGCCGTAACGCAAAGGCAGACAACATTGAATTGTGATGTACTTATCCGACCAGCTAAGCTCTGCAAGCAAATACAGATGAATATCTAAAACAAGTACACTATAACTTACTCGTTATCAAAAAAATTGTGTGTTAGAAAGTGCCTTAGTGTGTAATTCACCCCCTCCAGCGTTGATGCGCTCGATGGTGCTACGTGCTCATGCACATCAGACACACGAAGTCCGGGGCTCGGAGTAAAACAGCTTCAGCTTTTTCCGGGCAACCCAGGGCCAACGCGCGGTAGGGTTACCTGTATGGCTGGGAGGGGTGAAGGGGCGGGTGTGCTGCGATGATGAGCAAACGCCTTATCGAAATAGAAAGGCTTGCAAGGGTCTATTGACAAATATTTCATAGAAGCGCATTGATGAATACAGTTGAAAGAGCAGGGTACTGCGGAGGAGGCAAAATGGAGCCAGTGGAAAGTGAAAGAAAAAGGAAAGACTACGGAGATGTAGGTGGTAAAGGAAACAGTCGAAAGGAAGACGCGCGGCTAAATAGGCACAGAGGTACTAGGAATGAGCTCAGGCAAAAGGAAAGAGAGCAAAACGCAGAAGCTTGCAACAGATGCAAAAAGGCGCCTGGAGAGTGGTGCCGTCCGTATGCGGGGTGGGAACAAATGTACAATACTTAGGTGTGTCCAAAGGTTTTACACAGGCAGCTACGATTCCCTTTCAAGAATCAAAATATTAAAGGTTTGTTTTGGCGGCTTCGCTCTGTAATATTGGCTGCAATGCAGTGTGTGTGGCTGCCTTCTGGGATATCCCTACACCTGTGCTTACGTCTTTATCTGTTTTGCTTCATCTGCCTCTCTGTGCCCAATGTGTGGCTGCACAAGGCTACCTGTGTCGTATATTGTTCAATTTTGCCGGCAGTTGACGTCCTTTGTCTTCCTTTTGGCAAGTATGCTGTGGAGTACAGCACGCTGAATCGCAAGGCATGAACCTGATGTCCTCGAGGAATCTACATCGTCGTACAATCCTCCTGAATTTACTAAAAGTGCGTAGACTTTAGGGTTTATGACGTTTGGAGCGTTTACACCCCAAACCGTAGTATCTGATGAAGCGCCCCTGTCCGACTGGTCGGAGGCCGCTGGTTCACTCCCTAGCGCCGTGCTATACACCTAGCAAACATTGAATTCTGCTTGTGTTTTCAATTAAAATAATGTTTTGCAGTGAAGGATGGGGTCTTCGGCCCTATTTTCCTCTTCTGCCCTTTAGTTGATGTAGCCGACTCCTGCGCCTTCGCTGCCAACTGGCATGTAGTCCAGACCCAAACCGTTCTTCCCGTGCCATTTTGTTCATTTAATCTCTTTTATCGAATCGCATGCCACTCATATACCCACAAATCTTAAGGCGTCTACCATGGAGTCTCGCCGCCTTTCGCCCTTTGCAGTTGAGAGGCCCCCCCAGACGAGAGTCAAGGCCTTTCACGCTGCAATGGCAGCAGCAGGAGCCCCCAAAGATCCTTCTAAGCAGGCCATCCAAAATGATGTTGACGTTAAACACCTACAGAAGCCTAAGGGTCGGCTTGAGAAGCCACCCGGGCGTTCCAACTCGCCTTCTCTTCAGCCCCCGGCAGAGGGTGAGGACGGAGAGCTTTCAGAGGTCGCTCCCGCCTCTGACGCTGAAGAAAAGATTCCTGTGCAGCTTGGTATAGACAACGTGGCTTGCTGCTGCTGCAGCCACGGGGCAGCAGATTTACTCCTGCTGCAATGCAGCCATCTGCTATGTCTGCCATGTGGATCTCGGGAGCTACAGCATCAGGCGGCAACGGATCCAGCTGCAGGTCTAGGCATTATTATTTGTCCCTTATGTAACACTAATACTCTGTTGTCCTCTAAGGCAGCGGCTACTCTCATTAGGGCCCGCCCTAAGAGGATACACCCTAGAGAGAGAGGAAATGCCATAGACGCAAACGCAGAATGGGCAGCATCAGAAGCGCCGGAGCCAGCAGACACACAGGAGGTGACTCAAGATAAGGAAGTAACTCGTGTGTCTCGTGATGAGGTGCCCCGTTGGGCCTCACCGACTGCGTCTACGTTGGCGGCAGTAGCACAGAGAGGCTCCGTCAGCCCGCGAGACCTCTTGACGCCACCTTATCTGGATGCTTCTCACATAGAGTGGCCTCTTCTGTGTTCTTCATGTGAAGAAAAGTCGGCCTCAGTGTACTGCAGAGATTGTGTTAGGGCTTTCTGTAGGGCTTGTGCTGTAGAAGCGCATGCGCCGCAAGGTGAGCAAGACGAAGACCAATTTCTAGATTAAGAACCCCCATGGCCGAATACATGACTATCGCTTCTTGTATATTTCTTTGTTTCAGCCGTTCTGACTATCTCTCCCGCTCTTCTGAGGCTGCCTCCGTTTAGTCCCACTCCTTCTACATCGTGTATTGGGTATGGGCGTTGTCGTTTAGGGGTTGTGGAGTGGAGCTTTGCGTCTGTTTGTTGCGTGTACAAGCAGGACGTGCTAGCTCCCCCTCCTCTCGAGTGTCTCGCCACCGATTTTCTCTTTTGTCTTCCCGCGGTGTCTCTAGAGTCCTCCCCCTGACCAATCCCTCTCGTTGCAAATTGCGTTCAATGGATCACATTAAGCGCCTGGAAGACGCGGAGCCCTTCCTCTCTTTGGCCGAGTGTCTCTCAAGCTTCGAATCCACGGCTCTAGCTGCTGGTGAAGCTGATGCTCGTGAACCCACTGGAGGGCTCGGAGAAGCATTGGATCCGAGTCAGATAGCGTATACGCACGTTTCTCCAGCGCAGCAACAGCGGCAGTGCACAGTCTCATCTCTGCCTTGCGAGGAGCATCCCACTGAGCCTGTCAGGTTCTACTGCAGGAGCTGCGGGGGGCGCTGTATCTGTGCTGAATGCGTGGTGTCTGGCCAACACCAGAGGCACAACGTAGTGGCCGTCGATGGAGCATGGCAAGAGGCCGTATCGAAGATAGAGGGTGAGCTAAACCCCAGCCTAGATAGAGCAGAAGGAGACACCGAGAATGCTAGGTCCTTTCTTCAAGACAAACGGACCGAGTGGTCGGCAGCCCTCCAAGAGGATAAACAGCTTCTCTCCCTCACGAGCCAGCAGATCAAAAAGCAGCTAGCAGCCAAACAGGAAGAACTGCTGGGGGTGCTAGAAACACATTTACGAGATTTCTCTGCAGAATGTGAGGGTTTTAGGGCCTTCATACAAAAGAAACTGCAGTTGGTAGAGGGCAGGGCCCGACAGGTGGCGGAAGGAAAGGGAGCCCTAGATCCTCAGCTGGTCCTAGAGTTCGTGTCCAAAGAATATCAAACCACCCAAGAAGTTATTGCTGCTGACATACCCAAAACCGTCAGACACCTCCCCGATAGCAGGAATGCTGTCCTCGACCATGTGCAGCAAACCGCAGAAGATCTGCTCGCAGCTCTCGGATCTCTCAGAAACAAAATACTGACAAGTACTTGAGCGGAGATCCCCTATCGACCTCATGGGGCCTCTTTTCATGCACTTGAAGAGCTTAGACTGCACGGCTTGTTTCTCGATTGGCTGAAATGCATTCATCGAGGGTCCGACCAGGCACTAAAGTGTCTAGAGGCATGTTCAAAGCCCCTCTCTGCTGCGAAGAGGAGTGCCTTGTTGCTTCGCGTGCGTGCATCAAAATATCGTGCAGAAGGGCTCATGGAGCATCGGCGAGCCGTCCAGTTCTGGTTTTCCCACAAAATGCTTTGAGACGCATTTGATTTTGCTTTTGAGCACTAGGTAATCGACGGCAGTGCCTCTGTCCCGACCCCCCGATTTCTTTAGTGTTTTGCGCTTTCCACGAAGTGTTCATCCTACTTTAGCTCGACCCACCTGTGTCTCAAAGATGATTTAAGGGATAAGCTGTAGCTATAGAGGGAGAGTGTGCCGCCACGATTGCATTACACTGCAAGAGGCAAATGCAAGGCGTTAAGTTTGCACTTAACTACCCACGCTACATCAGGCTGCCTCCGAAGCCGCCTCCTCGTACCACCAGTTTCGCGGCCTCGCTTGGTTGTGTGCCGCTCCTCCCGTGTCTGCCTGCCTCTTCTTTCTCTCTGCTCTTCTGCCTGTGCATTTGGATCGGTGTCCCCCTCGACCCCTTGCTTGCCTGAGCCTCATCCTTTTCGCCCCTCTATCCATTTCCTGTTGCTGCTCCAATGCCTCTCTATCACCCTTTTCTGCTAATGCTCATTCTTTGACTCGGCTCCCTTTTTCCTAGTTGCAGTCTCTGCTGCCCACCCCCTTTCTCTGCCCACGGAAGTCGAAGGTTGCGAGCTTACAATTAAGCTTTACGGCGACAAACAGATGTATGTCCCGAATGGGGGTGCTTCTGCTTAAAAGGAAGCCCCTTACGGCCCGCTCGGGGGATTGGATGCACCCCGCCGTTCTTTCATGAATTTGTTGGGCGCCCCCAGGGAAGCATTTTCCTTTCCAACCTCAGCCCATTAAAACATTGAGCTATTTTACACCTTGACATGAAGAACTGTTTGGACAACTGTCCCAAATATGGCCTCACACAGCCGAATATGGAGGCCTTTAGCGCCAGTAACCCGGACTCTGCTCCTTCTCTGGACCCCCGACTATCCACCAAAACACTGTCCACGCTTACGAGAGACCTATAGAGCCACTGCATGCCAAGGAGTCTCCGCTCCCTGAACTGCGATGGACCCCTGGAGGACATATCTTTGGGGGCCGTCTGAGTTGGGCCTCATGGCTACTCTGCGAGAACACCCGCGTCTCTGCCGCTCGCACCATCTGGAATCTCCCTTATCTCCCAGGAATACGTAGAATTCACAGAGTCCGTGGAATTATTTGTCAATCAAAAGTCAAAAATGCAACATTCCAGCTGGGGACTACTACAAGCACACTGTTTTGAAAGCCTCGTCAACCCCGAAAAAGAAACAGTATCCGAAATGGGCAGACCTACCCGATGGAGACTCCTGGGCTTCTAAAATCCTCCTGGGAATTGTTGGGACTGTGACAGCGCCTTGTCGCTTGTTCCGGCCCCCTCGGCCTGCCAAGCATGCTATTGTCCATCAAAGCTGGACAGATCCTGATCCACTATGCCATAAATCTATGCAGAGCTCCCGGAGCGGTCAAGGGAAGCCACTGAGCGGCCTGATGATGCTAAAAGGCGCAACCCTGCTGCCTGAGACAGCAGCTGGTATACCTGCATGCGCCGCTACGGCAATTCGGGTATTGGGCATTCCAAGAAAAATGAGATTGTCCGACCATAAGGACAGCTTCCCCTGTTGCATTTGGGCTGTCCTGCGTACTGCTTCGGGTTCCCTGACGTTCCGCTGTTCTCCCTGTTGGGAGCTCTGAGAACAATAGTAACAAAATACGGAGATCCTTCAAGGACGGGGGACTCATCTAAGGAACACACATAGGATCTCGATGGGTTCCTGATGCCTATCCTTTGGATAATTGGCGCCCGAGGTAGCCGTCCAGAAGTAATTTACACACACACAATGAAGCTGCTGCAAAACCCGGTCGAAAGATGTTTAAAAAAATTGTCCGTCCAAAATCTCCTTGTCGTGAGCCTTTTGCGGCTGAAGACAGCAGTCCGCTTGGCATTCTCCGTGTGTTCCTTGAAGCAACAAGGGTTCGGGTTTTGAGGCCTTAGGGGCCCAGGCTTTGTCTCCTTTTTGAGGCCCTTGCCCAGGCACTTCCTCAACAGCCTTATATGCGACAGAAAAGACGAGATTATGCGCAACCGCCGAGGAGGCCTCATCTGGGGCCGTCACTGTATCAGTGTTCCCTTGATGAAGGCCATAGGAAACGGCATCTATGAATTCCACAAGGTCTATTCATTTAGCTCCTTTTCTTGGTTGGAAAGTGAAAGTAGCTTTGGAAATGCGTTGATAACTTGTCGCACAGTTGGCCTAATGGTGGGATCTGGCTGCAAGAGGCAGCTGACGAGGGTCGCCCACAGATCTGGGACATTGTGAGACTTGAGAATCTCATATGGTGACTTGTACGCGTTCATGAACTCCACTGGATACTTTGGGATGTTATAGGAGGTAGCCTTACGCTCAAAGCTTCTTGAAACATTTTTCGTACCACCAGGCTTGTCGGAGGCGGGCAAGTTCCTTTTTGGGAAAACAGAGGTGAAAAGTTGCTGCTGCTCCGGAGTGAATGGGGGCTCCCCCGTGAGGGCCAGGAACGCGACGCTGCCGAGCTGCCAAGAATCGGTCTCGCGCGTGTGTGTAGGCGCGCTTCCTTGCTGGACATCATCGAGCTGTTCAGGCGCTAGCAACGAGAAGTCAGGTGGATCACTGGTCTCCCCCATGATAGTAGCGGCCCTAAAGTCTGACAAATATGACAACCCCTGAGCAGAGATCGTGATGCTTTCAAGCTGCAAATTGTTATGGAGACAGGAGCTTTCGTGAAGCGCTCCCACAGCCAACATGGTCCGCTTAATGACATGGAGGATCACAGACTGTGACAGGGGCCTCCCCATCTGCTTCGCCCGCGTCATCAGTTCTCCGAGATCCGAGTTCATCATTGATGAGAAAAAGATTCTTCTGTCGAAAACGATGCTCTCTGTCCCGCTAATATCCCCGTCTCCAGGGTGCTGCAGCCTGGCACCGTACATGGGAATCAACAATCCCGTCCTCTCTAAGGTTTCCTGTCCCGACTCGCCCCTCAGCTGCAAGGCAGCCAGTAGACGCCCCTCAGTATACAATCTCTTGCTCCGCTCTGCCTTTGGAAGTTCATACGCTGTATCGAGAGACGATTGCCTCCCCATTGCCGTCCCTGTGCCCTCAAGCTTTCCCTTCCTTCCCGATCGTCTAGAACCCGCGACATCTTCGAGACCTCCATGCCCTACTTCCCCATGTGTGTCCTCAAATAATGAAGTCACTTCATCAGTTCCACTGGTTCTCACTAAGTCCTCGGCTTCGGGGCCCGTGAGGCCTTTACTGGCATCTGTTTTGTCGTCTGGACTTTCAGGCTTCTCAATAACTGCTATTTGCCGAGAGTAACCCCTACGCGATGCCGGTCTCTCCAATGCAGCCTCACCCTTTGCCTGTTCGCCAATGCCTCTTGTTCCCACAGCCGCGTGGCTCTCAGAGCTCTTTTTGCCGGTGCTGGCTTTCTTGCTCCACTGTTGGTACAGCACGCCAGCAGTCACGTTTTCGGGCTGCATCGCTCCCACTTTCCAATCTTTTCCTTGTGCGTGGATATTCGGCCTCACACCCTTTAAGACCGAACTGCTATCCTCCTCCCCCTGTGGCGTCGCCTGTTGCGTATCCAGTCCTTCACCCTTCCGTCTGGTTGCCTCGGGCCTCTCCCCGTCTTCTTCGTCAGCTTCATGAATAACAGTGTTTTTGATGACATTGCGCTCAACCCAAGTTTTCGGCGTTGTAGTTCTGGATACCACATCGGCGCGTGCCGAGCTCGCTGGTCTCCTTCGGCGTTCACGCTCTTGTTGCGACTGTATGAGGATGGACATGGCAAGATGCTTCTCCGTGACTGTCTTCTTCCCTTCCTGCTCCAGAGGTTCAACCTCCAATGTCACGGAGACGTTCGTCACTCCAAGAATTCGAATCCACCTAAATTTTGTGACAGTAGCCTCCGCGGCAGCCGCTGCCACCGCCCTCGTGGTGTCTCCCCTTGCCGTTGCCAAGACAGCAGTTCCCGCCATGTCCACTGCAGCCGAGTCGAAGCCCGTGACAGAAAAAATCTGCTCCTCTTGCTCCTTTTCATCTTTGCTCTGAGCCAAAAGGATACGGATCGCCGTTCCGGCCCTGCATTGTTGCTTAGGAGTCAAGATCAGCTCACCCTCCTGATACTGGTGTGAATCCAACACCCATCCCGCTAGCTCCTTCTCCGATGCTGCGTCTCTGTAGTCACGCAAGTCTTCCAAAGCTTTTGAAGGGGCAACTTCTAGAACGGCATCATCTTCTTTTGCCTCTGACTCCTTCACGAGGCGCGATACCATCCTATCCATTGTCAACTGTATCAAATTGGACCTATCTCCACGTGGGGGCAGAGCCTGAACGTCAAGCACAGACCACACATCTGCCTACGCCGCAAAGATATTGAAAACGCCCCAAAATAGCCTCTAAACAAGAATGGTGCATCTCCATCGCCTCCAACACGTGCCGATAGCTCACTGTGTGGATAGGGCCCGCACGGGATCCCTTTTGTGCAACATCTGAGGGCGGTTCGGGTGTTACAGGAGCCTCCTCTGTCGGATGTAGGGTTGTGTGCACTGCCTGCGTCTGCACCTTCAGCTCATGCAGTTGAACTCGATGCTCGTCTTTGTAGATTCGCTTTCCAGTGGTCTGGAGGCCTATGATAGTTAGCAAGATTGCGAGCGTGATCACCAAGCTCTTGCACAAAAGCCGAAGCGAAAGCAAATTCGCTTCAGATCGCCTCCATATCATGCTTTCATGCTCAACAGGGACCCTTCGCGAAGAGAAATTCAGAAAGCGTGGAAGACGGAACGGATGTGTAGGGCGTACATCGCTGGCAAATTCCCCGTCACTCGAGAGGGAAGATTCCAATAGATCCGTGTCAAAATCTTGCAGGGGTGACCATGTGCTCGTTTGAACTGTATCGGTTTCGCTGGGTAGTGAGCCTTCGGACACTTCATAAAGCAACGCCATGCTTGCCGAAATGACTCAGCATGAGCTCTAACTTGCAAGGCGAACAGCTTGTGCACACCACCGCATGGAGATCTAGAGACACAAAGAGAAATGGAAGCCCTGAACCCAGAGCCTCGGACGACAGCAAGTAAGAGGAATCGACAGTATGCCGTCGATTCCAGGCTGAAAAAAGGCCCTGGTGGTTACGGCGGCAAGGGCCAGCGTGAAACCCTCAACACACCGCTAAAATCGCTGAAATACAAAGAATATATTAAACGACCGAGATGGAAAAGGCAAAGGTGTACGCTCCAGGCATTCCGGTGTAGAATCCTGGGATCGGGCTTGCCGGTCGGCCCTTGCATGCAGTGACTGCAGTTCCTGCAAAGTCACTATTGGAAATTCAGCCTTCCTAGATGCCGCATTACTCTTTTTATCTTGCACTAAAGCCACATTTCAGAAAGTGTAGGATGCGCGATTTGCGAGTTAATGCTTGGCGTTAAGCCGGAGCCCGTTGGTGTGGTCGGGTGAATACTAGCAACGCCTGCGATCTCCCAACGACAGTTCGTGCGAAATCGAAAGAAAGTTTACAGCTGATTGTTCGGATTAGTAGGTATCTACCTAAATCAAGCCTAAAGCTCCCAGATACCGGGGTGGAATGTCATGGAAGACAATTGGGGGCCTCCGCAGATTTGTTCGATACAACAGAAGGTTGGAGAGAGGCACTGGTAAGAAAGCAAGAGGGTTGACTTATGATGACGTCTGGTAGTCCGCTGTTGAGGCTCAGCACTCTTTCTTTAAGTGGCTATATCTTTGCATGTCTGCTTGGGGAAGCAGTGGTTAGGGTGTTTTTGACCCCACGGGGGGCGGCTGTCTAAGTTCTGGCGGCATGTACAAACTTTGGGGAAATGTGTCCCGTACGGTTCAGGGGATGCTGTTTGGGATTTAGGGGCAATAAGACGTTTGGTGAAAGCTTGTTCGCATAGATGTAGTTGATGGTACCTGGGTTTGGGGCAATAATATACGTCTGGATTACGGTGCTTTTGCTTCTAGGCTTTAACGCGCACAACCGTTCTCTTCAATTGCATTCAGTCCACGAATCTAGTGGCCTTTGGGTGTATCTAGGCCCATTGGAAGCAGCTTGCCTGTGGCTCCAGCATTTTTAGGCATAGACCTACAGTAAAGACTGCATACATCTGCCTAGAGAAGCTGTGCACTATGGCTTACTAAAAAACTGTGCACTATAATAATTGTACGCGTATACCTATAAATACGAAGCTTCAATATAGAAGCGGTGTATAGACGCATGGAAAATCTTATCCATCCCTCTGCAAGCATCTGCGCATTCTTGTATCCAGCTGTGGCAGGTTGTACCAGTAGCTACCCAGCATCCAGTGTGTGTTAAACTTCTTACTAAAAAGGTCTGCGACTACTAATAACGCGTCAATTCCTCTGTGTACACATTTTTACGAGTGTATGTACTTGTATACTTCCCCTTCACTTATCAAGTTGCGCTTAACAGCGGGAGATAGACAAGCACACGCACATACGCTTGTAGCTATATTTCCCATATATCCGCGGGCATATACATATTCGCAGACGCATGTGTACAGAAGTGCACGCATATAAACATGCATATCTGCTTGGAGGTGCGCGCCTGTAGATGTACATGTATACAAGCACTTACTTGTGTATGGCAAAAAGCTATCAGTGGTGTACAGACAGATCTAGTTATCACCTGTGAATTACGTGCAGAGAGCACCTACTCATATTGTATCATCACGCTTGTAGAAATTGATTCCTAAGTGGCCTTAATTTTGCAATTTGTCTAATATATGTAGGTGAGCATCCGTATTCGGTATACATAGTATGCCGGGATGTCTGTGCTACATTGCTCATCCACCACTACCTAGACAAAGGGAATCAATATACGCGCAAGCTCCTTTAAAAACTGTTGGAATCATATTTTTCTGTCTATGTATACTTACAAGCCGAACTCCTGCAAAGTAGGCGTTGAGAAACCAAAAAGCACATAGGCGCTTAGGATTCACAAGGCACTTTTAAAGCTTCTATTTCACAGAAGTGGTCCCGCCTGGAACGGTGGAAGCTGCATGCAGCCTCCCGCTTGCAGCAACGCTGCCGGCTTGTACAGGGCTTTGCCCTCTGTTTGCCGCATGTGAGTTCCTGTAGTATGCTAAGCTACACTGGGCACTTTCTACTAAACTACTCATTTAACTGAGAAATGGTCAAGAATCGATTCATTAGTTTGGCTGGCCGTATGCCCCATTCCTTGTGAAGTATTGTTAACTCGGCACAGCAAGACGCGGTGTTGTGCGTCGGTGAGCTAGATGCTATATGCTTCTAGACGTGAATGCTCAGAGTGTTTAGAGGGTGCAGCAACCCGTACCCCAGCTGTAATCCTCCCCTTACCCCGTAGCCTTGACAGGGGTACGAGGAGAAGGCTCTTTTCCACGGACACATGATAGGCTTGTATCAAGTTTATATTTAGTCTCGAATTACAGGTCTCCCGACGAAGACCTTCGATATGGCATTGCACGAAGCGTGCTTCAAATTGTGCTTGGCCACACGCTTGGGCTGAGCAATGCATTCAAAGGCGGCTGCTTTGCAAGAATAAGGCTCAAAGATTGAGAGTGCGGGGATAATGATCGCCATCGGGTCTGATTCTACTGTCTTTTCTCCCTCTCTGAAAGCACCACGTGCCGTCGGCAGCGGTTAACGGTCAGGGATACGGTTCTGCTGTGAGGGATTTACAGAGAATCAAGAAAGCCTCTCCATAAAGGGGCGTATAGAGGACTTTAGGAGAGTATTTTACCGCCGTCGCCACCAACTCTTTCCTACCAGTGGCAATGGGCTGCTTTGCTCAGTGCTGGTCCTGGAAGGCTGTGTGTACTCGCGGGAGTCTCCGTTCATGACTTATTTAAATTAAGCGCTACTGAAATGGCTTACAAATATATCGTTTCCATTCGAACGAACACTGTAACAGCCGGCGGCGGCGCTTCGTTCTGTTTCTGGCTGGGCTTTGATGAAAGCGCAGTAAGAGCAGCGCCATCATAAGGAGCAGAAGCAGCAGCAGCAGCAGCAACACCAGGCATGCTGGCTTCCTGAAGATCCGATCTTCGAAGCTCTTGGCTTCGAGTGTCAAGCGTTTTCGTACTTTTTCGGCCTTTAAACATCAATTCTTGGCTTGGGAGCCTTCCACACGTTTTCGCTCGCGCCTTTGAGCTTCAGCCGCTCACCCCGAGCGGTGCGCTCCTGGGGAAGCTCGTGTCGTTTGTATTCCTTCCGCTTTCTCCTCCTTTTTTCAGACCCCTGATCGTGTATTAGACAGAGGAGCAGCCACTTTAGGAACCCTATGCACCCTAACGCCTAAGGAGTGGCCCAGCGGCTTCCACCAGTGACCACCAAAATGCGAGTGGCTCCTGGCTTCTAAGATCTTCACTGTTCAGCTTTCCCCCCTGCCTCCGTCTTTTAAGCGCCTCGCCTATTACCGCTTGGCTGGTGGCAGTAACGGTGGGTAGCCGCGCGGAGCACGGCACTTGGCATTTGCGGTTGGTGTCGATAGCAGTATTCCGCAATGCAGGGGCACTCCGAGAGCTCCCAGGCGCAGGAGGAGGCTGTCAAAGGCCAAGAAAGCGCATGGATGGCACATGAGGGCGCTCCGGAAAGACTCTCAGGGGCCTCCTACCCCAGACACAGGCCTGTGTCAGAGTCCTCTTCTCCGTCAATGGCTGGAGATGTCTTGGCGGCGGAGGAGCTCAAGGAAGGGGCTTGTTTGAAAAGCTCTTACCTCGAAGGCGCTGGGGCAGGCGAGGCTTCCGCTACGGCCCGTCATCCTCGCCTTCTGCTCCAGGAAAAATCCCGCCAGAAGAAGCCCCCTGAAGGCAAAGCTGGGAGACACGGCAGCATTCCGGTGGCTAGTTTGACTGCGACCAACTCGCCTTCGCGAGACAGGATAAGCCAGGCTTCTCAAGTGGGCCCCATACGTTCACAGCAGGTGCAACCGGTGTTGCTGACACCGGAAGGGGCACGCGCATTCGCTCAGCTGGAAGAGGGCAGGCCCCATGTGGACTGCCTCTCCCGAAGGTCGACTGGCGCCATGCTTAGGAGTCTGGGGAGTTCAACGCGCCGGAGGCTTGGGGCACAGTTGAAGTTGGGCTGTTTTCGCTATCTTCTTCTCTGCTTGTCGTCTGCTGTCTTATTTTTCGTCTTCCTGCAGGAGTGAGCCGGGGGGAGAGGGGAGGAGGAGGGGGGTTCTAAGCGCCTACGCGTTGTGTGTTTCCTCGTGGAGAGGGGGGAGTTTTTGGCGCCATAAAGACAATTGGCAGGCGTTACTTGGAGGTCTTAATCCCATGCGGTGGGCTCAGAGCTGACGGTGTGCGTGAGTGTACAGGCTGATATTCAACTTCACTTCGTTCAATGGCCGTTGCATTGGGCCCGTGTTGTACCCCCCATGGACAGATCCCATCCACAGCCTCAAGGTTCGGAAGCCGTTAAGGCCTATGCTTCTCTTCTAGCGCCTGCAGGCCAGAGTGCAACGCAGAAAGACGTAAAACCTTGTAGTGGGCAGCGCCAACACGGCAACAAGGCCCCTCGTTGTGTGTGCTGCACAGCCAACTCTGATCCCCTTTGGCTACGGCGCATGCGAAGCAAACTTGGGCTACCGCAACACCGGCGTTCGCGCGCCTGCTGCCTCTGTGACAGGGGGGCCCGTAACAGCAGCAGCCAGAAGATCAGCACTGCTAAAGGCAGTATCGCCAGAAGGTTCTTCCGCCAGTAATCCTGGTTCTGTGCCTAAGCCCCTTTTGCAACAAAGGCGCTGTGCCTGGGGTCGTTGTGCAGAAGACTCAGGCTGGCCGACTGAGCTCGTGCGGGGGGGCGACAGGGAAGCCACCAAGCCCTCGTCAGATTCCCCCAATGGTGAGCCTTTTGCCTCGACCTGCACACTTCAAATGAGTCTCTGAGAGAGCGCTTGCCGGAGGGGGCGAGTTCTGAGCCTTGCAGCCTCGTGGCGGAGGGTGTCCGATGCAGTGAGCAGCCTCCTTGGTGCCACTAGGCACTGGCTTGCTTGCTTGTGGCTTGGGATCTGCGGTTTGGGTGCTTGAGCCTTGGTCCTTCCCACGCTTTCTCCGCAGTCCGCCTTCTCCTTCACAGCGTCTGTTGTGCAAACATCCTCTTTCGTGGCATGGATGCGTGGGAAAGGGCACGATGCCGGGTGCGATTGGCGCCATGCATGCGTTTGCAGCTCGCATACTGAGCCCGCTGGGAGCTCTCGACACGAATCTCATAAGGAACTACGGCGAGGTGTATCGAATCTTCTGGGCCTCGGCGCTCCACGGTGGTTGGGTTCACTTGCTAGTCAACATTCTCTGCCAAGCCTCTGTTCTCTGTATTCTAGAACCCGTAAGGCTAAACTGCAATCCCCCGTCGCTTGCGCAAGGCGCTTTCGTTCTCTCTTTGGCGAGGCCTGTCAGCGCACGCACGCGTCAGGGGGCGAGGGAAGCCCCGCAACCCCACCAACTGCCACCCCAAACAATCCCCAGCCTCAGCGCGAACCCGCAAAGCTCGCGGTTTGTGGCTCAGGTATGGGGTTTCTGGCGATGTCTCGTAACGTGGATCGTCAGCGCCATGTCGGGGAACCTCTTGAGTGCCGTTTTCGATCCTTGCTCAGTAACAGTGGGGTCTTCTGGAGCACTGTACGGGCTGTTGGGGGGCCTTGTGCCCTTCGCAATCGGTGAGAGGGCTAAGGCTCTAACAGCGCCTTGGCCTCAGAGGCTGCTGCGAACCTGCTGTGAGGAGTGGGCTTTCTTGGGGTGCAGTAGCGCACCGTGTGTCATCGTATCCTAGTCCCCGCTTCGGCGGAAAGAGGTGCGCAGCTTTCCTTGGAATCGTTTTGAGACCACGCTGGCTTTTGCTTCTTGGGCTTCGTGTGTGGCTGCAGAGAACTGGGATTATTTACGTTACCCTTGTTGTGTCCTTGCGGTTGTTGTCGCCGTTATCGTAAGCTGCACCACCTCCACCAGCCTCCACACCCCATCCCTGCAGGCCCCCCCGAAATTGCCTTGCCTTGCCTTGTTTCCATGTTTTCTCCGAGGTGCTCCTTTGCGGCAGCTGGCCTTTGGTCTCATGCTCCCTCTTTTCGGCTGGTTTTGCCTGGCATACGACGTGTGGACAGGTGATGGCGCAGCTGACAAACTTGGGGGGGTTCTCCGCTGTCGACAACTTCGCACATCTAGGCGGATGCCTCGGCGGTCTGCTCGTGGGATTCGCCACGATCTACTCCCTAAGGCCCCTAAGGTTAGGGTTCGTGGGTTACGGGGGATGCGAATTAGAGGGGTCTTGCGACGCCTTTTGTGGGTTTGGCCGCCACTCGCAGGAGTTCGAGGGTTGACTTGTCGGGCTTGTGCTGTTTGTGGTGTAACCGCGCTTCACGCTCGTCTTGGGGGAGGTGGAGCTTCCAAGGGCTACTTATAGGGCTTCCGGTGTGTGACTGGCTTGTGGTGTCAGAAAGTTCTCGTTTCCCGTCTGGTGGGCTAAGGTGCGACTCACCTACTGTAGGTGCTGCCTCTCTGAGCAAACTAGACAGCGTCTTCGGGAACGTCTTCAAGCAGCCGGTACGTCTAAACCGAAAATCCTTGACATATATATGTATGTACACCTTTAGAGCGGTATTTGATGAGAAATCTGGTGCAGTTTTCTCGCGGGGTTCGAAAGTCATGTGACTGCGTCGGCAGTCTCACGGTTTGTGTTGCAGAGAGAGCGAGGCAGCAGGAGCTGTGTAGGCTGCCCCGTGATGGCCCTCCTTTCGTATGGCGCTGCAAAGAGGGTTTGATGGAATGGTTTGTGCGCTTCGTTGCCTTAAGTCTTCTGGTAAGAGACTCTTGACCGTATACCCTTTGCGAATGCCTTCTTCAGAGGTGCTGTGTTAGGGAGGTTGGGTGTTGTGTAGTGTTGCAGTGTCTCCTCTTGATTCTCTGCCTTGTCAGTTTAGGCCCTTACTCAAGCGCAGCTGTATGTATACGCTTACTTGGAGCTAGGAGCATGTGGCACTACATGCTGCCGATCCGTGTGTCTCGCTCGTTTGCGCTGTACTTAGTCCTTTACTTTTGCCCCCAGTTCCAGTCGGCCGCCCTAGTTCATTATCTCTCCCTCTTTCTATTCCGCATCGCTTTCTCCTCTCAGTGTTTCTGTGCCGTACTAGAGCTTCCTTCCCCTTAGAGCTTCGCCATTTTGTATTTAGGGGTGGGTAGAAATATTCGTACCTACTGATAGAACGCTTCACTTATGGGTTGTCTTCTCCGTGTGTCTTCGGCCTCAAATTGTCGTCTGATTGCCTCTCCTGTTCGTCACCTTTTGTTTCTGTGTCTCAGGTTGTATCATTGGTCTATCTTTGGTTTTGTTTGTTAGACCCGAATTACTATGAGACTCTCACTACACCGGGCCGAATTTCTCTCGTGGGGTCTATGGGTTGTCACTGCTGTCGCATTCCGTCTCTCTCTAATTTGGGGCCCAACAGTGTTCTCTCCCGTATCCCTGCTCACCACTCAATTAGAGTGAGTCCGGGGCAGTTCTGGTGTTTCGTGAAGAAACTGCACGCAGACTTCCACTGTGGAAAACTCTTCCTTGACGGATCCATCGTCCTTCCACCACTGCCCACATCCGGCACACCGGCGCAGCAATACATCCTGCCTTAGAAGCCTCTACAAGGGCGCCTTTATTTTGGGGGCAACGGAAAAAAGGGACTTTGAGAATTCAACACACGCTAATAGATCCGCGGGATACTGCGTGGGTGCTGCACTGCTCCGCTAAATGGTGTGGAGTCAGAGAGCCTCGAGGTCTCAGTGCCTTTGTCTGGCGCCGACGCAGTCAACAGAATATTGCCCAAAGAAGACGCCCTCAGACCCTTCAGCCGCACTGGAAGTACACCCTTAAGCTGTTTTCTTGGGTTGTTGAGTGGGGCCTTGGGGCCTTTGTTGGAAGCAACATTCTTTAGCAGGCTCGTCAACAGAGGATTCCCGTGAGATCTCTCTGGTGGCTTGACGGGAGTTGAAGCAACAGGTTACCGCCATTGTTCATAGTTCTTTTGCTCTATGTTTATAAAAGGTAGGGAAGAAGCCTTCGTTTGTGGGCCGTTTCTCCCAGTTGCTTTATAGGGTGGTATGGGCCCTGTAACGCATCATCTGAGGTCTCCGTAGGGAAGACACTCACTTTAATGTCAAAACCACCTTATTAGAAAGTTACGAAATTCTATTTAAAGGCACGCCTCTCTGACCACACCCCTGAAAGTTTCCTACATCAGGGGAAGGGGACAACTAGGGTGCGCCTTGCTGCACCCTGTGAGCGAGCTGTTCAGGCCTTTATAGACTTGCAGACCACCTAAAGTACACACAAACACGCGCACAGTGTTGCTTCTTGTCTGGCGCCAACAATCAATATGAATGTTTACATAAACAGCCAAAGCAAAATCGGAGCTCGTTATTGAGTGTTGGTTGAAAAGGGCTAATGTAGCAGAAAGTGTCAAAGAGTAGCTTTGGCCACTGCATCTTACCCCGGCCACTGTACTAGAAACTATCGCGTATTGTGACCTTTATGCTCGCTATGTCTAGAATATAGCAGTTTTACAGCTCCTTGCGAATCGCCTATGGGCACTGCACAGATCACTCTGCTACATACGTGGCAGAGTACGCGAATACTTCAGAGAGTTTTGCAGCTGGTCTGGAAGTCATCATTGATAGATCTGTACTACCTCCACCTTTTGAGGATTTCGATTGCGTAATAAAGAGCATTAGTTTGTGAGTAAAAATCAAATTGCCTTAGCTACTCAGCCGCAAAATTCGATATTTGGTCAACTTTTGTTGCATTTTGTACGGCATTCCAGTACACCAGGACCAGAGCCCTGAGCTCGAAATACCCAGCAGACCGCCGCTTGTCAGAATTCATTGCTTGTCTCTCCTGATCTGTAAGGCATTCATTCGCTTGCACGAGGGAGCTGTTCCCTGGATTTATCCGCTGCTATGTGTGGCTGCTGGCTTCGACCCACCAGGTCCCGCGGCCTCGATCGGACATGGGCTCCCCAGTGTAGTCAAGGGACACAAAAGGCATAGATCGGTGCACTGTTGTACTACACACCCACTTATAACAGTAGAGAAAATCAAACCAAACATTGGATTTTGAAGGGCACATAGTCGCAAACATTGCAGGCGTGTGCGGTTGGTGGGGTCAGTCTGTCTATCGGCCTCTGGATCGATTGCAGTGGTCATGCTAGGATCAGTCTATTGGAAGGTCATAGAGAGAAGCATGAAGGCACTGACGAACTTCTTACCCCAAGCCATTCTGTACTCTCGTGGAATCAGAAAGTTTTCTTGCATGTTAAGATTAATTGAGCGACTTCCTGGGCCGTAACAGACCCCTAGCAGGGGGATGAAACGGCCAGTTTCGCTAAGTTTGTTGACAGCACCCAGATGCCATTTTTGACTCGACATAGGTCAGTCCAGCAAGGACGTGCATAGTCAGCTCAGTCCATATCCTTGGACCGCACTGGCACCCAGGTCCTCAAAACGACCTCCCAAGTTTTCCTATTGTGGTGCTTTTTTACACATTATTATGTGCCTTGTTTGAAATGGCAATACGGAGTGAAGCAGGGATGTACAAGCCACGGAGTCCCCTATACTATAAAGTCATATTGCAGGAGGCCTTTAAGCCAGCGAACAACCATAAAACTATCGAGGTCTGGAAAACTCTTCGTAAGGCGAAGAATGAATCGCTGTTTGGACACTTGACTTCCATGCAGCTAGTGCCGGCAATTTTGCACTCTTCAACACGCCGCAAAGAATCTTTTCCCCCACCGAATACCGCTGCTCGGTTTCGCTGACACCATGAGAACGACAGGCAATAATTAGGTATTTCGGAGAACCCGTACGTTTCGGGTAGGACCAGCATTCAGTGCTACGCAACTCACATTGTTAGGAAGACATGATGCTCGATACTGGGCAACGCAAGTACCGGAGGCTTAATACAGCAGCAGACAAGCGTCCTTGCTCAGGCAACGGCCCCTTCTGCCCAAGTCATAGATTTTTTAATAAAAGTAGGAAAGTCAAAGGAGTAGCATTTCGAGCAAATTCAGGAATGTATTATGGCAATACGCTGCAAGTGTATAGAACGCCTTGACGCCGTTGGATGTGCAAAAATGCAAAGGCCACGCCTTGAGTGTTTCAATTTTTGGCGGATAAAGTTCCATCCCTGCAGCCGAAACCCGGCCTTGGGGAACAAAATCAACTTCATCAGCTACAATAATTTGCGTGTCCAAGCACCAGAAGCTTGTGCCGCAACAGATGAGGCGTATGCTGTAGGTGCCATAGTGTGTCTTGATAGTTTCCGCTGAATGCTAAGACACCGTCCACATAGAGGGCAATCCAGGCCTCCCTGATTGTCTCATAAGGATCCCGATTAGCTTGTCGTTTGAGTCTGAATCAGGCATTAACAAGCCCAGAGAGCACACAGATATCCTCGAGCTTTGTAAATGAAAGTGCGGAAAGCCTTTTGTGCCTTTTATCTGGATGGATGGGAATTTGTCGGAAAGCCTTTTTAATGTCAAATGCCAAGTAGATTGTTGCTTGGTCTAGTTTGTCTAGTGGTTCGTTGATATGATTCATAAGGACCTTTGGCTTCACAGATACCTTGTCCAGGGGCTTAAGCTAACACCACATGCGCCGCCTGTTATTCTTTTTCGGCATTAACACCAGTTTATGCCTAAAAGCGCAGGCCGATTCTTGCGGCTTCCTTTTCCCGACACCTCACTCGCCTGTTGTTCAGTCTTTTCTTCGTGCTGCGAGGGCTTCCACTACTGAGAAACATAGCTTGTGGCTTACCCAATGAATGAGCTCAAACTGGTTAGCTGGATTACAAGCAGTTGACCAGCCTGCTAGCAGCACGTCATTATTTCATACATCTCCAAGCGCCATGATATTTGCCGATTCTTGCCGTTCATGGCTAAAGGATCAATAGTATTCCCTATTAAAGAGCTACATTTAGAGTCAGAAAGATGGTATGCATGCTTAGAACCATTTTTTCTTACTCCTCTGCTGAGCCTTTCGCAGGACCTCTCTGACTCACTTTGTTTGAGCAACAATTCCACTCTACTGACAAGAATTTAATTGAGTATTGTCGCGGAGACCAGTATATGGTTCTTGCCAGCGCTTCCTCGCACACTAGCCGTCACAGCACGCAACTGTGCCCGCGTGCGTGCTTTTGATTGGCTCACTCTGCGCATATGTAAAAATACGTCATGGCTCACACGGCCCAGCATGAAAGCCAAGGAAAACGCTGACAAGACCCATTTTGGCTTCGCGAGAGAGCTAGGTGCCGCAGCCTTGCCAACCCTTGGGTTTTGCTGCATGGCGGCAAGCCTGAGTATCATGGAGGGCGCTGAGCAGTGAACAGGCAGCTGGAAATTCTGCGTTTTCTCTTTGGCTGACATATCAGTCATGCTAGCGATTCTCCATCCTGGATGTCGGCTTATATCGACGCAAAATTTACATGTGAAGAGTAGCCATCTCAGGAGTTATCCTCTGGCGCCCTATTTAATGTACCGTAGTCTGTGTAAGAGGAATTCCATTTCCTGAGGCACCTTGCTGGTGTGCCAAGCAGCAGCCCGCTTCCGTTGTACCCGCTTCCGTTGCTCAAGTACTTTGCCTTCTGCGTGTGCTTTAAATTAGGAAGTACAGACTAATCTCCCCAACCAACACAGGTGTGCTGTTGTAGGGCTGCCTGGAAGCGCAGGTGCCCTGTGGCGTTCTGTTTTCATCCACCCTACACTGTAGGCTACAGCCGGTTGACACCCCCGTGATATTCATGCGTTCTGAATCTCGCTCAAATTGGCTCTTCCATCTCAGGTGAAGAATAAGTACTGACGCTCAGTTGCTCTTGAAATCATAAGTAGTCTATGCGTGAAAATCCACCAATGCGCGGCTGGAGGCCCTTGTGGCACAATCGGATGCTGCGTTGGACTCTTAGTCAAAAATTTGCAGATTCATTAATGTGACGTGAAGGGGAAGTTTTCATTCATTTGGGGCGTCTGTGAACGTGATTCTCCAATAATGCCTTCAATCACCACTACCCCATGAAAAGGTTCACAGCAAGTAATCGGAAACCTTGTAGGAAGGTGCAGGTGTCGTGTCGAGGTCGCGCGAGCTGCTACAGTGAGGCCCCAAGTCGTCCCTCAGCTCTCCGGAATCGAAATACATGGAGAGTGACAGAGTTGCACGCTCACTTATTTATGAATGGCCATCTCCGAGCTATTTCGCTTTCGGGAGGGCCCTGCACACTCCTACTCCACGGAGGAGAATGGGTGTTGCCATCACGATTCATGGCGTTATGGCTTACAGCCGTCCATGCCCTTCCTCTCTACAGCAGAAGCCGGTTGACACCGGGATGCCTCTGCTGGAGGGGCGAAAAATAACAAGGAAGAAAGTTCTTCGGCTGTTCATGCTTGGTTGGCTAGCAGCAGCTGCATGCAACTTCGACTAACAGCAGCTTAGACTGCTGGTGCTGCCACGGCTTGCTGCAGTGTCCTCATGTAGAGTCAAACACTGCGTAATCCGTGAGCCTAGGCCGACAAGGCAAATTTTCGAATTAATGGGCCGTGAACTAGACATGGGGCGCACTGTCGAATTCAGAGAAAAGCAATTAGAATTCAAGATTTCTGTGTGACAATAGCTGCTGAGTTTGCGAAGCCGCAACTCACTGCAGCAATGTGCAATTGTTCCAATGACTGAGGTTCCTGACACCCTCCAGCAGTCCCTGTGTCCGATCCTGCCTCCCCGCGGCCTGCTGTGTCGTGCTCTTTCTTTTCTTTTCTTGAGATTTCCCCGGGTAGCCGCACGCAACGCGCAGGAGAGACAATCCCTGCGTCGCAAACTCCACAGGTTCCCCTACCCGGTTCCAAGAGGCCCTAATGCCGTACAAATGATGTAGTGACGCTTGTCAAGGGTTGAGGCGCGGGTTAAGACAGTGCCTGGGGCGCAATGAGCTCTACAGTCCACGAACAGACCACCATCTATGGCGTGCGGGAAACAAACGTCCAGAGGGTGCAACCTGCATAGTCACCCTGCTGTAAGAAAGAATACACAGTTACATTGTAGGGGCTAAAGGCTGCATACCTCTAGGGCCGGCTCCCACTTGGCCCTTGTCATTGAACCCCCAACCGACCAGGTGCTTTTGATTTAGAGCCATGAGGCAGTGAGACGACCCGCAGGAAACATCAGATACTAAGGGAGACATGAGGGGAGGCGAGACAGACGCTGGAAGCTGGGTAACACAGCGCACAGGATCGCACGAGATGTAGGAACTGAGGGTTGTGCCGCCGGGAAGGTGCTATTGCATCGAGGAAGGGCGTGGGGTAAAGCGTATTGGAGTGTCGCATGTAAAGCCCAACAGGGGGTTGGATCGGCAAAGGAGTAACGACGAGACCAAGAATTGCTAAAAACTTAGTCTTTATGCCAGTGCCAGCTAGTAGCACTGGTGGCAGGGGTGCTCACTTGTACAGGTAGCAGCGTTTGCTGCTGCTGCTGCAGAGTTCTTCCACACTGCCCCCTCGCCGCCTCTCCACAACACAGAAGCACATTTCTCGGTATTCCGCCATGTGCTGCTCTGCAACGCAGCCGCTCGCAGCAGGCAAACCAGCACGAATGCCGTGGTCATGAGGGAAGAGCAGCTGCAGCAGCAGCAGACTCCTGCGTCGCTTGGTGCATCCCCGAGTCTCCTGCCAAGGATTGAGGGTTCCAAGACTTGTGCAACTTACATGTCCTGATACAGAATAAGTGAAGAAAAGTCGCTTGCAGCTACCGCCGTAGCAACGCCTCTAGCAGCTGAACACACAAATACACATGTACAAACATACAAATACACATGTGCACACATACAAATACAGATGCACACAGGTACAAATACAGATGCACACACATACAAATACAGATGCACACAGGTACAAATACACATGTGCACACATACAAATACACATGTGCACACATACAAATGCACGTGTACACAGATACAAATGCACATGCACACAGATACAAATACACATGTGCACACATACAAATACACATGTGCACACATACAAATACACATGCACACACATACAAATACACATGCACACACATACAAATACACATGTGCACAGATACAAATACACATGCACACAGATACAAATACACATGTGCACAGATACAAATACACATGTGCACAGATACAAATACACATGCACACAGAAACAAATACACATGTACACACATACAAATACACATGCACACACATACAAATACACATGTGCACACATGCAAATACACATGTACACACATACAAATACACCCTAGACCACGAAGAGCACCCAAGCGTTTTTCTTGCGGCGTGTGTACGAGCATGCACCAGGATCTTGCAGTGTGTAACACCAGAGGGGTCATCAAATTACCTTCTGGGGAGATACAAGCAGGAGGCTTGAGCGAGGGAATGGGGCAGTGCTGAATGTGCCTCTCCAACAGCCCGTAAGTGGCTCCCCGCCGCATGGGGGCCTTCACACCCGCTGTACAAAATGCGTCAAGCACCATCCCTCTGGCATGTGCCCTCAGACGCGGAATCTGTCAGGAGGCGGCGCCCTTGTGTGGCCTTCCACGCGGGCTTTGTGCGAGAAATACCGAGTGTGAATGATCGCATCAAAAAGGAGCGAACTGCGAAGCAAAGGGGGCTTTAAACGGGAGGAATGCATCGATCGTCAGGAAGGTACAAGAAGATCCCTCCAACAGAGCGCTTACCCATATCGATGCGTTCCTTGTATGTCGTTCCCACGTCTGCGCCCCCTTGGCCTCGGGTGTCTCCGATCGCCAGCTGTATCTTTGAATCATCTCCAAACCTGAAACAGCACGCCCGCCCCTGTCCACCCGTAGGTAAGCGTGGACGAACGCGAACAGCTACCCGCCTCACACCCTGTTGCACGGCGGGGACCTCATGCAACTGCTCGAATCAGGAGCAGTTGCTCTCTACGGCGAGGGAAAGAGTCGCTAGCAAAAACAGTTCAGGGTTCTCAGCACAAAGATGAAGACACAGCGCCTCGAGTTGGGAGCGGCAGCAGCTGTGTGTGTGTTGCGTGCATCACACAACAAAGAGACACGAAGCGATAGGGACTGGCTTGTAACTCAATATTATCAGGGTACGGGTGGCAGAACGGACGCGAAGGTGTCTCCACTAGAGGACAGCACGAGAGTGTGGCGCTCGCCACAGGCAGCTGCAGCAGCTTTGGCCTCCCCGGGCAGCACCACCTGCAGAAAAAACACCTCCTCAAACTGCGAGTGGTTTCCCCGTGTACAACAAGGGTAGTGCGGTATTGATATCGAGGAGTACCTTAAGGCCTGCTAGAGCATGTCAAAGCTAAAACACAGCGAGTCTTGATGCGAAGGCATGCACGCACGTGTACATACACCCATATAGAGATGTATGTACATGCAGAATGCAGTGTAAGAAAGTGCGCGTACGGGTGGAAACGCGTGTGTGGCGGTGTGAAAAGCAGAGAAAGGCAGAGGAGGAACTGCTGCTTGGTGCTTAGAGCGTAGTTTTGAGACCATGAAAAGATATGGAAGCTTTTTTACCTCGCGCATTGCCACATGGCGCGCTGTAGAGTCCGTTGGCTTCAGACCACACTGCCCATAAAGATTATCGCCACAGCAAACTGCAGCAGAGACAGGAGGAAGTCTCAGCACAAGGCACAGACATCCCGCGAGCGCCCCAGCATCTCAGCAGCGAAAGCAGCATTGAACCTGTCTTGAAAAGAGTCACGGAGGCGGCAGCAGCGGCAGAAAACCAGGCAACAATAGCCGCATCTCAGGCAGCTGTGGAGCAAAAACACTACCGCGAACGGGCAGCGGCGTGGCACGTAGAGGGCAGTTGCCTCGCGTACAGAGTCTGCCATTCTTCGAGACAAAGGCGGCATGGTAAGCGCCAATGGCCATACTAGAGATGAAGTCAGAGCTTAAATAACCCTTAACCGGCAGGCCCGTAAGCTGTCTGAACGGTTTTTGCTGTTGTAGTTGATCCTGCTGCTGCTGTAGTTGATCCTGCTGCTGCAGGCGCTGCTGCAGCAGCAGCAGCACGTCGTCAACGACAAAGATCCGCCCATCGGTGTCGAGGAGGAAAAGCTCGGCTGCAGAGCATTGTACGTCTGCGGCAGCCGCTGCCTCCCGCGGCAGAGGCAGGATGAAGGGAGGGACGAACTCTGGAGCATTCGCAACAGCAGCTCAAAGCAGCAACAGCAACTCAAGAGGCATTTCCCACTTCTTCAAAACACGCTGCCCCTCAGCAGCCGTATTTAGGGAGCAGCAGCGGCGAGGGCAACAACAGTGAATTGAGGCACAAAGGACGAACTCAGTTCCCCCTCTTCCTGCTGAAGAGATCCCCAGAGGCAGCAACGCCGACCATCCCTTGATAGAGCTGCTCCAAAGTGAGGGCCAAAAGAAATCACGTGCCAACTCTCCCCAAGAGCTGCAGCACACAAAGCGTCCACTCCTGAAGCGCTTAGCCCCTTGTTTTGAAATCTATTCAAAACCGCTCAAACCTCAAATCCGCTTTTAGACGCCCACAAGACCCACAGCGTCGGAAAGAGAGCGAAAAAGCCTACGCAAACAAATAGACCTCGAAGAGTCATTCTCCTCTCCCCTTTCCTTTCCTCCAAATCATGGCTCTCACCGCTTAGCGCCGCTGCCTCTGTTGGGTTCGCGATATCCTCAGAGGCACCTCCAGGAAACCCCAAGCGGCTACCCCACACGAACACTTGCTGCTGCTTCATAAGTTGCTGCCGCGGCTGTGGCTTTGCAGCGCAGTGAGCCACGCCAGCGGCGGAAACGCTGTGCAGCTTCCACCACTGCAGCCGCTGCTGCGTCTTCTTATTCGGGAGGCAGAGCGCCGAAGACGCTGCGGCGAAGACACAGCAACAGCCACATGCAGCCGTTTCCGTCGATTGCTTGCATGTGAGCGACGGTGCCTGAAATCGCTCCTCCTGAATCCCGAAGGCTTCTGCCTCGGAAGGGCCATGTTTCGCTCTTCAGAAGTCAAGGTACCTACCCGCCAGAAGAGCTGTAGCCGTGGCAGCTCTCTGGAAGCGCCTCATTCTCTCGCACAGGGGACTGCCGTTCACTCGAAGTACAGGGTGTACGATTTGAGCTTCGGCACATAGGGTGCATGCCTTTAGGGATGTGTCAAGCGTAGAGTCTGCTTACAATAAAAGGCTGCTCTTTGGCCTGGTAATCATGGCAAAGCCTAGAGGCTTCCTCCTCCACAGTGAGCTGCCCTTAAGAACGGGGGCTGCAGCCGACGCAACACAGAGCCTTCCCGGCGTGCATGCATCGAGTTACAGGATAGGCTTGGAGGCATGAGGCTTATCATACGTAAGTTCTTATTATTTTTCACCGCCTGAAAAACAGCGGGCAGGGAGCCGTGGAGGCTACAAATGCCTCTTCGACTCGCACCCGTGCCGCTCTCCGGGGTTCAACTCATCCCGCCACACACGTTCTTCGTTGCTCGCCAGCATGCGCCTCGCTGCTAAAGCAGCAACTATTGCTGCTAAGGCGGCGAAGGCACCTGCTGTTGCCATAGCGGCAAACCTGGCAAGAACAACCGCTCGTAGGACGGCAGCGGGAGCGATTGCGGTACGCCAGAGCGCTGGACTGAACTGCCTCACGATCCCTCGGCTTTTAGAGCATCCTCGAGCAGCGGGGAATTCACCAGCACGTTTGCGCAGCAGGCTTTTTCACGCAGCAGTCGCAGACGTTGCAGTGTCTCCAGCCGCATCGGCGGCAGAAAAAACACCGGCAGCAGAAGACGCGCCAGAGCTGGCTGCACACTTCTTTTCAAGAGTCAAATTTGTGCGTGACTTTCCTGTGGTTTCTCTGCGGGAGGTACTGAAGCGCTTGCAGCAGCAGCAACATCAACTGTTGCAGCAGTGGCAGGAAGAGGCGACCAGCCCCGACGCCGGTGCAGCAGATCTCCTGAGAAAGCGTCTCGAGCTGCTGCGGCTGCTGTTGCAGCTGCAGCAACAGCAGAAGCAGGAGGAACTGCTGAAGCAGCTGCCGCTCCTGCAGCCAGGAGATATTGTTGCCTTGCTTCTCGGAATTACATCGACCCTAGAGACTCTCCGCGAAGACCTCTTGCGCGTCGTCGTGCAACATGGGCAGCAGCAGGGCGAGCAGCAGCAGCGCAGTCTGCTGCAGCAGCAGCTGCTGCAGCAGTGGCATAACTGGCAGCGCTGTGCAGGGCAGCTAACACAGTTAGCTCTGGATGAAGAGGTGCGATTAAAGACCTTAAAGGCTGTGCAACCGTAAGAGTCCGTGGTGTTCTGCTGTTTCTGCTGCACGCAGTTACAGGGTGTAGATACATATGCCATTCACCGCTGCTTCGGGTGTGTGCTCCAGGAAGCGTTTCTCGTCTGGATGATGATGACGTCTGTTCGGGCTTTCAGCAGCACCAGCAGCAGCAGTGGCACACTGCGAACGCTGCTGCTCATGGTTCGAGAGAGACTAGAAGCTGCGTCGCTTGCAGCCGATGCCCGCAGCAAGCTGTACAGACACCCCGTAAATTCAAAGCCGTACCACCTGGGACCCTGACGCCCTCCCTCTCCCCCCTTCCGCCTCCATGACTGCTGCAATAGTAGCAAGAACATAAATGTTAAGGATTACGGAGACAGTTGCTGCAGCCATCGGGAGATATACTGCTATTCTGAAATTGCAAGGAACGGCTGCGCTCATAAGACATGACATCACGGGTGCGTCATGGGAGTGTTTTGCTGCCACTGCCTGCGACTCGGTCCCTGTTGATGCTGCAGTGTCTCTGCGTATGGGATTCCCCTGGTGATGGCTTTTTGGCATTGGTGGAGGCGGTGCCCCTGTCGGCGAAGGCAGCGCTCATCGCAGCAGTAAGCTATGCGTTCGTTCGTTACGCTGAACGCCTTTTCTTGCATAAAGCCTGCAGTTCATGCAGCCTATTATATGCGGCAGCAGGTGGTGGGGGAGATACTGCTGCGCATGCGCTCTGCGCACACTAAATGCGAGTCCAAAGGGATGCGTGTGCTTCTGTATGGACAGGAAACTTTGCATGGCTGGCAGCTGTGCGGACTTATGCCTAGAAAGCCACCCCCGCCACAGCCTCGGGGATGGCGATCCATGGATTCCGTAGAGTAAGTTCCACAAAAATCATCTCAGGCGTGGTGTCAGTGTATCTGGATGGCACGTGCTCGGGGTTCAGACCTGTGTCTTGCCCCGCGCTCTATCTCGATCTCAAACTTGATCTCAAACTTGATCTCAAACTTGATCTCCCTCTTTCTCTCGCTATATGTATGTGTGTATCTCTCTCTCTATATCTATATTTATTTCTATCTCTCTATTCGTCTCTGTATATATATATATATATATCTATCTATATGTCTTTCTATCTCTCTATGTATCTCTGTATGTATCTCTTCCTATCTCTCTATGTATCTCTGTATGTATCTCTTCCTATCTCCCTATATCTCTGTATATATCTCCTTCTATCTCGCCATGTCTGCCTGTCTCTATCTTTTTCCTGGATTTGATGACTGGCTCGAGGCTTCCAAGCTGCAGCAGCATGGCGTGTGGTGGTGTGTGATTTGCAGCATGGAAGCCTGGGAGGCGTCTCAGCGACGCGTTGTGAGGACACGCTGGCTGCCAACACCGTCGGGTCGTTTTTTGGAGGGCAGAAAGCTGGCTGCTTCGCTTGCGCTGCATCTACATCAGGTATTGCAGAGGCAGGGGTGCAGCAGCAACAGCAATAGCAGCAGCAGCACCAGCAGCACCAGCAACAACACAAGGGGGGACAACAGAGGCGTTTGCAGCAGCAGTGTCTGCAGAGGCGTGTCGCTGCTGGGGATGATAGGACTGCTCACGCGCCACGGATGGAATCTTCTGGGAAGTCAACACCCGGGTTGAGGGGCTTTGGTTTGTCGGTTTGTCTTGCAGGCTGCCCCTGTTGCTTCTGCTGCGTCACTCGCAGCCATGTGTGCTGCTGTAGCCGAGAGACAGTCTCTTAGAGGATCTTTTGGACAAGAAACTATCAACGCCGTAGCCCACAGGTTAGGGTTGTGTGGGGTTTGCCCTTGGGAATTCTGGAGTGCTTCGCACACAGAGAGTAGTGCTACGGATTACATGCTGGTGCTGATGCCACAACAACGGGGGCGTGAAGAAGAAATGGGAGCTGCTGCGGGTGGATTTTCTTTGCAGATTGCTGCTGTTGGAAGCATCTTCACTAATTCCCTGGCTGCCCGTCTACGTGCACCTTTTGCACCACCCCTTCGCACTGCAAGGGCAGCTAGCAGAACACTTGGCTGTTGTAGCAACGCACCTGCTGCACCAACCCCAGCAGGAGCAGAAGCAAGAGCAGGAAAGCCAGCATCAGGAGCAGGAAAAGCGAAAAATGCAACAGGCACATGCCATGGACCGGCTCGTACAGCAGACCCTACATGACGCAGACTCAAGGCTTCTGGTGCGTCTTGCTTTGTTGATGCTGCTGTTGCTGTCGTTCTTGCTGTCATCGCTCCCCTGCAAAGGGTCCAATTATCAGCGGAACTGGATGCTCATTGTTTACGGTTTGTCATGCGCTTCACAGGGACGGCTGCATCATCCTTCTCTGCTGCCAACAAGGCTACTGCTGCAGATTTGCGGCGGTCTGCTTGCTGCTGTCCAAGCTTATGAGAGTGCGCTGCTGCTGCTACAGAGTGTTCTTACCGCTTTTCTTGGTGTATCTCCACTGTTTGACCCGCTGACACCGCTGGACTGCTGCTGTGGCTGACTGAGTTGGCAATCTGTCGTTCTTACCGGCAAGTGCTTCCAAAGCTGTTATTCAATTCTTGCGTTGTTGCTGCTGCGGCTCTTGTTTGTGGGTGGGATGTTTATGGTGCTGCAGTGCCTCTCAGCTTGGCTCGCCTCTTTTTCGACAGAATTGCAGAGTCGATGAAGTCTGCAGCAGCTTTCCGCAGCGATAGCAACAGCAGCAGCATGCCGCTGCTGCCTCTTCGGGATGTCGCATTCTTCTTCTCAGCGCTTAAGCAGGTATTTAGGCTTCTTAGCCTTTCTGCTGTGCGTCTGCGAGCCACCTACGGGTGCTGTGCATGCAGTTCGAGGCTTATTGTGCTGCTGCTTGCAGAGCGGTCTGGTGGAGGAGAAGGTAACACATCTCCTGTTGCTGCAAGTGCAGCAAGACCTGATACAGCTTGAAAAGACATGTTTAGCCGAGGCACCGGCACCCAAAGCAGCAGAAGCAACAGAGACAGGAGGGCTAGCAACGACAATAGAAGCAGAGGCGGCAGAAGATGTGGATCCTTCACCACCTCCTGCAACAGGGTCAGCAACAGCAACGGCTGCACCAGCAGCTGCGGAAGCCGAGCAGCTACTGACAGCTGCTGAAGGCAGCGTAGCAGATATGTGTGTCATTTTGGATGCGGCTGCTTTCAACTGCCGGACGCCGGCAGCAGCAGCAGCAGCAGCAGCAGGAGCAGTGCCAGCTTCGGCAGCAACAGGAGACTTTGCTGAGCTCTTTGACATTGGCTGGCGGTGGCTTGTACCCCTCTCACCTCGCCTGTCTCCTCCATGCGGGTAGCTATTCAAAGACCTAGGCGCTTTACTCTCTTCTTAGCCAGGAAGGGTGGCAGCAGTCGGACACCCTAAGCTTCAGCTTTTGCTCCCCCACAAAACCTTGCGTATACGGGTAGCTGCTGTCGTTGCAGCTCCACTAGAGAGAGATGCTTGTTTCCAAAACTCCTGCTGCAAGCGCTTTGCTGATGCAGTTGCTGCACGCTTTACCGTCCATTCTGCTGGTACTGTGGGTGCCCATGCTCAGGTTGATGTTATTCAATGCCATGGCGGCTGAGGGCTCGCCGATGATTCTTAGCACCGAGGACTATCAGTTAGTTCTCTGACAATCAAACCCCCAATGCCCGTAGCACTCTCATGCTCATTTGCCTCTACAGTTTCCTTGCCCTTTCTGGGTTTAGGCCCTGAAGTTTTTGCGGCGTCCCCATGTAAGTCTATGGGTTACACTCCAGGTGTTTTACGATTTGGGGTGGTGCTGTGGTCTTCGCAGGGATGCTCTAAGGGAGTTTCTGTCCTCCAATGCAGATTTAGACCCAGAGGCTCTCGGTTCGCTGTCTCTTTGAGGCAAAGACAGTTGTTCGGTGAGCTCTTGAGCTGCTTAGCTGGCTCGCTGGACTCCTGGTTGACTAGCTAGAAGGTGGGATTCTTTTTCTCGAGTGCTGCAGCCATCTCTAGACGAGCCGAGTGTGCTGCCTTCCACAACCTGGAAATGGCCAGTATGCTGGCTCTTTGTAGAAAACTAGCTGTCTTTTTGTGTGGCTAGCTAGCCAGCTCGGTATAGCTAGCTGGACACCAGTTCTTGGGAAGCTTGCTAGTTCTCCCACTTGTTGCTAGCTTCCAAAAGCAGCTCTCATGAGCTAGCCAATTACGCGCAGCCTATGCTGCAGAGAGATTGCTGCAGCCGTCCCTCCACCCCGTCGTCGCTGAGCTATGATCCCAACTCGCTAGTTCGTTGGCGGACTCTGTCTCGGGAGCCGTTTCTGGAATTGTCGCTACATAAAGAGCCGCGCCAGCACGGCCACAGGGCAAGGGGGTCAGCGTGATCGTGAACAGCCAAAGGGGTTCTCCATAGTTGTGCGAACAAAGTGTAGAAGATAGCGCTCTCTGAAAGCTTCCTCAGCACCCAGCACTTTCCTTACGGAGAAACGGGGGCCCCCTGCGCAACAGCCTAAACGTAGTACCTAGATCGACCGACCCGCGAGGAGGCGCATGCCAAAGAATCTCGCGTCAGAATGAATGCGCTTCTCCGCTTTTCTAGACGCCTTTCCTCCCTCCCACACTCCCCCCTCTTCCTTCCTCCCCCTCTCACCTTCTGCCCCTGTAGAGGGAGACAGTGTGTGTCCTAGGAGCCTCCCTCTGCCGCGAGGTGCCGCTGCAGCAGCAGGCCCTTCGAGTCTAAAGCCCAAACGTAAACGCCTCCGTCCGAGTCACCCGACGCAATTACCCAGTCTTTGCCGCTGCTGCCGCCGTTGGTCGTGCTGATGCTCTGCAGCTCCATTAGAGCAGACGGGTGTGCTGTCCACATGTCACAGCACGCCTGAAGGCCGCTGTTGCTGCTGCGGCAGTCATAGGCGCGCAGCAGTCCGAAAGAGGTTCCCGCCAGCAGCAGGGGCAACTCAGGATGCAGCAACATCCTGATTACCCCCTCCTCGCTGCTGTCATCACCATCGGCATCGCCGCTGCTGTCGGCTAAGAGCCCACCGCTGCGGCACGAGGGGTCCGGGGAAAGCGGCGTGATCGTACAATCAATCGTGAGCTTGGGGATTTTCTTGCTGAGCTGCCACAGACGGATCTTTCCATCCAAACCCCCCGAAAAGAAGAGAACCTCAGACTTCCCCTGCCCCCCCCCCCGCATTGTCAAGTAAAGCCCGTGCTCAGGCGGAACAGGCAGCAGCGCCTCAACGGCGGCTGCATGCCCTCTGACGCACAAAAGGATTTTGCCACTCTCCTCGCTAAGAGCTACTAGGTATCCATCTTCGTATCCCACAAAACAGCAATTATGAGATGCATCCACGGCAACACACACCACCGCCTCTCCGGGTTCCGCTTCATCCACCTCCATAGCTCCCCCTTCGCTGTCCTCCACACCGCTCCTGCTGCTGCTGCTGCTGCTGCTGCTGCTGCTGCTGCTGCTGCTGCTGCTGCTGCTGCTGCTTCTGCGTGGGTTCACGGGGCCTTGAGTCTCAGCTGCTTTGGCCTGCGGATCCGAGGTTGGGTGCGTAAAGGAACAGAAAGAGGCTCCATTTCGCGCCGCGAAGAGAGACAACGCTCCTGAGGTGCCCCCCACAATGCAGCGGGTGCCGCTGCCGCTGAAGGCGCAACAGGTTAGGGGAGAGGATGCAGCAAACACAGACAGCGTGACAGCCGGCTTGACAGCGGGCGCTGGGGAGGCGGCAGCGGCACCCCACGAGGGAGGCAGCAGCCAAACCCACGCTGTCTGATCCTCAGAAGCTGCGAGGAGGGCGTAGCCTCGAGGATGGAAAGCCAAGGCTGCAATGCCCTCGGACGGCCCTTTCAGCTCCTCCAGCAACACCGCCTTTGCTGCTGCCGTAATACCGTAGACTCTCACACAGCCGTCGAAGGACCCACAAGCCAACAAGAGGCCATCGGCGGAGAAGCCGACGCTAGAGACAGAGTCCTTTGCGTCTTCTATGGTGGCTGCAGGAGCAAGCTGATGCTCCTCCTCAGTAGCCGGGGGGAGTTCGGATACGTCAAAGAGACGACACACGTCATCAGAGGCACCTACAGCCAGCACCGACTTTACGGACTGATGATTTCCGGGCTGCTTCTGCAGTTGTCTGTTCACACCCATGCTGCAAATTGTATCGCCTGCTGCTTCGCAAGATGCGAGCAGGTACCGCCTGCGGCTCTCCAGCAGCTGCGGGTGCAGCAGTAGCTCCTTCGGAACATCATCTGGTTGCAGTGCGCTGGCTTCTACTTCTTCATCGTCAGAAGAAGCCTCCTCACCCACGGCCTCCTCCAGGCGTTCATCGTGCAGCTGCTGCACATCGATGAGCGAACCGTCTGGCCCTTCTGCCATCCACCGACACCCCGGAGGAGGCTTGGGGAAGTCCGATGTTGCAGCCGTTACTTCATCTTTGTTGCGCCGGGGCATCTCTGAGAGGTGCCGCTGGCTTCGGCGTCGCTCGTGTTGTGCTGCTGCTGCTGCTACTGCTGCTGCAACAGCAGAGGGCACCCAGTCTTTGTCCGCAAAGAATTGCGCAACCCACAACAAGGGCGCCCACCAGAAAAATTGAGCCTATAATTTCTGTCTTTCGAGTTCGGACATACCGTTTTCAGAAGAGAGCTCCCGGAAGGCCCCTAAGGGGCCCTACCCGCATGCGCGCAGAGAGGGCAATTGCTGCTGCCCAGCCATAGCTCCTCAGCGCTACCGTATGTCTGCATGCAACTGTAAGCCCTTTTCTACAATCGATTGAAGCATACTTCGGAGCGCGCCAAAGAGGCCACATGTGGCGAGCCCTCAAACTCGGTGCTGTACGCCACAGAGTGTCGCAAGGTCTCGATTCAACAATGCGTTTGAGGAGGAGGGATAGCTTTGGAATGCAGCATTTCGATAGGATAAAACTTCGCCTCTAAGGAAGCATAGCTTACCAACCTCCGGTGCAGCACCGTTTCTGCCGCTTCCAGCCTACGCGCAGCTGCCGGGTGTCTTTCCTTTCCACCCCATGCAAAGCAGCTGCAGTCGAAATTGCAGCAACGCAAGAACGCCAGCCAGAATAGCTGCAGCCGAGCACAGCGGCTACCGGGCCTCGTCTTGAGCAACAAAGTTTAGGGCAGCAATAGAAGTACTTCCACACCAGCAGTTGCAGAAGAAGCCGCAGGAGGATGGCACCCCGTATAACGGTGCATCCCCAGCAGCGCGGCACATGGTTGGGATTTCTAGGAAGAGGCGTCTGTCTGCTGACGGGTGGCGCTATTGGCTTCAGCTTCACTAATCCTGATTCTGACACGGCCTATGAACTGTTTCCTGTGCACTCACAGCAGACGCACGTGCACGTAAGCAAGCTCTATATCGACAAGGCAGATGAAGATACTGCAATTGAAAAGCTGAAAGACCTCCACAGATTCTTCCAGCAGCAACAAGGTGAGCGGCAGGCAGCCTCTGTGTGTCATTCCTGCCTGGGCTGTTGCACGTGGTGCAGGGCTGGGAAGTCCAGGGATTTGTGCAGCGAAGTGCCGCTTTCTGCTGCAAAAAGGGTTTCCTTGGCTCGGTGCGTGTGGCTGTCTTTGTATGCCGATGTTTGTGCTGCTTTTTCACTTGCCGTCGCGGTCCACAGGGTACCTTTACTCCCGCCTTTTAAAGCTCGATGACAGCAGCAACAGCGACAACAGTGGAAACAGTATTCTGCCGCGGTTTGTTACTGTCAGCTCTTGGCTAACACCTCGCGACTATTCTATGGCCTGGTCACGCGCTGCGGCGCTAGGACTTCCCCAGCGAATACCACAAGGGCCCTTGGCGGCTCAGCAGGGGGGCCCCCGTGCCATGCTGTATAAGAAAGTAGCGGACGATTCTGAGTACTCTCCGACAGCTTAAACCCTGAAACCGTTTGCGGCTCAAGGGAAGCGCTGCTGAGGAAGGGGAGAGAGCTGTGGTCAAAGGGCAGAGAGAGGAGGGCTAAGGGCCGGCTTGTGGGAGCTGGGGGTGGGAAGCTACAGTGATTGAGGCATACGGCAGAGCACACAGGGGGGCGAAGGGGGGAGGGGGGGTTAAGGCCATGGCAAGCACTCTAGGCATCGAGACGAGAAATGGGAAGCGGAACAGATACATTTAGACACAGTGACACAAGGGGAGGACAGATAGGCCGACGGTGAAGCTGAGAGCGGAGCTGGGAAGGGTAGGGCAAGAGTGAGAAAATACATTAGAGAGAGCATGCCAAACACACTACCCTAGTTGCAGGTAGCGAGCGAACAAGCGAGAGGCAGACAGATCACCGGCGCCCCTAATTATGGCCGCGACTTAAAGGAGGCAGCACAAGTAAAAGTAAGGGGGCAGTGCCCTTTCCACGGGAATAGACGTATGAAAGGGAGCTATCCAAGAGGATAGGGGCACCTGACCAGCGACATCTGCACACCCGTTGTGCCTTTGTTGCCTTAGTTGTTACAGTAACGGCCTGCGTATCCACCGCGGCCTCAAAGCTAACAGAAGGAATCATCAGCACCGGCAAAGAGCATCTCCCGTAGGATCTTGTTCCCCCATTTAAGAGCGCTGCAGCTCGTGTTACGGCTGCCCCTGTGGTCACTTGGCAGTAAAACTCATTGGCTGCAGCAGAAAGACGATGCCTTTCTGCTGAATCCAGGCTTCGGAGCCAGAGCGGCCCGGTGCTCGCTGACTTATGGGCAACGCAGCCACAGCAGCAAACGACGACAGCAGCAAAAGGTTTAGCGTTGCTGTTTGATAACTACAAACTCTAAGCCCAAGTACAGCAGAACAATGGATGCGAGGAGAACGACTGCACCGCAGCAGCACACGAGACGCAGAGGTTCAACCGTGCAAAAAGTGCCACACAACCAGCAGCAACAGCATGGGAAGCAGCAGGGACAACATACTGCATGCAACAATCCGTTTCATGACGGTCTGGCGGTCAACTGCCCGTTTCAACTGCTCGGTCTCTCGTTCTTCTGAGCGACATTCAGCAGCATCGGATTTTCAGCGGATCGAGCAGTGATGGTGGCGGCAGATTCGCAGCAGGAGCACAATCAGCAAAACCGACAGAGAGCGACTTGACAGACACATGCGAGAGGGGAAGAAGAGCAGCCGACGTTGGCGCCAGGAGGACTATGGGCAGCCGCAAAGCGAGCAGCAGCAACAACAGGAAAACGCACCCTGTTGCCGTTGTTCTCTTGCGTGATTTTCCACCGCCTGTGTATAGAGACACGAAACCTCAAAGACACGCATGCAGATTGCGTCGCTGTTGTTGGTAGCCGCCGCATTTGTTCTTGTGCGGCTGCGACTGCATGCATGCTTGAAAGGGGCTCTGGTCTGTGCCGCTGCTTTTTAAGAGGTGGCGCCTGCACCCTGGTGATACCTCCTTGAAGCGGAGACGCTCTGAAGCGCTAAGACCCATCTTCCGCAGTGAAGCGTCCTGCACAAACGGCATAAAAGTAGCAGCATGCAGCGCGCCTGGGATCAATTTAGGACACAGAAACAGCGCATGGAAGAGCTCAGAGCAGCAAGCTGCAACAACATTCCTTTCGGCAGCAGCAGCAGCCATGCTACTGCACCCTCAGCAAGCAAAACACAAGAGGCGGCAGCATGCGCTTTACATCCAACGTAAGGAATGCCTCGTCCACATAGAGAAAGCGCTTCTTGAAAAAGGCCTCTTGCACTGACTCCGAGAGCGCAGCAGCTGCACAGAATGCGGTCACTTCTGTCTGCTGCATCGCTGCTACTGCTTGCTGTCGCTTTCTCTCGCCCCTCTCCTGCAGCAGCAGCAACGCCGCACGCCACAAAGCGACACGCCTAGCATTGCATAGAAAGAGGCGCGGCATTAGTCCTGTGGATGAGCGCTGTTGCACATGCAATTTATACATTTTCCGTAGCTGCTGCTCGCACGCCTGGTGAAACAACAGGCGCTCCTTAAAGAGGAGAAGAAACACCAGTAGCACTCGCTGCACGCAGGCACCCACCTTCAGAGCGGCATGTCGCTGTCGCTCCTCCTCCTGAGGCCGCAGACACACAGAGTAGTAGGAAAGTTACACAGCTAGCTTCTAGCCGCATGTTTCCGTGGACGGACTGCTGTCTCTGCCAGAAGCATCAGTAGCTGAATGCAGTGGCATGTGCGTGCTGCACCTACAAAGAGGATACTCTCCAGCAGACAAACAGCAGATCTAGCTCACCTCCTGCTGGCGCTGCCGCATTTCGACGATCGTGGCGGGCGTCGCTCCTGGACTCACGCAGACGCACAGTGGTTGCCGGTGCCTGTATCGCAACCCTCGCGACTGCTGCACGTGTCCCTGTGTCTGTCAATAAACAATTTTGTCAGCGCGCAGGAGCAGCGGCAGTGCCGCCTGCCGCTACGGCTCTTGTCATTTACCAGCCATGTTGGGTGTTTCCATAGAAAATCCCGCCTCCTGGAGAAGCTTCATAAGGCTGCTCAAGCCCTGCAAGCGCAGCGCCCGCGGCGAAATACCCTCGACCCCTTAGCAGTCCCTCTGTGTTCGTGCATACAAATGGGAGGCAGGCAGCGCACTTGTGCTGTCCACAGCGGAACGCTCCCGCTGTGCTACTTGCCTCTTCCGCAGCAGTGTGCAGCGGTGTGTTGCCCTCGTTATCCACGCAGCCCGCAGCTGTGAACTTCTTGCTGTTGAGTATCTCCACGGCAGCGGAGAGCAAGCGGCTGCTAAGCGCTATCTGTCTGAGGCAGAACAGACGAACACCCCAAAAGGGGAGTGTCGCGCTGTGTGCTGCTCGAGTAGCGCTCAACTGGAGGCTAAGCGCAGCTTCCGCTGGCAAGGCCGCTTCTGAACGCGACAACGCGCCAAACAGGGGAATTCCTGCACAACAGCTGCTACACTGCTGCTGCTGCTGCTGCTGAACTTACAGAGGCGATGCTCCCCGGGAATCTTTCGTGTTGGGGCATGCGCCGCGTTGCAGCAGCAGCAACGCGGCCTCTTCATTTCCTTCCTTCAGGGCAATGAGCAAGGGGGTGTCTTTGTATGCACCACAGCAACAGCAGCGCAGCACCCAGCATAGTGACTGCCGCACCAAGGCAACGGTTACACAGCGGAAACAAGCATCACACCAGCGGAATCATCGCAGAAGCTGCTACGCTGCTGCACAAGCACAAGGACGCTATGGCCTCGCGGAGGCAGCAGCGCAAACAACACATACATACATACACACATACATACACACATACACATAGACACACACACAGACACACACACAGACACATACACACAGACACACACATACTGCACTACAAGAGCAACACCAACAAACCTCCTGCAGCGTTGAGAGCTTCTCGGGGGACTCCTCGATTAAGAAGAAGCGTTATGACGCCGGTCTGTCCAAGAGCTGCGGCGGCAGTGGCAGCAGAACACACAGCGAACTGGAGCTGCAGCTGCAGCACCACTTGCAAGTACAGGGGCAGCAGCAGGCATGTCCACTTCAAGCTTACTGGCAGCCCAGTGCAATGCCTGCACGACAGCACCGCAAACAATGAATCGATTCGAACAGAGACGAGACGGAAGCGAGCTGCTCACAGGAAGGGTCTCTGCCAAGCGGCAGCCCAGCAGGTGTGGGGAGGCAGCGTAGGAGAAGGTGTAGAAACAGCAGCAGCAAGAGAAGGGCTGTCCAGATGCAGGGAACGCGCATGCGAGCCGAACACCACACATGGCTGCCGCCGCTACTGCAACTGTGGCAGACTGACATTGTTATTCTCCTTGTCTGTCGCTAAGGCGTCGCAGCCCTTAGCCGAAAGAACTGAGCACGCAAAACAGAGGCGCATGGGAGGACATAATGGACTTTGGCAGCCGAAGTTTATACTTCAGCGCCAGCAGCCACAATGGCAGCAAGACACGCACCCTGCCTGACGATGAAGGGGTCACCTTGACACCCGCACACTGCATGCATCAGAGCAGTAAGCCCTTTGTCTCTCTGCAGCAAACAAGCATCAGCATAAGCCAGAGCAGTGGGCAACGGGAGAGCAACAGCCGCAGCTGCATCGGCGTCGAGCTGTGCCGTAGGAACACGCAGATCCCACAGCGGGCAGAAAGAGCAGTAGAAGCGGCCAATCACAAAGCGCATCTGCAGCATTCATAGACAACGCACATCTGCAGCATTGATAGAGATGTAAGGGGACTCTAAAACCGCCGTCAGAACGTCTGGGTCCCCCTCTTGCGCAGCGAGATGCAGCGCAGTCACTGCGCACAGGAAAAGCCTCAACAGAAGCAATCGGACAAGGATCGTTTGAGTTGGTTTATTACCGCCAACTGGGTAGTTGCCTGTGTGCCACCTCGCTGCCACCCTCCGTTTCCTCTGCGTCGTTCTCGCTCGCATTTCTGCATGGGTGGGCTTGCCGCCATTTGCGGAGGAGGCCTTCTTCGGGGGACTACAGCATGCAGCTGCTCTGCAATGCGACTGCGCTTCGTGACTGAGGCGTGCCGCCTTCATTCGCCTTTTGCTACGGAGCTGCCTTCCTGCTATGTGCGTCGCTCCGCGGCGACTGTCTGCAGCTGGCTCTGACTCTCCTTGTGTGTCTCACTTCCTTTCCTGTTAAACGCTGCAGGATCTGCGCCTTCTTCCAGCAGTCTCCTCACTTCATCAGCGTCGCCGCGCACAACTGCCTTCGCCAGGGAGTCCGTCATCCTGGAATTTGCTGGAGGCTGTGCAGACGGAGGAGCACTTGGCACGCATATATATATATATATATCGATATGTATATACGAGATTGATTGAGTGCCGAAAGAGCACAAATTCCAGGCCGCAAAAGCGGGAAACCTAGAATTAAGGGTTCAGGTTCAGGGTGTAGGCCTTCGAGGCGGGAGTAGGTGGTTCGACGATCCCGCCGCCAACAGGTAGACGACTAGCCTGTCCACTTGCGTGCATGCGGTTTACAGTCTGATCATGCCCAAGAGGTTATTTTAGGGTATTTCTCTTGGCCACTTGCGAAAAAAAGAGGTGTCTGCCGTAATTCCCTAACTCTAGCCACTTGTGGGTGCCCCCATATGGTCTTCGTGTGAGGCTCGGCCATCAGCCAACGCGGTGCCTAAACTCTAGGCGAGACTAGCTACTTGTCTCTTTGTCCTCTGCTTAGTGGGCACAAAGCCTGAGGGGTTTTAGGGTGAAGATCTTGCTCAAGTGGACAAGCGAACAGTCTCAGCAGCAAGCAGGATAAGCCACTGCAGCAGCCCCAAGCGCATCGAAAACTGTACCTGTATAAGCCTCAACGGGCAATAGAAGCCTCTGCAACAACAGCGGCAATAAGACTGGCAACCGCGAAGCACAGTGGTACAGCGCTACCTCTCTTGATTCCTTGTTAGGGCCTAACATGCTAAATAACCAAGCATGCACATAAAAGGAGAGTTCCGCCAGGATCCACAAACTAGCTGCGTTACCCCCGTCGACTGTGCCCGCGAAATTCTCGGGCCAGAGTGAAAGACAGTACTGTCCATTGACCTATAACACCGATGTAGTAACCATGAACAAACAAATCAGTGCGATTGGACGCATGCTAGGTCCGCAACAGTGTGAACTAAGCATGGATTTCAGTGGATCTGTGGAGGAGGGCCCGACTAAGCAGATAGCGTGATGTAATGAAACAACTAAATATGAGCTACTCTTTGCAATCTTGCTAACTGGTAACGCTTCACGAAAGGTGTCCGTGTGAAGAGACTTATCTCCCAGACTCAAGAAAAACTTGATAGACAGCTGGTGAGCGTTTTTCCAAAAGAGATCCAGCATTTCCTTGGCAGCGCCCCTCAGTATTTCGGACACGAGAAAGAACGGGCAGCTAGGGTGCCCAATGCTACAGTCTTTCAACTCTCCGAGCAGGCACAACTATTTGCACATAGCATCTAGCAAACACGCACTTGTGTCGACCTTACGGCACTATATATATATATATATATATATATATATATATATATATATATATATATATATACATGTACGAGGAAAACCAAGTGGTCATTTCTTTCTAATTATTTGTGAGATATGTCTAGTAGTAGGAATGTGGGTAAGGTGGCCGAGCCCGTTACATCTTTCTGTCGACCTCCGTTCATTTTGAACAAACACCCTCTATTTTCTACCTGACCGAGGAGACCAACCACACGCAAGACAAAAGAGGAGTTCCTGGCATCTCACCCCTTTTTAAGCAAGCAGGAATGCGAAAACAATCCGAATAAGAAAAGCCAATATGTGCTTTAAACCTTAATTGAAATAGGGGAAAGGACAGGTACACACTAGGCAACATCAGACAAGTTTCCAAATCAACACTACCGCAGCAGCGCTTTGGCTCGCTCACCTCGATATGCTAAAAGCGTGTTAGCACCATGCTGCGAGCCAATAGCCATTATGTGAAGTGTGTGACGTGAACGAAAGCGCCCAGTGGTTCGGCAGTGCCTCCGCCCCTCCAAGAGCAATTTGTGCATACGAATACAGCCAGTTCGTGCACTATGGCCTATTTTAAAAGCCCCGAAACGGAATAGGCAAGAATTTAGGGAGGTCATGGCGGAGCACGCTTGTGCATATATCCTGTGTAGAGAACATCGTTATTACCATAATGAACATCAATTCTCCAAGCAATATTCACAATATAAAGGTAGGTACTTTGGGTGCAGCATACGCTGAAGAAGGAGAATCACCAACGAACGCAAGATATTTCGTTGTTGGTGGCGAAATTTATTCAAAGAAAGGAAGCCGCAGAATCTCCCACAGGCAATGGAGTTTGCAAGTGTTCCGGTATCAGCCAATTGGCTTGCCGGCCCCTAGACCATTTCACTAGAAACTAAACTCATGGCGCTGAATGATCCAAAAGTCCAGCACTTTCGCAGAACCCTGTGGATCCTATTTTTTATTGGGGCCACTTACCTGCGCGGCCTAGTATGCGAATACTCTTGAGAGCTTTGGAGCTTTCTTTCAAGAAGTCACTAAAGATAGATTTGTGGAACCTCTAACTTTTAGGGCAAAGATGCGAGCCTGATTCCTAGAATAACCACAGTAGTCTAAACCAGCCGGCCGCAAATTTCCTTTTCTGGTCATCTTGGACTCTTTTGAAGGCCTGCCGATCAACCACGACTAAATTTGGGGACCTGGAAAACCCAGCTACCTGCCGCAAATCATCATTCCGTGCGTGTCTGTCTTGAGTCGTACGTGTACATTCGCGTGCGCTATCCTTTTTTCCCAAGTATCTCAGCTGTTTTTGGCGAATGCTGCGCCCAGACTATCAAGTTTAGGCCCGGTTGGAAAAGGGGGTCCACCTTGTAGGACAAGGATGTGGAAGAGCAACGGGTACAGGAGTGTACTGTTATTTTGTACGTCCATTCAACGTAAGAAAGTAGATCAAACCACCGGACTTCTGTAAGCATACAGTCGCATACCTTGCATACAAATGGCGGTGGTGCGGTTGGTGTGCCAATCTGCCGCAAGTGGTTCGCAGTGGTAGTATTATGGCCAATCTGTAAGAGGGTCATGAAGGCAAGCAAGAACCTATTAACGAGCTTTGGACCCCTATCCGTACTGATGGTCCAGAGAAAGCGGTAAAGCTTCTACATATGAGCTAAGAATAATTGTGCAGCTTCGCGAGCCGTGACAGAGCTGGAGTAAGGATGTACTGAGCACATTTGCTGAGCTTTCCCAAATTGACGTAGATGTCATCCTAACCATTGACCTCCGGCAATCCAACAGTAAAGCCCATGGTCATATCGATCTACGCTTTTTTAGGATCCGGAAGACTCTGCAAAAGACCCACATAAGAATAGTTCTGTAACTTCACCTGCTGAAAATACTGCCGTGACAATGCATACTTTTCTTCCGCTGGACGCATCTCAGCCCACCGAAAAGGACTGTGAGAGCTCTTCATTGGACCGTGAATCCGACCGTGCTTCGGAATGACATGATCATGTGCTTTGACCAAAGCAGCGATACGGGACAAAGTTGGATAGCGCAAGCGACAGAGTTCATGGTTCATTTTGAGCCACAGCAGACCATTCTCGTCCTGATAGTGCTTCGTTGTGTTGTCGCTCTTGCTTTTCGCAGTAGTACGGGATACAGTGGTGTCAAGAGCAAATGACGCAAGCAGTTTTAACAAAGACAATGAATAGTGACAAACGACAGCGGCCTCGCCGTTCCATAATGGATTGCTGGGGTGTCGTGAGAGCGCATCGATGACCACGGTGATGCCTTCCTTGTACTTCACCGTAGAGTGGTATTGCAGAAGGCACCCAAACCAGCGAATAGCTCTAGAGCTTTCTCAATCCTAAAACCTCTATATAATTCCTTTGGTGACTGAAGGCCAGTCTGGACGCTAAAATTACTTTTATGTAGAATCTCCTCCCCCCAACACGCCACAGAGAGCTCGTTGTCGTGCACAGGGTACCGCTGCTCGATTTTGCTCAAAGCGATAGGGCTACAAAGCGACACTAAGAGATTTTGTAGAGCCTGTAACGTGCTGGAAAAGAATAGCCTTCAGTGCTACATCAGTAGCATTGGCTGCTAGGAAGAAGTGATTATCATCATTGGGAAACTCAAGTACCGGACGAGTGGCACGTCGGCTGATAAGCGAGCGTGCTGCGGCGTCAGCCCCCTTTGTTCGCATCATAGACTGCGCTTTCCTGGTAGCTCATTCAAAGGAGTAGGGATCCTGGAAAATGCAGGAACAAAACTTTGGGAAGAGCATTCAAGCCCATAGAGCTTCCGAACGTCCATGCGGGTGTGTAAGGTAACCCTACACCTTGATCGCCTTGATTTTTTGCCGACCTGGTTCAAATCTTCTACCTGAAACATGATATCTTATTTAAAAAATTGTTTTCGTAGAAAAGCGAATACCTATGTGCCTTCACATACCACTACTTGTCCCACAACAGCTGAGGCGCACGCCATAGGCGCTATAGGTGCTCTTGGACATTTCCCACAAGGAGAGCCATCCACTTTTCCTTGACAGGCAGACACAAATGCCTATCACCTTGACGTTTCAGCTTACCTAGCGCGTTAACTAATCTAAGTGGCATACAGGTATAATCGAGTTTGCGAATGCGATGGTGGAATGCAGTTTTGTTCCTCATATAGGTGGATGGGGAATCGTATGAAAGCCTCTATTATTTCAAATGTCGATAAGACTATTGGTTCCTGTATTTTCTGAAGCGGTCAGCCAACATGAGGCATCGCTAACTTCTGGTCTACAATGATCTTGTTCAGGCGCGAAAAGTTCCCACACAGGAGACGCCTCCCGTTTTTTTTTCCGCATGAACAGCAGGTTATGTCCAGGGGTTTTTGTCGATTCGTGTTCCTCGGTTTCCTCGCGTTTTCCAACGAGTGATCAATGTATTGTTCAATTGATTCCATGCTGTCGGGGCCTCTGATACAGAGAAACACAGCTTGGGGCTGGTCGAAGATTAAGTCAGTACGGTGGACTGGTCGACCAGCAATTGGCGGGCCTGCTAGGAGCTCGTTGTTATATTGCCCATCCACAAGCCCCTTGATATTTGCGCACCGCTCCTCTTAGTCGGCTAAAACTTTGATACACTTTCTCCTCATAAAGAGCCAGGTGCAGAGCTGCCAGGAGGGGAAGCATGCTCAAACTGTTTTCTGGTACTGCTTTGCTATGCCGCACGCACAAAGACTGTGCCTCACCTTGCGGAGTAAACGA